ATATGTTTTGGTTGTGTATTTTGCATTGCTACCGAGATTGATTTCTGTTGGATTCAGTTTCATGATAATATTCTTAAGATTTTGGGATGCTTTGACTTGGATAGTGCCTCCAGCTCTACCAATTTTTGTTTCTATGTGCTAGACTTATTCATTGGTTAGGTTAAGATAGAAAGGCATTTTTGGAATTGATCCAAATAAATCACTGGTAGCTGGTAAGATCAATACAATTTGTTTTGATAAGACAGGAACATTGACAACAATTGGAATTGATATGTTTGGATATCAATTAAGAAACTAGACCAAATTTGGGAAGTTCATTCAAAAAAATCAAGTGAATTACAAGAATAGTTTAGAGTTTAAGTTATTTGCTACCTGTCATGGAACATATGAGATAGAAGGCGATTTAATGGGTGATAGTCTTGATGTAGAGTTATTTAAGTTTACAGACTTTAAAATTGAGAAAAACCCTCCTTAAAATGTAAAATCCAGAGTTACAAATAGAGAAGGCATTGTATTGGATGTGCTTAAACTTTATGAGTTTGAATCAGCTTTATAGAGGATGAGTGTAATAGTGAAAGATAAGGATGATTATTATGTGTTTGTTAAAGGGTCTCCTGAAAAAATGGCAGAATTATCTAATTAGAGTACCATTCCTGTAGATTTTAAGAAGAATCTAAATTTATTGACTATGAAAGGACTAAGAATATTAGGGTTTGGATACAGAAAAATAACTCAAGAGGAAAGTGAAAGGTTGATGAATGGCAGTAGATAAGAATGCGAATAGGATATTTAATTTCTTGGATTATTGGCAATGGAAAACAAATTAAAGCATGATACTTCATAGGTTATTAATTTATTAAACAATGCAAGTGTTGATCTTAAAATCATCTCAGGAGATAATCCTTTGACTACTGTATAATGTGCCAGAGAATGTGGAATAATACCTCATGATAAACCAGTGTTATTATTAGATTACAATGAAAAAGAAGTATTTATATTATTTATCATGTCAGCAATAATTGTCCTTAGATGAAATAAGTGTTTTTGATGATAACCTTAATGTCAATCAATAAAAATAAAACAGTGAAATTGAAATACTTGTAGAGGATGTAGAAGATCTAAATGAATAAATTTTAGATCATTAATAAATTATGAATAAATTGATTCATCATTTATTGACTGCTTAAAATATCAAAAGATCTATTATATCTGAAAATAATAGTCTTAATGCAAGTCACTGTTTTGCGATGAGTGGTAAAGCATTTGATTACTTTTGGGGTTAATTGCCTCATGATGATATCAAAAAACAAGTCAAATAATCTTTTGCAGGATTTGAGGAGCCCCTAGATAATGTGGAATAGATTAAAATATAAGGATTATCCGAAGAAGAACTACATATTAAATTATTTGCATCAATCTGTTTAAATGCAAGAGTATTTGCAAGAATGAGACCGGAACAAAAGTCAATGGTGGTAGAAAAGTTGTAAGATCTAAAAAAAATGGTTCTGATGATAGGAGATGGTGCTAATGATTGTGCAGCTATCAAATAAGCAAATGTTGGAGTCTCTTTTGCCTAAAGTGATGCTGCCTATTCAGCTCCTTATTCTAGTGCAGATGATAGCATTGATTGTGTTAGATAGGTACTTTTGGATGGACGATGTGCACTTTAGAATGCTTTAGAAGTGTTTTAGTATTACGTTGGAGCCAGTGTAATAAAATACATAGCAGCTATGATAACTATGTCTTTTGGATAAAATTTTGGAGACTTACAATATATAGTTATCAATTATGTGGGTTCTTTGCCTTATCTCAAATCCATATCACTTTCCAAGCCTTCAATCACCTTAACTAAAGAGCTTCCAAACGAAAGTATGATGGCTCTTTCTAATGTGGCCGTTTTAAGTTTCTAAATTTTAGTAGCCTCACTTGGTTTGGTCATTAATTTTCTATATTGGAATAGTTTAGATTGGGAGAATGAACCTGGAGTTTATGATGGGAAATTTTCAAAAGAAGGAACTCTACAAACAACTCAATTCAAAAGCATGTAAATCTATTTCATCATGGCTGTAATTGCTATTTACACTTCTAAACCATTCAAGTAAAAAATGTATGCCCACAAAATCATGATACTCTTTATATCCATAAGTTTATGTTTTACTTTATGGATATTCTTCACTTTTTAAGGATGGCAATACACAGTATTAAAACTCTATGACACAAATGAATAACATGGTAGATCTTATAATTTTATGCAATTTATTTTGACAATTATAGTAGGATTGGTCATGTTATTAGGTGATGAATATTTCATTAGAAAAGTATTTCCTACAAATCAAAAGAAAACCAAAAAGTCCAGAGTTAAACCAAGTATGTCAAATCATAATTCTTGAAAATATTAATAAATAAAGAACAGAATTCATTTTTTAGTTAAATCATCAATCTTATTACGTAATTTTACATTTTACATCGTTAAATCTTTTATCATCTTCTAAGTTTCAACATCCTTAGTCAAAGTCTTAAAAAATTCATCCCTCTCTCTCTTTAAAGCCTTTATCTCGTCTTCCAACTTCTTAACTCTTTCATCTGTTTGACCTGGCTTTGCTTACACTTTTTCCTACTGTTGTTATTATTACTGCGGCAATTCCTATTTACTTCTATTGACTTTCTAAAATCATATGAATTCAATACTTCTGCTATTAATTCTTTGATCATCTATTCATTTCGGCTAATTTCTTCTTTACAATATTTTAACTCCTATCTTAACTTTCTCGTCTCTTCATCATCTGCTGGCTTATATACTATTTTAGTTTCTTGTTAAGGTTAATTTTTCTTCAATTTTTCTAATTCAGATTTCAATGCAAATATGTACTTGTCATCATTCTCGCTTTTTTCCAATAAAATCTATAAATTTGATCACAATAACAAATACCTTTTTATTTTTCTCATACTCTACTTTGACTTCTTTTATCTGATCCTCCAATATTTATCTCCTACTTGATACTGCTTTTATCTTCTATTATAAATTCTCATTCTCCTATTTAGCTGCATCATATTGAGATTTCAATAATTCATATTGTTATTTTTCATTGTTATTCCTGGCTTCCTATTTAGATTGTTTAGACATCTAAGAAACGTCGGAATATTAAGAAGATGAACCTAACTTCGCATTCAAATCTTTCACTTTTGATTTCAAGATTTCAATCTATTATGCTCTGCCTTTCCATCCGTTTTCATCCATCAACACTTAATCCAAGTTTACATTCTCCCCTACTTCTCTTTGTATTATCCTCATTGCTTTATTTAATTCTGTTTTAACTTATTATAACTTAACACGCTATTCTTACACTTTCTTGTCCGCATCTTTGAATTTACTCTTAAAATCATCTGCTGCTCCAATGTCCTCCTTCTATGATTCCTATCCTTTCAAAGCTTTTGCCAATGGATCTGGCTTAGGAATCGGAGCTTTTGGAATACTTTTATCCAAAGCCTTTATCCCTTCATCAGTTTCTTTTAATGCTTTATTTACTTGTTCCTCAAGTTTCTTTCTCGATTGTTTTTCCTTCTCATAACTAAGCAATAATTGTCTATTCTTCTAGACTAATTCTCTAATTTTCCTATCCTTCAAAGTTTCATTTTTTGAATTTATCACGTCTTCGCATTCCTCTGCCAACGTCTTAGGAGGTTGTTTTTTATAAAACTCTAATTGTTTTTATATGGCTTCTATTTTATTCTATGGTCTACAGCGATATGATCATTAATACTGTATTTACGGCAATTGATCAACCTTGCTATTTTATGAATGGCTTTTGTGCTAATATTGATCTTCATCCTCAGAAGATGACTAATTCTGCTTATACCTTTATTCAAACTCATCAATTTGTTAATTATTTTGTTCATATTCTTGATCAAATTGATTATCTTCTTCTTAACTACTCATTTAATATTTAATAAACAAAAGCCAATTATATCACGTAATATGATTTCATATGAAATACACTATTTCAATAGAGAGTAACCTTTGAGAATTTATAAAAATAGCATTATTAATTTACTATAACAAAAGAAATTCTTATAAAATAATTATATAATTATGTATCTATATTTCCCTTTTTCTCTGACATCTTTTAATTTGCAATAAGAATTTTATCAGCATAATTTTGGTATAAAGTTATCGACTATTTTATCTGAAATATCAATTAACGAGGAAAATTGTAAGATAATCATATCAAACATAATTACAATGAAACTCAATAATCCATAAGGATGAATCGAGCTAAATACTATTTCTTCATAAGATTTCAATTATGTATATCAGATGATTAAACAATGTATTAGATTAACCATAATCATGACTTTTTGCAAAAAATAGCATTCTTAAATTTATATATTAAATATATAATGACAATACACTAACATTATTATAGTTTATCTTTATTAGTGATTACCATGAAGTAATAGAAATAAGATTGCACTTTGGCATGATATTTGAATACTAACAAAAAGATGATTTATTATTCGAACTAATTTTGTTATCCCAAGTCCGGTATTGAAAAAATATGATTAATTTTTACAATATTGGTATATGGGATATTAATTTGGCCTAGCTTGGATTTCTGATGTAGTATGGAAACTAAAATTCAGAGATTTTCTCTAGGCATATTTTTTATCATAATTTAATTAATGAATTATTATTAAATAACAAAGTAATTAAATAGCAGGAATTATGAGTATACAAATTAAAAGCTTGAAAAATAATTAAAAGAGAAATTAAAAGTAAAGTAGGGTAATTGCATGGTGTTTAACTCTAGTAATTGCCCTACATTTATGAAGCGAATGGCTTTGATTTATATTAATTATTGATTTATTTCAAATTCTGGATATAATATAAAGGGATAAATTATCTATTGTGGTGTTTCTATAAAAGTTTGAAGGAGGTTTCTCGAGAATTGAGTTTCATTATAAAATCGACAAAAACGGTATTGAGAGCAATAATAAAATAAAATATGAGAAGCATAACAGGAGTGATATTGATTCTGTTGTTGAATTAGAGCGTTTTGTGTAGTCCAAAGAAGATCAACACAGATTTTTTGAATTTATTGAGTTCAAAAACAAATGTATTGAGTTCTTAGGATGCAATTCAATCTGTTTTAATACTTTTGGAAGACTTGTAAGGAGCGAATTTAGAAGCTCAAGATAAGGCAGATTTAACATTTTAGAGATTTGAGAATGCTATTTTATAGGATATAAATGAGTTTTCAGGAATAGTGAATGTGAATTCAAAGAGTGCAGCTGCTGCTCAATAAGATTGGGAAGCTGTGGAGTAAGGGTTTATATGATAATTAAGTCTTAAGATTTAACAAACAACAGATTATTTGAATTGGAATAACAAGAGATACAAGGGAAACGAAGTTAAATTGGAGAATTTGGCAGAGTATGACAGTAATCATAAATAATTTAGATAACGTTGTGAGGCTAATGCATTGTTTATTGATACATTAAGAGAATATAAGAATGCTCTTTCAGTGTTGGATTGGGTCAAAAGCGATGCACAAAGCAAATAAACAAATTTGGTAGAGAAGAGTCATGTAGGTGATTATGCTGAGAAGTTGAGCAAATATGCAAATTTATTTGAAGAGTAGGCAGTATAAGACTTCGTGAAGTTGGGCGATGATGAAACTACATTTTCTTAATCAAGTAAAAAATTTAATATAAAAATTGAAGGATAAAGAGAAAATGGGGCATAATTAGTATAGTTGATGACAAAGGATGTAGTAGGTGTGGTATAATAGTTGATAGAGAAATTGAGAGAGACAATAAAGGGATTGGAAGAGTAGGAGATTTAATCAGCTAATGATTTCGCAGATTTCAAGACTAATCTATTAGCTGAACAGGAGTCTTTGAAATAGGAGTATGATGCTAAGGCTAAATTCTTAAATTCATTACAAAATGACAAGGAGTTGGCATCTGATATTTTAACAAAGAAGAAGGAATTGCAGGAGTAGAGCACGAGAATTTTGAGTCTAACATAAGGTAATGATTTTGAATGAGATGTAGAGGAGTTCAATTACAAAAAGAAGTTGTATAATGAAGAGAAGACCAAGAGACACGAGGAGAACCAATTGTTGGAGGAATCTCTATTGATATACAGAGAAAGGATAGCAACAGTTAATGAATATTTGAAGAAGAGAGTGAATGAATATGTTGGAGATTCCTTGATTGAAGAAAACGTTGTAAGCAAATAGCAGTCTGTTTCGTAAAGAAAAGGATAATGAGTATTTCTTTTATTCATCGAAGACATATTAAATATATAATGTACTGATGCAAATGTGTCAATAAAAGAACCCAAGGATTTTACCTCCTATGTGTCTTTATCTTGCTTCTTCGTGGGTGAGGATGCCTACATTGGTTGTGAGGACTACGCATCCAAATTGTCTGGCTGGAAGAATGTTATTGGCCCATCTTTCGAATTCTCCCAAGGTAACATCATAACGAGGAGAGATCACTCCGCATTTGTTGATACGACCTGGTTTTAATAGGCTATGCAATTACCTAACAATTCAACAACTATTTTGCCACTTCTGTGATCATCTACGATTTCAAATTCTCCAATATAGCCATGTCTTTGCATCACTTATAAGAATTTCACTACCAATTTGGATGTAGGTCTGATCAACACTTGCTTTCTTCCTTATCTAAAATCATATTTCGATCCATTATAAACCTTTCAGCATTTACGATTGAACGTAAACAATCATTCAAAACATTCATCTTCACCATTGCTTAAAAATCAAGAAATAAAAGATTATTTAATTTTTTTATTATTAAAACTATGATTCCCGAACATATAATCTAAAAACTCAAGCCAAAACAAGGCCATTATTCAATCGATGTTAAGGAATCCTTCATTGATAAACAACGTCGTCTCAGTGAAATTGAACGACAAACTGTTCTTCAAAAAAAACACAAAGAAATGCAACTGTTCAGATAAACATTCTCTTCATCCAATTCCAAATTGTCTAAACCAGGCAAAAGAATTATGATTAAAACTATGGGATGCAGTTAAGCCATTCCATTAGAACAATATTAATAAACCTACTCCACTCCCCTTCCTCCAACACCATAATCCAATATTGCTCGTAAACATTATTAATCATTATCATTATCATAATCCTAACCTAAATTGGAGTCAGAGGGGAATTACAACACTACTTTAAGAAAGGAATCAGAGCTCCAATTGAACACTTAATAAGATACACACAATCAACTTGAAGAATAAAATTAAAATATATCAACAGAACAAATTGAACCATTAGAATAAATACAAATACCCCCTCCTGAAGAAAATAATAATGATCACATATAATGCATGGTTGAATAACACTTATCGGATTATCAAGCTTTTGTTATGCATTTGGCAGGTATACTATTAAAAGATAAAAGATAGGGAAATGTATTTGTGTTTAATGTCCATGCGGAAAATGTAAATGCAAATTTGAGTATTAACCATTTAAACCTAATATTTCATGGAAGTCTCATTACAATTAGGAGTACAAGGAATCCCCAATTAAGGATTAAGAACTCAAAATGAACTTGAATTCTATTGGTCGATATCAAACTTTAGATTTAAATGAATTTAAAACAACAATGGCATCTGATTATAAATAATGCGATCCCTACCCAAATCATATGATTGAAAAACCTAAATACTAAGCTAATTATGGATCCACTCCAATGACATCATATAATGTATAAAAATAATCACATTTTAGAAATTCTATATGGATTACGGGGATTTACACCATGAATAATTTAAACAAAGTCATTATAAGACTGTGATTCCAGAATTAAAGTTTAATTCGTCAACAACGTATGGTAGCGAATTCAAGACACCAAAATAAGTAGACACAACTGTAATTGATACATATGTCATTAGAGAGTCAAAAACCACCTAATGGTAAGCCTTTTCCGACGATAGACTTATTTTTAGGGTAATCATAAAATAAAACGGCACATGATTTAAAAGTAGTAGAAAAATGCTTTTAATTGAAGAACTATTAGGAGGTAATAAAATCAATATTATGGTAGCCAATCTAAACAATTCCAGCTTATTAGAAATAATTTATGAGCATGACAAAAAAAGACTTTGTAATAAAAGAAGTTCCATGTATTAGGAATCAATATACATAATAATAACAATAATAACATTGAATAATAGTAGATTTTATTATATATATATATATATATCTAATACGTTAATTATTTTGTTAATCATACCTGAAATTACACAATTGATTGTCCATTTGACATTAAATAGACTTTACTATCGTCTTGCGACCATTACATTTAGGGATGATTTAAAGGCTATTACTTAACAGAGATATCTTTAGCTGCTTTCCCTTGTATACCGATGATGGCTCCGAAGAATCTAATTAGATAGTTTAATCTCCATACCCTGTTGATCCAACTTTCCAAATTTTGACCTTCCAATCAGCATCACTAAAACTTGCCAACTGTTTACCTGTATGGTCGAATTCCAGACAATTAACTTAACCGCTGTGTCCATCCAAGACTCTCCATTTAACAGCAGTTCTCAAGTCGTAGATAATAATTTGAGTATCTCCGATTGCTATCTTTTAAGTTTGTTGGTGGAAACAAACACACTTAAAGGTTTTGCAAATAGTTTGCAAGGCGTAAGTAGCAGATCTATGACACACTTTCCTTAAATTTGGATTGTTTGGATCAAGACTTTTTAGAATGATATCCATAAGGAATGGTAGTTGTTTGTGGATGTTATTGTGTTATGATTTAATGTAGTACCTTATGATTTCGATGATGGAGGAGGGATATAAAAAATGTGTTTCCAAATTCACAATGTCCTTGTTCAAGATCTTAGTAAATTCTAGAGGAGCTGCAATGGCAACTTGAATGATGCTTTTGGCAGTGAGTTGTCTCATTCTTTTTTTCATATCTTCTGACTACTTACTAATTTCTTTTAATAAGTTAATCAACTGCATTTGTTGACCACCTTAAGTGAGAATCTATGAGTAATCTATTACAGTATTGTAATGAAAAAAGATGATGAATAGATTTTTAAAAATATCAGATGGATTGTAAGAATTTCGAAAATGCTGTTAGACATCAACAAATACTTTTAGAAGAGGTGCACAAAGGTGAGGATTTACAATACAATTTTTGAGATGTAATCCTTGAATCACTCTTCGTTTTTAATCTTCACTTTAGGCGAGAGTCTAACACATCCCTGTTAAATAGGATTCTAAAATAAGAAGGATTACCTCCACATTTGAAAATGTATGTCCTTGCTGCTCCTTATTTAGATCTAGCAGCTCTCTAATTAATTTATGCTATTCATGCATATCTTAATCAGACTTTCTAATTTATGACAGTATTAAATTACATGCGGCATTCATGACTTCATTGGATTCATCTATTGTGTATTAGGCTAACAAAAATAAATCCAAGGACTTAAAATTTACATCGAGCAATTGTTTTTTTTTTGTCAGCAATTCAACAGTTTGTATCATCAATTGATTAAATACCTAAGCCTCCTTGGATAAACAAGACAGGTAGAAATGCATCAATGACATAGCTCTTTACGTGGTGAAATGCGGTGACACATCCCAACCACGAGACAATGCAAAACTAACACAATAACCCATCGATTGCACTCCAATCAAAGGAGAGAAGGTTGGTTTCTAATAGTTCAATATCTAGTCTAACTATGCACTTAATTGAGCATCAGCCTCCCAAGGATGCAGGATTAAAAATAACCTATTCTAATTATGGTTATCTCCTGATTTCTTCAGGTCCCACCACTCCAATTCCCCTATACTGGTTTCTACAAACTTGCACATCCTCATATTGTTTTTAACTGAATTGTGATCTATCAAATACAACATCTTCGCTGCTGATTCAGCCTCGAACTACCACTATTTAAATTGGCCTCCTACTTCATACAAACTAGGATAAGGAGACTGCATCTTGATATAATTATTCCTTTGTTGAAACTCCATCAATTGATACACTTTACTTATTGATTTATTGAATTCTTTCTTGAACTCACTTAAGTGATGATGGCTGATCATCTTATCTTTGACTTTATTCAACTTCTTCTCCACCTGAAATAGTGAATGGTACTACTCTATCATCAATGTTCTCAAGTATCTTCCCTTGTAATCAAATACCAGGGATTCCCCTCCTTAAACTACCACAAACCATTAATCTCCTTGATCCTCATAGTATAACCCCAAAACCTGTTGATTTATGCCATGCAGTTTCAATTACACTCCTCCATCTTATATATTAATAATTAGAATAACATTATTCTCCATCAGTATGGCAATCTTTTAGAATTTTTATGACTAATTGGTTGTTTAAACTTCCTCATACGATTCATTCTCCAATTTATGAATTCTTATTGTTTTCTTTGCATAACTTGGGAAATAAACCCTCTACGCTGGTTCCAAATCTATGAATTCTACTTATTGTTCTCCCATCCTCTCATTAAACACTTAACTATAGTCCAATATTATAAACTAACCACTCTCAGAACTGGCAATCAGATACTTCCCCTTCTAGTATATAAATGTGACTGCCTTTTCGTCCAATTTGATTCTGTAAATAAAATATGATTTACTATTATATGTAGTTGGAAATCCAAATATGATACTATTACTGCAACCGAACCAATAAATTTGGCTCTCCTCACTTACACTAATAAATGCACTTGTGATTTATGTTTCGATGTTTATATATGGCAGATATTTAGTCTTAAACTGCGAGGAAGTCATTTGACCTAGATTCCAAATCAAATCGTCATTGTAAGATTTAGTGAAATCAAATGCCTCAACTTGTTTGCATGCTTGTCTCAATGTTTCGATCTTAATCAAGTCAGAAAATGTGTTGAATGACCACTGAAACCCATTGAATTTGATGTCTGACTCAGGTTGGTTAATGCGAATCAAAGACATATCCAAAGTCACATCCTTCAAATTGTATTTTAGCAAACATTAATGCTTATATTAGTACACAAGGTGATTTAATATGAAAATACCGTTAAGCTCTTTCTGACCTTCAGAACCGGATACTAACTCCTAGAAATTAATTTGAAGTCTACTGAATTGAGAACCTGCAATTTTAGTGAATTGAAACTCTTTAAATCCATACACAAAATCAGATTGTTCCTTGAGGATGGATAACAAATAGATGATGTCTTTGTACTCTAATCCAAGAACACTTCCATTCCTGGTAGTGATGTAGAGATGGTCTTACGAATAATGAACCATAGAAAACTTTTGATTGTTTTTGGATTAACTAATACACATAATCCAAGGAGTGTCATAGATCTCAAAGATCAAGTAAAGTTATCGATGCATCAAGATGGTCAGATGTTGAAATTGTTGATTATAACTCATATGTCTGATGCGATTGCTTGAGAGGCCTTCGATTTTAAGTTTCCTCAGTCCATCGCTTAGTTTAAGTTCCTTGAAATCCTACTTTATTGAATCTCTCTTCTTTTTGTATACCTTATAGTTCAGATATCTTTCGTTGTTCAGAGGAGACAAATTGATGAGATGCAAGCAGTTTTCCTGATCCAAGATGCATGCGATATTTAGATCGATTTAACAGAATGCACGTAGTTTACAGTCATATTGTTTAACAGTTCTCATTTTCCAAAGGTCGAAAAGACTCAAACCATTCTACATTCCCAACATCAAGAACCTACAATTATTGGAACTTAAAGGAATACAGTATTGTACAGGTCCTGCACTCTCATGTGCTGATATTGCAACACAGCGACCATCATTACAATCAAAAATTCTTATTCTCTTGTCCTCATGAATTGCGAGTATGCATTCTTCTGCTCTATCTAAAATGTTGAGGAATGACATTCGAACTAAATTCATGGTCAATAGTTTTCCATAGGCATTTGAAAGGTTTGGGTAGATCACAATCCTGGGATTCAGATCCTGCATCCAAATTACGATGTCTCCATGATGGCCAGCAGTCACCAAAACATCATCATTTGCAATTATGGTTTGGACAACGTGATTCTGAAGAGTCCTGTTTCTGTAGAGCAAAGGAAATATAAAATTAGGCATTATTTTTGTGCAATATAATAAAATATAGTTTGCAATTTATTTATTTATTTTTCATTCTTTAGTTCTTCTTCGTTTGACCCTTTCATTTTGCGTATCCCATTTAGTATTTAATGAAGATAATTAATTTAAAAATTATTATTTATGGAAGCTGCAGTTGGAATCGAATCATTCCTGCACGAAGGACAACCATTTAAGTGTATCTTCAAACATCGCTTCACCGATTTCATTGTCTAAGAAATCGATCTCAAGAATTAAGTGGCAGTGATATCCGATAAAACCAAATGGCAAAATACAGATCAGAAGCAGGATCAACCATTCCAAAAAAAAGATAAGGCTTTACCCTTTGCAAATTTGACTCTGTCTGAAGAATTTCTATAGCAATCCACCCAACTATTTGGACAAGAGGTCACCGAATCATTCTAATCATTTGTGGAAAAGGTGAAGACCACTGGCAAATGTGTATAGTTCGAGACTAAAGTCGCTCTGCCTGAATCAAAGGAAGATCGAATTAAGGTGCATCAATTGATTAGGTAAAACATTCCAATCCTTGAATCCTTTACTAAAAATGTCCACAATTAAAAGAGCAAAGCAGAAAAGAAGGAAGACAAAGCAAATGAAAAACTTTAGGAACAAGTCCTCCAAGATCACATTCTCATCAAGACTAGTAACATAAACTTCAAAAAATATGTGGCGAGTCAAACTACAAGCAAAGCCTATGGAGAGAGTAAGAAATTTGCCAAATTTTTGTTGATGAAAAGAAACATTGATTCGATCAATGCAGGAATGTTTATATCGAAGTAACTCGGATTATCGAATAAGCATTTTGCTATTGCAGGCACAAAGGATAAGAGAGGCATTACGACTTAATGGGCTACACTTTAAGGAATGGAAATTGCTTAGTTGATTGAAATACAGGAGAGGAAGTTTTGGAATTCGAATATCTTGATGTCTGATTACTCGTATTAAGATTCAGGAATTAGACTAGGAGAATTATAAGGAAATAAATTTTGTGTCACTTTGAGGTTTCTGAGTGAGTTGACACAAAATCAACAATGGGAATTAGCAAAGAACATTGAAAATTTAAAATACTATGGATTTGTGAATTATTTTGGTTTATAAAGATTCGGATCCAAGTACAAAATTAAGACTCATCAGATAGGTAAAGAAATAATCAAGAAGAATTGGAAGGAATGCATTCGATTGATCCTGTTGTCATCACAACAAGAAGACGAAGAGAGAATCAATCAATTATTTGAACTTGATGATTTCGTAACAATGTCCAGCATTATTAATCCAAGACTAAGGATTGAGAAACAATTGGTAGACAGTTTATTATAAAATGGAGTGCATAATTACTTTACAGCTTTGCAAAGTCTACCTAGAAATGCAAGAGAACTCTACCTCCATGCCTATCAGAGTTACATTTGGAATAGAATGGCATCGATGAGAATCAAATAATATGGAAATAAAATCGTCGTAGGTGATATTGTAAGTGCCAATATTCTGGATGAAGTAGTTGCAGACGAGGGAGAGGAAATCGTTTAATAGGTTGCAGAAGATGAAGAACAATAGAAAAATCAAACAATATCGGCTTGTGTTCTTGTGACTGAGTAGAATATTTCACAATATACATTTGATTAAATAGTGTTGCCAATCTATGGACACAAGATCACCATTCCTGAGGAATCGATAGTGTCTACTTTATTGAAGGAGATATTTTAGGAGGAACAAATTACCAAATAAGATTTCGAGGATGCGTCCAATAAGTTTTTTATTGATGGCAATTTCAGATATTTTGTACAACATTCTAGTTATTTAGGTTTAAATTCCCACTGAAATGGATCATCATTTATTCAAGTATTAGAACAAAGATCAAGATGTGGTTGATTCCTTTGGAGAACTACTCGTCGATCAAGGGACATATTAAGGTTTGCTTATCAAATTCAAATTAAAGAAAAGTAGTTATGCAACTATGCTGATAAGAGAGCTCACTAAATGCCCGTCAACTTTGGAGTTTTAATAGGAGATAAGTGTAGAATTCAAATGAGTATTTTCTACAATCTTGTAAAGGTGTATTTGAAATTAATTTCTTAACAATCATGTTTATTCTATACATGGAATTTATATTATTCAAGACTCAATTGATGTTAAGCTTAGTTCTTCTCCAGTGTCTTCTCTTTGAATTATACCTTGACTATTGTGTAATGCAAATACCTAATTGTGTTATCTGTTCTGTATCTGAACCAATTTGGAAGGGGTCTGTTTTGTTTGTTAGCCTTGATCAATCTTTTCTTCATTCTTAAGGATTTATGGGCTCCCTAATTCAATAGAAGTATATGAATACCATTTTTAAATCTTTTTTAATTTATTTAATATATTAAATGAGCAAATAAATTAATCACAAATCCTATCTAACTCTTAAGCTATCCTCTAAGTCATCTTTTGATTATCAATCAAAATTTAACTCATTATTAGTGGCAATTGAGCTTGTACTTGAACTATTCCATATACTTTATAATCTTAATAAAATTACACAATTGTTATTATTATATTAGGTGTCCTTGGTCTTTCAATTTTTTGCTTATTTATTCAAATGGTATTTCTATATTGCATAATAATTTTATATTTCTTAATTCAGTAACAATGCATTAAAGCATTTTTTTTTTAATTTAATGAAATAAGTAGTGGCAAGTAATGAGTATTGCACGATGAAAAAGGTTTAAATGCTGCATTCTCATGCTCAAACCAAAGACTCGAATTTAACTTTGGGGCGAACTNAATAGAATGGCATCGATGAGAATCAAATAATATGGAAATAAAATCGTCGTAGGTGATATTGTAAGTGCCAATATTCTGGATGAAGTAGTTGCAGACGAGGGAGAGGAAATCGTTTAATAGGTTGCAGAAGATGAAGAACAATAGAAAAATCAAACAATATCGGCTTGTGTTCTTGTGACTGAGTAGAATATTTCACAATATACATTTGATTAAATAGTGTTGCCAATCTATGGACACAAGATCACCATTCCTGAGGAATCGATAGTGTCTACTTTATTGAAGGAGATATTTTAGGAGGAACAAATTACCAAATAAGATTTCGAGGATGCGTCCAATAAGTTTTTTATTGATGGCAATTTCAGATATTTTGTACAACATTCTAGTTATTTAGGTTTAAATTCCCACTGAAATGGATCATCATTTATTCAAGTATTAGAACAAAGATCAAGATGTGGTTGATTCCTTTGGAGAACTACTCGTCGATCAAGGGACATATTAAGGTTTGCTTATCAAATTCAAATTAAAGAAAAGTAGTTATGCAACTATGCTGATAAGAGAGCTCACTAAATGCCCGTCAACTTTGGAGTTTTAATAGGAGATAAGTGTAGAATTCAAATGAGTATTTTCTACAATCTTGTAAAGGTGTATTTGAAATTAATTTCTTAACAATCATGTTTATTCTATACATGGAATTTATATTATTCAAGACTCAATTGATGTTAAGCTTAGTTCTTCTCCAGTGTCTTCTCTTTGAATTATACCTTGACTATTGTGTAATGCAAATACCTAATTGTGTTATCTGTTCTGTATCTGAACCAATTTGGAAGGGGTCTGTTTTGTTTGTTAGCCTTGATCAATCTTTTCTTCATTCTTAAGGATTTATGGGCTCCCTAATTCAATAGAAGTATATGAATACCATTTTTAAATCTTTTTTAATTTATTTAATATATTAAATGAGCAAATAAATTAATCACAAATCCTATCTAACTCTTAAGCTATCCTCTAAGTCATCTTTTGATTATCAATCAAAATTTAACTCATTATTAGTGGCAATTGAGCTTGTACTTGAACTATTCCATATACTTTATAATCTTAATAAAATTACACAATTGTTATTATTATATTAGGTGTCCTTGGTCTTTCAATTTTTTGCTTATTTATTCAAATGGTATTTCTATATTGCATAATAATTTTATATTTCTTAATTCAGTAACAATGCATTAAAGCATTTTTTTTTTAATTTAATGAAATAAGTAGTGGCAAGTAATGAGTATTGCACGATGAAAAAGGTTTAAATGCTGCATTCTCATGCTCAAACCAAAGACTCGAATTTAACTTTGGGGCGAACTACTAGTTACGAATCGAGCTAGTTTTGTCGCAATTTGGACATCATGATTTATAGAAGAGCGTCTACGAAAGAGGAAGTTAATAATTAAACCATATTCAAACACCTCTAGAATTACGATGAAAAACTAGCGATCAGTAACATTAATTGGATCAAGTAATTACCAATTTAAAATAGAAGTCCATCTCTCTATATTGAAATGAATGAACTGCAGACCAAAGTGTGGAGATCTCTAAGGAAACAATAGTTGGTATAAAACACGAATATACAAGCAATCAGTTTATTCAGTTGAGATCATAGTCTTGAAGAATCAAGGCGAATTTGAGTTCACATTTGATATCAGCCATCTTTCATGCTTCTTAAGAGTCAGGGAATTGGGCATTCTGATAAATGAAACATGTGCAGACAGAGTAAAATTGAAATTGCCATATTTGTCAATCTTGATTGGCAGAGTAAAGACACAGAAATTGGATGGGAATATGAGACTCTTTGAACTTGCTCATATCCTAATCAATGGATAAAGGACTCTTATTTTATAAGAATCCTGAATACAATTTTGATGATAAAAAATAAAAATTATAAATTTGTTACTTATTATATATTAATCCCTTCATTTTGAGATTTTGCTATAATTAAAATTAAGTAAATGCACTAAATGCAATAATAATCGATCCATCAATAAAAAATAGTCGAACTTACAAATTAAGGTATTCATAAAGTGGCATATTCGTAGGATTGTATGTTTAATTAGAGGAATACATCAGGACGAATCAAATAACACAACAAACTTATTCATAAGCCTTTTTGGAGTGCATACAGTATACGAGGGATAGCGAGGATCACTTTCAATGCATCCAACAAATTTTAAAGTAATTATTTTTCAAACTTTAAGACAATCGATTGATTTTAATTATAAAGACAATTAGGGCAACACGGCAATAGTTTATGCAGCGAGGACAGCCAAGATTAGTATTCTCAACGAATTAATCAAATACAAAGAGAAAATAGAAACTAAATAAATTAAGCTTGCTCTTGATATTGCAATCCAATCCGAATAGGATAATTGGGATATTGTTGAAACTCTCTTATAAATTACGTCTCTCGATAAACCATAACATTTAATTAAATCCTTACACAAGGGCAATTACAAGACAGCTGCAAAAATAATTGAGAAATATGGAGCATCTGGTTAAGATGAAAATGGAGACACAGCCTTACATGTGGCATCTCGCAAAGGAGAGTTAAATATCATCAAACAGATCTGTCAAAAGGAGTACCTATTTCAAAAGAAAAATAAAGTGAATCAGATTCCTTTGGATGTAGCTTGCAATGAAAAAACAAAAGAATTGTTAATTTTGGAAGAGACTCAATTTACAAAATCTCCCAATCGAAAAAAAAAGTAAGAGGAATTTCAAGAGAATACTCAGAAAATCGGAAAATAGGAAGAATAAGCTGATATTCTACCAAAGCTGGTTAAAGTTGTTTAATAGAGAGAATAAGAGACTTAGACTGATCTGAAGGAAAAGAAAGAATTGGAAGTGTAGTTTCCAGAACCAACATATATAAACCAACCTTTCTATAATCAATTGATTTGCGAGTCCTAATTAACACTACCACAACACAAAATAAGTTTGGATGATATAGTTAAGTATGCAAATTTTATGTGATTTTATAGACAACTTACCTTTGAAATCAGCACATTTACCCAAGAACTCAGTAAATACTTGGATGAACAGAAACCCATTATTGATAAGGTAGTCTAATTAGTGGATGAGGTATTTGTATATTAAATTGAGTGCTTAGACTGTTCAAAATGTGCAACCGAAATCTCGTGCTTTTCTCTATGGATCTTGCTAAACGGGACTGAATTTGTTGGATTCGGATATCGATATTGTTATTGAGACTGTTGAGTAAGAAGAGATCATCTTGTTGTTCAAATTGGCAGATCAATTCAAAGTATCATAGAATTTAGTTTTAGAGGACAAGCTTTATCAAGGATGTTAAAGTAATTGATAATGCGAAGAAACCTGTGTTGAAGATGCAATGTTCGAAAGAGTTCTAGGAGAAATTAATTGATATCACGATTAGTAGGAATGATCACTTTGGAAGGAAGACTGCCAATTCCATGATGGAGTTCTAGAAAGAGTTTAAATAGTTTAAGAGTTTAGCTTTGATGTTGAAGTTCTACTTCAAGTCAATAAATTTGTTGAATGCATATCAAGTATTGAGTGCTTTAATAAGGGTGGCTTGAATAGTTATTGTGTTTTGACTATGATTCTGGCTCTGTTGCAGATCAAAAGAATCAGAGACAACGAGAATGAGGAGATCGGCAAGACCTTTTTGGACTTCTTTGATCTCTACAGTCAAGACATAGACTATTACAACAAAATAATCAACATAGTGCCTTCCTCATCAGAGAATATGCAAATTGATGAACCCAATATTTATTAATAGCAATATTTTTAATTGTATGCATCTTTAGTTATATAGTTAGTGATCAAGGATATTAAGAGTTGATTATTTTGGATCTCCACAATAAAAGCAACAACATTGCCAGTAGCACGTTCAAGATTAAGAATATTAAGGTATGTTGTTCTCATTAAATGAATGAATAGAATGCTCTTAGTTTCGGATATAGTGCAATTCTGAATGCCAAGAAGTGTGAGCAACCTTGTTTCTTCTCCAGATATAACAAGCCCGTTTGTTGCATATTGAAACAAATGATTTAGCAATCAAAAAACAATCATTTGAATAGCCACTACAAAAGTAAGTAACCCTTCTATTTGTTTAATTATAATAATACTTATTGATGAGTTTAAATGTGTATTTAAAATAATATCAATTACATTCCGATCAAAATTTATGAAATTTATTATCATTCCTCGGATTGGACTTATCTACAACTACTTCGATATTGTTTTCATATCCTAATTGGCAAATCTCAGCAAGAAAGGTTCTTGAATTATGGATGTAAGTACCGCCTAACAAAATGTTTGGTTAATTGGCTAACACATTATTCTAAATTAATTACGCTATTTATTCAATAATCCAATTTCCTTGACTTCTTCAAAAGATGTTCCCCCAACGTAAAATATGATAATCTCGCTGGGTCTATCTCTAAACTAATTTAAGTTAGTGGATGGGAATTCATTCTCCTTGATTTTGTTGGTTAGAATTTGTTCTAAGATGGTTAGGAAATACGGCTGATGTTGAGTGTAGATGTTCGGAACATCCTTGAAAACAGACTTGAACTTTTGTTGAGCTTTAGAAAATATATTCTTGTCGCTGAATAAATCGCCTTATCGTCTGGCCTTACCAGAGTAATCCAATAAGTGATTGATTAAATTTAAACTGTTGTTCTTTACACCCAAGTCTCTCAACACATCCTTCATCCTTGAGATCTTATCACAATTTTCATATCTCAAAGCATATAACATAACCAATTTTAATTTCTCATATGTTTAAATGGTTCTATCTTCGAGCATCTAAAATACAGCTTTTTAATGCTCAGACTTAGCTTCATTACAAACGATGTCCTGTTCAATTTTAGATACTTTTAGTAATTGTCTCTCTTCAACTAATTTAGACAATTCGCAACTCAAGGCAACATGTTTGGACAAATTGCCACTCATCTTCCTTATTTCTGGAATCTTATCCACAGCCTTTTGCATATCCTCTAATGAATTTATTTGCACTGTTTCTTTCTTTTGTTAAGTGACTTTATCAATGAAATCTTTAATATTCTGAGCTAATTCTCCAAAATTGGAGTACGCATTCTCAGCAAAGAAGTCATCCAAAGCAGAAGCTACAACAAACTCATTTTCTGAATCAGTTTTATTGATACTCTATTGATATGAATGCTTAATTTTACAGCTGCCTAATTCAATGCTTTTTGACCTTAACGAATATCGATTCTGTTATTCTAGATCCCAATCAATTCATGGAGCATGGCCTAATAGGTCCATTGATTCAATAATAGAGTGGCTGGATCTTCTCTTCTATCTAAGATCAAGAGTAGACAATTTGAGAGCATAAATTAAGACTGGGATTGTTCATATTCTTCTCTCATCGTTTAACTTATCCGTTAAGCCAATTTTGCACAAATTTCACTTGACCCTTGATATCGGATCATTGGAATTCTCCTGAGACTGTAAATGGTAGCACTCAATCCCTCGAGCACTCTTTGAAATAGTTGTTCATCCTTTGAATTCCATTGTGTAACACTTTTGGTTAATGCAATCGTAGAGGGTATATTTAAGGTAAATGTATCAGGTTGCACTATGTAATAATCCAGATAGATTTCCTGTAGTTGTTTGATGAGATCAGACTCATCTGCTTCTGCCAATTATTCTATGTAAAAATTGCTTAGAGTATTGGTGAAGAAGATGTAGTATTCGCAAAATCTCTTGTCCTTGATTTCCTAAAGCAGCAATGTTTAATTTTCCTAAAGATTTAAATTGCATTCCATACTTGAGTTGGTCGAATCAAAAAGATAACCTTCATATGCTGAAGCTTTTATTTGGTAGAAGCATTCGCCTCTATCCTTTCCATCAGATAGACATCCTTCTTCAGGATTTACGATTGAGAATAGATGAGTGAAATGATGCCAATAGTTTCCTAATCCAAAATGAGACACTTCATTCCTTCGATGATATTTGTATATATCTACCTGACACCTCCGACAGAATTCGGTCAATGTAATCAGTGGCAGAGTTGAGTAGATTGAGAGTATATTTTTTTTGGGGTGCTCCTCGAGTTTATTATTATATCATTATAAATTATCAGAATTTAGTCAAATTAAAACTCAAGTGAAACTATTTACTTGTTTAAAGGTTCCGTATTCACCATAATCGATTATCTCCTTTTTCTATTCTTTTTAATCAGATGTTTACAATAAATCCGAATGGTGTGTCATCTATGCAATAGGGTCAGACTGAAAGAAGGGATGGTTGATTGCATCCTCTATCTTAATTCTATCTTTGGGCGTGTAAATCAGCATTCTACTAATCAGATCTAGGATGTAATAGTCGAATTTGAATTTAAAGAGTTCTGGAAAAGAAACCCTTTTAACTTTTATGAGATTCGCCTCTGTGATTGCGAAATTACTCATGAGTTGAATCTCATGATTTGAAGGAGTCCCAAGGATCTTAACTATTGAGAGTAGTATATCAGCACTCTTAGTTCCTTTGAATAGAGGGTAACCCAACAGCACTTCCGATATCACACAACCAGTCGACCAGATGTCCAAAGACTCGGAGATGTGCCAATTTCCTAGGATCACTTCAGGAGGAGTGTAGCTGTTAATAATTTCAAATTTGCCTTATTCGTTCAACTTTTGAGTCATACTAAAGTCATACAGCTTTAATTCATTATCTCTAATCAAACAGTTCTGTGGGTTTATATTGCAATGGACATATCCTTGTTTATGCAATGAATTGACGGCAATCAACAATTAATAAATGTACTTTTTGAATTCTTGATGGTTCATCTCTGTTTTGGATGCCAATGTGTTCGGCAAATACTCAAAGATCAAACTTATTGAGTTCTCGTGTTCACTGGTGAAGGAGGTTAACAACTTGGCAAAGTATTGCTTCTCCTTTAAGGTCTTCCAAACTTCCACTTCGTTCTTGTATTCTAACGAAATCTTCTTGACTACGAAGTTGTTCTTCTACTTATCTGATGCTCGATAGACTATTGTTCTGGCATTCTTAAATAGTATCTCCTCAACTGAATAAGTAATTTACTATTCATTTATCATATTTTTATTAAATTGCGATGAATACTAATTTCCAAATAACTATTTAGACCTTCAAATAACTTCATGAACCCCTCTAAAAATTGCCAAAGACTTGTCTCTTCACTGAATTATGTAAAACCAAGGACAATAAGATAACCAAGAAAAAAATATTTCAAACCAAAAAAGCATGGCTTACTTGGAAGGAAAGCATCACACGAGAACTAATACATTAAAGAACTCTCTCAGCCATGTACCCTGGTAAAGTTCTTACCATTCTTAATTACACAGTCGAAACTATCAACCATCAGAGAAATCTCTACATTACGTATGATTGTGGGGACGATGTCGAACCCTTATTTCAATATTTGAACAACAACTCTGTTAGTTTTCAAGAACAGACCCAGATATTCGAATAATTATTACAAATCACTTGTATCTTGCACAAGTCCCAATTCGAACACACGAACCTGAAGCCAAACAATATATTGTATAAGAATAAATAAGTTCTAATCACGGATTTCGGAAGTGCAAGGACTAACTACCAAAACTTTCTAAAATAGTATTCGGCTTCAGCTGAAAAAGATTGGTAGAATAATTTAATATTCTTCTACCCCCAAGAGTATTAGATCATCATGACAGAGGACAATGTAGACTTTAGAGAGGAGAGTTGGGAAAAATTAAAAGTTGAAATGTCCAATAAAAGCTTTAGAAAAATGATTGATACTTGGGCTCTATCCATGATGATGATGCAAGTTTTTGAAAACAATCAAATCTTGCCAAATAAATTACACGATTATTACGGATTAAACAACGGATTGCTGCTCCAGAAAATTGAAAAACTCAAACAATTCTCAGCTGGCATCTACTCCGAGGTCATTCACTCTCTAGTCATCCAAAAGATAGACCCAGAATCAGTTTATCAGAAGTTTCTTAAGTAAAAACAAATGGTTAAGAGCGAATCCTCCTCTATGGAGTCAACTTTTACTATCAAATAGATTTTTGACCTCGAACCTGAAGATACCTATTTCCCATCCTATAAACCTGAAAATTATTTCCTTGACAAAAAAGAAATCAAAAAAATTGAAGAACAATATGATGATGATGCCTCCAGTGTTATTAGTTCCACTTATCAAATTGATGTGATTGGCTATACAGAAAACAAACCAAATAACCTAACTCAAGTGCCCAATCTATTACCTCCCCTAAGAGGAGGTTAAGCGGGTATTGGCAGATAGAAGCCCTAAACCTAAAAATATGATGTCGCTTAAAATGGTCAAATGATTTTTGGATTTTAAGATAAAGAGGCACCAAAAGATGACACTAAAAAAAGGAATACAATTATGATAACCAATTATGATATCTTAAATTAATAAAATCAAGGAAGTTACTTTTAAGAACCTCCACCCCTTAATGGCACTAAACCCCATTATCCAATTCAATCAGAGATTTATAACAACAATGAAAATCAAAATTAAATTTCACTGAAAAAAGTCTAAGATAAACCTAAAGAAGGACGTCCTTCTATTGTCTAAAATGACCCAAATGTAGAACTAGAATTAAATAAAAATAAATCATTGAATCCTTTATCAATTATTTCAGTGGCCGATTTTGTAGACAAAGATTCTGAGAATAACTCACCACGATTTCCGTAAAATCAAACTTCAAATTTTTAATTTTTAGAGGCTCAAAATCTAGATGCTTTTAAGGAGAAAGGTGATTATTATGGAGGGGGAGGAGGTGATTTTATCAATACTTTCGAAAACTTTTAAATTGCTAATTTACAACCTGATAATTTATTATAGTTTGAAGATCCGAATTATAATCCAAATAACACAGGAAGATTTATAGGGTCCCAGGATTAATTATAACCACATAAAAAATTCATTGATTTATTGGAAATAGATGATTAAGACAATTAATACAAACCTCCAATTTAAAATCAACCTAATAAGGAAATAATTAAACCTGATCAGCAAGAAGAAGCTAATTTAATATAAGTCGATCCAAAAGATAAAAAAATGCCAGATTAAATTATCCCTTAAAAAGGGAGCTTAATTATTCTCAATGCGAACTAAAATGGGATTCCAATTATGGAAATTAGAGATCTAGCCAAAATCACGAAACCACTAGTGCCTATCTTACAATAAACTGATGATTATGATAACTTAAATAACGAAGATTTCAAGTTGGTTCAAATTTCTGAAAATGATGATAATGATAAAGGCTTTGTGGAAAAAGAAAAAAGGTAAAGCTTAATATAAATTGGAAAAAATGATAGACAATTTTAGCCAATCAGTTAAATTGACGATTATATTTAAGAAAAACCAGATGGAGGTAAAATACCAACTAATCCCTATTCCTTAGACGTAATCAAGAAAATATTATAAGAAGGAGTAACACAATTATCAGATCAAGAGTAACCTGGTGTAATAGATAATTTGAAATTGATTTAAAAAATTCTGTCCAAAGTAGTATAAAATATAACTGATCCTCAAGAAATTTTTGATCATGACCTAAAACCTTAAGAATAAATTCAAGTACAATAATTTCTAGCAGAAATCAGTAACCAAAATGAATAAGACATGCTAAAATTAATTGAGGATGTTAACGATACTGTAGACTTAATTTAACAAAAGTAATAAGTTGTTCACAATATTGATAACAAGGAAATTGAAAAAAATCCTCTTCTGCTTAATCTATTAAATGAAGAAGAACTAAAAAGAGTAAAGTAGAGAAATTAGGGCACTAAAATTCTTACAGATAAGATAGATAAACTTCTAGAAGTAAAGGATGATCTGAAAAAATTCAAATAGAATCCAAATATGCAAAATCTATTAAAAAAACAATAGATTGATTTACTGAATAAAGAGGAACTTAAAATATACCAACGTTTATTAGAAATTATGCCCAAAGATAAAAGATAAGGGGATAAAATATTGATTTAGCAAAGAGAAATTTAACGTAGACTAGATGAACTCTAAAAACAAGAGAAAGAAGAAGCAATTTAAAAAAAATTGGCTGCATTTTTACAAGATCCATCGTATGATAAATTATTATTAACTAATGATTTGATGCAGTTAACTGATGATTAAAAAAAGAAATACTAGGCAGCCTTAGAAGATTTATTGCTTAAAGTTCCACAAAGATAACAAAAATCAATTCAATAATAGATTGATCTCTTAAAAAAGGATAATAAGAAAAAGGCAGACAGCAAAAAGATTGAAATTTCTATCTCAGAAAAGTAGAAAAATCCATCGAATGAATAGCAATTTAAGGATGCATATATGCATGTCATGAAATAATTGGGAGAAGAAGAAGATGGGGAGGTTTTCTCAAAAAATTAATATATAAGAGGATTTTAATAATCTTCAACAAGCTATCAAATTACTGATATTATACCTGATGATTGTTAAAAGTATTCACAATAGAGCACAAAAAGGATAACCAAGTTTTATGATTTTTAAGGTTAAAAATATAAAGGATAAACCCTTAATGATCAGCCTGATGGAATGGGAATATTAAGAAAGGAGGGTGTTTCATCTATATACAAGGGTATTTTTAAGTAAGGCAAATTCTATTGGGGATAAGTTTTGGAGATGAATGACGATGGCTTGTTAACCCAATATGTTGGATATTATCATTAGCAATATCAAGTCAAGCACGGGAGAGCAAAATTGAAGTGGTATTAGCCAAAAAGAGAAGGATTATGTGGAGTGTATCAGTTTGATGATCATGATCGTTATGAAGGAGATTTTGTATTGGGCTATATTCATGGAAAGGGAAAGAAGATTTATAAAGATTTATCTGAGTATGAGGGAGATTGGAAGAAGAATAAGAGAGCAGGACAAGGAAGATTAACCTTAAAGAACAAAGAAAAGAAAACAATTACGTATGAAGGAGAGTTCTAAAATGATGTTCAACATGGAAAGGATGTTAAGGCCATACATCATCATCAAACAGGCCAAGATTTGGTAGTTCAAGGAGAGTATAGAAATGGTAAGCCTTGCGGATAGCATTAACTAATCTTCAATAAATTACCATAAAGATAAATTGATTATTGACTAGATTTTTTATATAAGTGAGTTTTATTATAGATAGTACTCTATTTTATTGAGCAATGAAAAATATATATTAAATTATTTATCAAAATGTTGAGTGTGATTTTAAGAAGAAGCGCCTCAAGAAGTATTGCAATTAGAGGTGGTCATGGTTGGGATAGACCAGACGTACCCCTGACAATTGGATATCAACATAAAAGAAGAGTATGCATCTATTTATATCAATGTAGATGGATGTTTTCGATACAAATTTATGGTTTTATTGTGGAGTGATGCCTGAATACTTTATCAATTAGAGTAATTAATTAATCTGATCTGTAGATGAGGGATATTTGAATTCTGCTTAAAATGCCATTAAATATTTGATACTAGATTCGAAATATATAATTGCAGCTTTCGCAGCAATTATTTTCACATATGAAGTATTCTATGAAGCCAGATTCTGGAACATCCAACCAGATTATTTGAAAAACCCTATAGTCAGCTACTCAAGAAAGGTGTAATAAGAGAGACCCTTCTTAGTTAAGCATTTCTTAGACCTAAGTAAGGACTCCCTTCATTTTTATTCTCCTAGGCATTACAGGTGATATGGGTATGTAAAGGATGACTCCAGGGGAAAAGAGTTTCGCAACTGAACTATTGGAGACTTATGAAGAATAAAATAAACACATCCAACTCATGAATTTGGAAGGCAAGACATATATAGAAAGAGTTGAAGCCGAGTCTAGACAAGCTGTAGCTAGAAGACATGGATAAGTTGAAGCTCATCACCATCATCATTGATATGAATCATATTAAATAATCAAAGGAAAATTATCTTTTTGTTATGATAATAAATATCACATCATCATTTAACCAATCTACATTTATTGATGCGTTTATAATTTCAACAGCTTATAAAAATGTTTGTAATTAATTCTCTACAAGAAAATAAAATAATATATTTTTATACCTTTTCAATATTAATAATTATTGCAATCCTTAATTTCCTATTAAATAAAAACATCCAAAATATCATATAACTTAAATGACAGTAAATCAAACAAGCATTTTGAAAATGACTTTTCACTACGAAATTTGAAATTACCAGTATAATAATCTTTATCCATTTAACTAACATCAGGTTTTTTCATATATTTTATTATATTTTAAAATCATAAACTCAAAATGGGAACTGCCTGCTCTTTGAATCAATAATCCATAGAATTATCACCTCAAATAATATTAGATCGCTTTGAACTTAGAGCCTACCCATTTTAATGCAATGCTAAACTCTATACTCATTGCCCTACTAGACAGGAAATTTCTAAATTTTTAGTATAATAATCTAAGGAGTTCATTGATGAAGAATAGCCATCCGATTCTGGTGAGTCTTTTTTGGAAGATTCTCACAAAAGAACAGAATCTTAAAACACATAAAGAAATAGTTTAGATTTCTCAATAAATAAAACAGAAATTCATAAAAAAGGTATTCTCAGAAAACCTCATTCTTTAAAAACGATAAGTCAAAAATCGGTTTAATAAAGACAAAAAAAGAAGGTTCATTTTTAAAAGTCTAAATTTGTTAATATGTGAATACTCTTTTTGATTTTCATTTATATATTCATATGATTTTATTAATAAATCTTAAATTTAATATTTTATTTTATAGATAAACCCCTTTTATATCAAATTTATTCTGCAAATTCTTTTTCAATTATCAGTATTTTTTCTCCACTATCGATAGGTTTGGTTCGAAAAGTCAATTATCTAGATAATCTCGAGTTTAATTTCTTCTTAAAACAGCATTCTTAAGACTATTTATTAAAGAGCAAAGCAATTAATCCAAAATAAATTAGAATTATTATTTAACTAGTCATACAAGTAAAAATTTTAGTGAGATATTCTAAATTAAAATTCATAATATACTTAGTTGCATATCTACTTGAAGCTAAATAATTATTATTCACAGGATCGGGAACAAATAAGAATTTTACATCCTTTCATCCTAATTCCTATGATGCTTCATCTTAATCTTAGAAAATAATAGCCTTTTGAGTATACCATACGAATAGCAATTGCGAATAACAAATTAAATTAAGATTCTAGAATTATTTTTTAGGAGCTGATCTAGCTCTAATATCTCCAGTTAAATCAATAGAATTAGCAATACAAACAGCTCTAGAACTTTTAGACAATGATGTTGTAGAAATTTCTGAGGAATTTTTACAAAAAATTATTTGATAATATTTAAAGGCTTAAAAAATGACATAATAAAAAGATAATGCTGTGAATGTAAGATGAGAAGGCCACTTTAAATAATTATATAGACTAAAGGGTCACTCATTTTTATAAATATTATCAATAGGGAAATTAATCTGACAACAATTGATGTGGCCTTCTTATTTGCAATGTAAACATGTGGCTTTTTGAAAATCAAATCGAAATCCGAATAAAATTTTGGCTAGCGAATAGTTTTGTTACTTTTTTTTTAATTTATGTTTTAGAATGCTCACTAAATAGTAAATTTATAACCTTTATATGCTTGTGGTTTCATCTCAATACAGTCGTCAGAGGAGGAAATCGATATTGGTTCCTGTAGAAGATGTAATAATACTTATAAGATCTGGTTGATTTGAGAATTTTTGCTTGACTGGTTTTACTATTCCATTGAAAGGAAAATTAATTTAATATTGATTAATAATCATTTCAATTAGTCTCGAACTTTCTTACACAAGGGAGTAGAGGGCAAGTTTTGCTCTGTATTATATTCTAAGTAATCTGTAAAGTCAGTATCTTTAAACCAGTCGCCCAGTCCGCAGTCAATAAATTACTGAATGAAATCTAAACACAAGATATTGAGAAAATCAGATTCTAAGATTAATACCAAAGTGTCAATCAGTCTCAATGCCAAGGAATTTGGGAGAAGATCAAACAATTAAGAGTAATTTTTGTAGCTCATCAAAAATCTGATTAAATATAGATCATCACCTTCATGAAGTAGCAATTCAACAGCATCTTCCAATAGCCCATCCTATTGAAGTCTCATAGCCTTTTGCCATACATTAAGATTAGGCTCATGAACAATATTAGAATAATCAACAGTGTTTTCAAATTGATCCTCAATCAAGGCTTATTTGATATCTTATTTAAATTGTTATTAGGTTTGTATTTTTTGATTTACATATACTTGTCCTCCTCCAGTACCACTTTATTTTTTCAAGAAACCAGGAGATTGATCAAGTGAAACAGGATTAGGTATTAGTTCGCAATCAATTTGTAGTTTGAGTCTCATCCATTCCTTTAAAGCAGCTCGAGCTGCATTTTAAACTGCAATTACTCTATCCCTAGTAGAATCTTCTAAGACGATGATAACTTATTCAAGTAAATTTCCTAAGGCAATTTTGAAATTGGAGTTTTAATACTAAGAAGCAATTAATTTCATTAGATTTAAGGCTCCTACTCTTGTCTACAATATTATCAAATTAAATTGATTACTCTGTAATTGAGTTTTAGATTATTAATTCCTTGAAGTGTTTTATCAATGACTTGAATTTACTGACTTGTAAAACTTTAAATTTATAATGTCTTTATAATAAAGAACATAATGGTATAAAATCCAGAGTGATCTATTTATTATTTCTAGTTAAATTAATAAATACTATATAAATCCCTAGATAATCTTTGACAACATCCTTTATGAATGCCAAATCCTAAGCAGTGGTTAATGTTTCAAATAATTATGCCAAAACTATGGTAGCAGTTTCCTATGTTTGTCTACTACCACCAGATCCAATCAATTAACTGAGAGTGGAATACATCAATAAGACCCTTTATTGAACAGGCTTTTTGGAGATGTTCTTAATGTAAATATTTGACCAACATTCACTGATTGCCATTTGGACATTATTGTTAGAATCCTAGGAATGATCATTTTATGTACATTAAAGTATTTGAGTATTATTTCGATAAATTTGTAAATATCTGTAACAGTAATCGTATCTCCATAAATACCTATAATAATGTTGATAGTTTTGACAATGCTCTCACTTCCTTTACCATTGATTGGAGTTTGCAGACAAGTAATCAATAATTATAGATTCGGTTAAGATTGATTTTATTAGACCAATTAAAATATATTAGTATAAGCAATTTGCTTAGTGCTCAGATCCCCTAACTTTGCCAGCCAATGTTGAAATTGCATTCTTAAATCATATTAACTCAATGGTTATGCTTTCTGTATGTATTGTAATGCAACTCTAGATTTTTGATCTACTTGAGCCTTTGCTTCTATCTACTTCTTCAAGTCTCTCAAGGCTTTCAAGGATGTGAAGGCATCAAATTCTTCAAGACTCATTAGTTATTTATATATAAATAAAATTCATTTCATTTTATCCAATTAGTTCAGATATTTTAAGTGTTCTTTCTCAAGACGAGCAATTTCATCATCAAAAGGATCTTTGCTAATATTATTGTTATCTGTAGGTTTATTTGGAGCACTTTTAAATGTCTATTCATCTTTCTTTCTTGCCTAGGGTTTTGGGATATTTCTAGCAAAATCCATAGCTTTAGTTCTTGAATATATATTATTTCTACCTTGCATTAGGTTCAGATTACTTAGGCTCTTTTATTCTAGTACTTACAATATTAGTTGAATTGAATTATCTTACTTATTCTGCAAATTCTTAACGCTTTAATGCTTTTTCTTTGTCTTTTGCCCACTCCTCTCCGCTTAGATTTGGCCCCAAGCCTCCCAATTTCGCATTTGCAGTCTTCTTCATAATCTCATAATCATGTATAGTGTATGGCTTGTAGCGTTTCGATTCATCTGCAGACTCTACTTATTATTTAGCTGATTTTGATCGATTATCTTCTTTTTTCTGTGGTTCTGTTGTTACTTGATAGTTGGCGATTGGCTGAAAGTATTATTATTGACTTAAGTATTGAAGAGAGTCCAATATTTATTGTTCCCCAATATAGGGGTTATACTGAAATAGGGTTTGGTTTTTTGTATGTTTGCTGTATTAAATTTTTGATGGAGATATTTAAATATTGGTTTGTTGTTAGAGGGGCTAATACATTGGAGGAGGTGGCCTATTTTGATCTTGATTATTTGATAATCATACAATCAAGTTCCTTCTTGATGGGCTATTGACACGTATTCAATACAGATTCTAATCCATTTTTACCCATCACTGATGTTTTCCCCTTAAACCTCTCTTAAAATGTTGCCATATTTTAATTAAATAAATTATGTTATTACTATCATAAATTAATAAGATTGATTAATTTCATTATTTACTAATGATTAATAAACATCGAAATGCATCCAGTCTAAGACATTTTGCATATAAGAACACTTTTTTATACAAAATCTTTTATTAATAATTTTAATAAAAAAATAAATATTGAAATCCAGACATTATTATTCAGATTTTTAAGACTAAAATAATAAATTAATAAAATGGATGAGAATAGTGTTATAAGCTATAAAATTAGTTAACATTCATATGTTTAAGGGAACTTGAATAGCTTAGCTTATTTAGCTAGTTGACATCTACTTCTATTAAAACTCTAATTAAAGCCCAACTGGCTCACTCCTATTTTATTAATGCGAATTCTAATTTTCCTCCTAACTTTCTTTATCTATAACACTTGGATCGGTTTCTTCTTTTTTCTTAGACAATTTAAGAATGCATCCTCTCAATAATTTAAAAATTGAATAGAACGATATCACTAATTAGTAAAATAGTACGCTTATTTCAACAAATAATGTTAATATTACAAATGCTATGATGATCCATCCAAAAGTTACTTTATGGGTTTCAATATACTCGATCTGGGTTTAATCATTAAAAGCGAATAGTACAATTATAAGCAATATTGAACTTAAGCTGAGATCCGAGATAAATTAAAATGTAAATTACGCTTTAGTTTTGTAAGGATTCTCATATAAAATCAAAGCAAGTCCAAAATTACTTGCAACAAAACAAAACAAAGTTTGCAATAGTGGTTAATTATAAAAGTATACTGTAAAGAATATATAGAATATTTTTCTTAACAATCCAAAAAACTTGTATTTAGCTCCAAAGGCAGAATCAGTATTAACATTTTCATAGTATATTTCATACTTTTCTTTGAACTATTTATTCTCTGATAATAATTTGTGAATATTTATTGTTTTATAAGACTAATGCAAGTGGAATAGAATAAGACTAATAGAAACCACTGCGAGCAGCTAATTAATGCCAACTATGATATGATATAAGTTTTCAGCATAATTTATTTATAACATAATTGCTAGAGTTATATCTAGGAGACATAATGAAATAGTTTATTTTACTTTTTTTCTAAGCTCTTTTTAAATTGAATTGCATTGGATTATCAAAGTATCTAAAAATTTTTACTCTTTATTTTTCATTTTCAATCCATTTAATTAAGTCTTCTATTTTTCAATATGGTTTTTACCTTCCAAATTAAATATACTAAAGCGTTTTTCTTTTATGTTGTTTTTTTCATTCAATTTTGATTTTATAAAAAACAATAATAGAAAAAGTGATTTCATCATTACATAAATTGCAATGGCTGAAAATATGAACATGAAAGGTATCTAAGCATTATTTAAAAATAAAGGGTTAATGCCTTTGCTCTCAAATCTTTAGGGGGCTTGGAAATAATAATTGCAACCAGGTTAATTTAGGTCTTGATAGGTTGGAAAGTTAATTATGGAAGTCCAATCTGAATTCAAGAAGAATACTTCTACATTAAATGGATAATGAACATTCAAGAAATAAAAGTTATTAATCCAACTTAAAATTTCTAAAACTGCCCATAAATAATCGAATAAGTTTGTAATAATGGAAATGGGAATCAAAATTAAGAATATCAAACCGAATGATTATTGAGCAGATGATATTGAATCAGCTTAATTTTATTGATTATCATTGTTGATGATTAGTTCTTCTGGTTCGATTTCAAATGAAATTATATTTTCTGATGGGTTTAACAACCTTGCCTTAGCTTCTTAAAAGGTGAATTAAACATGAATCTTATTGTATTTATATATGGATTGATAGAATTTAAATTGAATTCTGCAATTATCTTAATTAGTTGTTGTAGTAAATTCGAATTAACTAGCATCATAAGAATCAATTTTAACCACAACATCTTCACAATCTAAAGAGAACCTTCGATTTTCACTCTCCATCTGAAAATCAAATGAATGAAACCCAGAAGATTTGATTTGCTTAAAATTTGAATAATCAATAACTTATCCTTCTAAGTGGCAAGCAGAATCACATCCGTCCTCATCCTCTTCATTCCCATCATCACATTGCTCTGAGGTAGCAACTAATATCCCATCACCACATCTGGATACGCAGGCCTTAACTTCTGTGTCAGTGTACAATCCTGCATAAGATTCACAAAAGTCGCAATCATTTCTATAACAGGATGTACAACGAAACGAAGATTCCTAACAAGTTATGCAATTAGAATCGCATAACTCACAGTTTTTGCCAACAGAATAGTATCCCTCCTTGCATTTTTCACAAACCAGTTTATTATTTTTGCTTGAACATTATACACAATTTTAGTCACATGTTTAACAAAGAGAAAAAGTAGGCCCATAACAAAGATAACCAGGAACTATCTAACAGTTGATGCACCCTTTATCGTTAGGATTATCACATTCTTCATTCTCAGCAGGATTTACTAATCCATCTCCACATTATGTTTAGCATATTGAATCTTGTAAAACGTAACCGCTTATGCACTTTAGGCATTATCCATAATGGCAGAACGAGCAAAACTAGTACTCATCATGATTGCATTCATCATATTTGATCAACTTACATTCTGAACATCCATCATAATTCTCTTAATTACCGTCATCACATTCCTCTAGTCCTTAAAGAATATAATCTCCACAAATTGTTTCACATAATCTTGTTACGTCATTCAAATAATAACCATCCTCACATAAAATACATTAATTCTCAATGCAAATTCTACATTTAAATATACATGAAATTTCATCTTTTTCGAATAAGTGAGAATTATATGATACTTCAAAACTAGCCTTTGTAATGATTTGTTGAATAAGGGGGATATCATCGTATACTTATATATCTTTCTAAAGACATACTCCTTTGACGCATTTTAAACATTATTCTTCGCATTAAAATTAGCAATTAAAACATCCATCAAAAGGGAAATTATTATTGTCTTCGCATTCCTCATCACCGGAAAGTATATTATCCCCACAAATAGATGAATAATTTTTATTTGAGGTCACCAATTATGATTTTCTAGAAATTTCATATTAGTATTAGACAAATGAATCGATAATGACAGAATCTAGCAAATCTCTTTCATAAGATAACACTTGGCTTGATTCGTTCATCACAAAAGTACAACCTCCACTTATAAGTGCCGTGCATTCCCTATGAAAATTGACGCAACCTTCAAAAGGAAATTCGTTGCTCTAATTACATTTTGTAGAAGTTAATATTATAGGATATTCCCAAAATTCTATCACACTAGCTCTTAACTTAGTTTGCAATAAAAATAGTATCGATAAAAGTGAAAAATAATTCATCTAAATATCTCCACCCTCTATTTAAATGAAATAAATACTAAGATATTTTAGAATTAGATTTATTATTAATAATGTATTAAAAGTTTATTAAGCATAAAATTAATAAAAGAGCTTTGAGATCATAAAATTGTAAAATTATTCAAATCAACTTTTTTTCGATTTTCTACTTTATCTCTATTTTCAATACTTCTTATTCAATTTATTTTTACCCTAATTATTAAATTATCAAACTCAATTTCTTTTCAAAGAATTTTCATTAGAGCATGGTTTTTATTTACTAAATTACACTTTTTGCACAATAAACTTTCTTATTTTTTGAGTACTTGAATAGTTTTTTATAATTTATTATAGAAATCTTTATCCTGCAAAGTTTTTTCTATTATGACTTCATCTAATAAACATATATTATTATAATAAAATCTTTATTAATAATAAATTTAAATGCTTCTAAATTATTCTATAATTCTTAATGAGAATTGGCAATTTGTTTAACATAATCAATCTATGCTTTCAAATCAAGCTCTCTTAAATTTGAAGGGATGCCTATGATAATTTAGGAAAGAATTTATTACCTTTAGTTGAAGAATCGCTTTTCCTATTAAATTTTTTATTGTTTTTAAATTTAAGAGGACTATCATAAAATGGATAATTAAGATGAATTAATAGTATTTGTATTGTTAATTATTAAAGTTTAGTAACATTGAATATTGTGTGTACTAATTTTCATGTAGGTACTTTGTATTAATTTTATTTCTTAAAATAATTTGATTATAATATGAGATCAAATTTAATTGATATACTTTTAAATTATTATATCTCCAAATGAAATAATTCCGGCAATTTATATCATTAAAAAATTTGATTTATTCATGAATTTCTTTGACCTGATGTCCATAATTACTTTCTTATTTTTCTGTTTAAATTTCCATTGATTCGATGATTTCTCACTGTAATTCAGTTAATAAATAATTTGTTAAGATAATACATTCGATTCAAGCCTTTCTGATACAACTAGTGTTTTTCAGTAGATTCTTTTGTCATTTAATTTTAATCTAAATTCTACCATCCTCATACATTTTTACAATTGTATTTATTTAATATTTTTTTTTCTCACTTTCTAATGAATAAAAACTAACATATTCCTTTATATTTATCTTATTGTACTCCTAATATCATTTATTCATAATTCTTAGATAAGGCTACTATTATTTAAGGCTTATAGTTACAATAAGAATCAAAAGATTGTTTTTTTCTTCTAAATCACTCAGGAAAGTTATAGCCTCTTTTTTCTCTCAATTAATTATAAAGGGGATCTTGAGAATTCTTATTTGGTTAATTTCAAATTTTTTTTTTAGATGACATTATATTCAATCCATTATTATTATTTATCGTACATATAAATCATTCCCTCTATGACATAATTTTACATCCTTTAATTCCAAATTCAAATTTTAATGTCATTAATTTATATACTTTTTCGAATACAACAGAATTAAGATAAAACCCTTAATTTAATGATTTCATATAATTATTGCTAATTTTTTTTTCCAAAATAAATTGAATTAAATAATAATAAATTTAATACCCAATATAACATCCCAATGAGTTCAATTCTATTTACTCCAGAATAATAGGTGAAAATTTAATAAGTCTCAGAATTCTCCAATCAAACAAAAGAAAAAGTCATTTAAGTTTTATAAACAAATAACTGGTAAGTAGAAAGAGCTATTGATTTTTTAACGAATGCAGGCGGGTATATTCCCGATCCAATTCCTAATTCACCAGCAAAGCATGCTATAAATTACGATTAAATTCCTATCAATCCTCTATAACCTAAAAGAGGTTAAGGAGATAATTAAATCTCTTAACTAAAGATAGTAAAGATAGAAAAGAATGATATCTAAAAAATAGAGGAGCAATTAAGTTTGATTTAGGATCAAGTGAGGGATACCTCTGAAGTTATTCAAGCCAAAAATCAAATGCTTTAAAAATCATTGAATAAGAACGTAGATAATGATCTTAAAAGAATTTATCAATACCCAGTTGGCTTAGCTAATTTAGGAGAGAAGGGGTATTTTAATTGCATAATTTAAATTCTGGTTTAGAATCCTGTATTCTTAGAGAATGTATTGAGTTGGTAAACGGGATTGAGACCCAATAATCAGGAAGACAAAAATGTAATTTTAGAATTAAACATAGATTTCCTTTATGTAAGAATTCTAAACGATGGTGAGAATGCTGACTTTTACTAACTAAAGGTTTTTGAATCCTTCTAAATTTATTCAATAAACAGCTGATGTAATAGATATCATTACACAAACAAAAATTTAAAATAGAAATTTAAAGCCTCATGAATTTTTCGAAATATTCCTCATAACTTTAGATGTAATTTTATGCAATAAAGTCTATGAGAAAAAGCAATAAAAGAAACTATTAGACCTAATATTATAACCTCAATTTTAGATTGCTTTATAATAATAGTAATAATTGTAAGTTAATGAAATTACTCTCAACTTCGTAAGAGAAGATAGATATCTATACATATCGCTTTTGAAACTAGTTTGTTAAGATTAATTCAACCGGTTTGCAAAGCTTCCTTAAACATTCAGCTTTAGTTTACAATCAAATCAGAATTCTAATCTTTAGGAATCAATAAGTCAATCAAATGTTGATTATTGGTTTCCTTTGACAATAAATTTGGAATTTCTGACTAGTGAAAAGTTGTGCAAGTAACTAGGCACTAAATTGTTAAACGTAGTGAATACTAAAACAATCGAAGAAATCAACAAAAGTATAAATGAAATAAATATGTTTAAGAATAGATATTATTGAATTCTTTGATCATAGTTGAATAGAGTTATGAATAGAATAAAATTATTCCTATTAATGTGATAGATTAATTGAGAATAGAAAGAAAGAAACTATAAAGCGAGCTATAGAAATATTTCTTGCAGAATGATAATTAATTATAGAGTGACTAAAATTAAGATTATTAGTATTACTTACATGCAGTAGTTATTTAAATAGGTAAAGATGATAAATAACACTATTATGCTTATATTTACAATTTTAAGCTAAATCAATGGTATAGATATAACGATACTGATGTAAGAGTGGAATCAGATGATGTAGTGAGGAAGGATGCATAATAGAATGGGTGTTTCTTTGTTTACGTGAGTCAAGATCAGAAGAGGAGTATAACAAATCATCAAGATAGGCAGTCCAAGATAGCAAATAATTTAGATTATGAGTAAGGCCTCATAAATTGGAATGATTTGGAGTTGAACAAATTAATTAAGCCTCAGATTCCAATAGAGATTAAAAAGCTAATCTAAAGTTAAAATGAAGGCTTTAGAAACTTACATCAATGAACTATATAAATAATTGTTTATTTAATAGCAATATTTATTTCAGAATATTGAACAATCTTTGTCTTTCTTCTATTGCTATACTGGTTGCTACACCTCCTATTTCTTTGGTTTTTGTTGTTCAACAGGTTTAGTATTTTAATCTGGTTGTTGGTCAATTTCGTCTTAATTATGATCCAAATCATCAACCATGTTCCAATTACTAAAATTGGATTCTCCAAACCTATCTTTATCGTATTCTTTGATTAGAAATCTAAAGGATATGTTTTCAAATTTACTTCTCTTCGTTCTAAAGTAATTCAATCGTTAATGGTATTTTACTGCTGTAGAATGGACTGCGAGTACTCATAGGGATTAAAATCCAGTCATAGACATAATCATACTCATAGCCTTCCTTGACGAATCTCTCTTTGAAGATCTTTTTCAAAAAAGAATAGTCTGGTTTTTCATCATACTTAAGATTTCTAACATAGTTCATGAATTATTGAAACTCATTAGGAATACCTAATTATTATTAAATGAACAAAAATACCCTTGCATAATTGATCAATTGGAGTGGATATTTTCTTTTCCATAATTTTCTAGTACTTTTCTTCCTTCCTGTTGGCTCGAATTCCTTACCAAGGCAATGTTCCTTTTAAAAAATAGATGAGCATGTAGCCCAGAGCTTCTAGGTCATCTCTTCTTGATTGTTCAGTTCCCTTGTGAGTATTGATACTGGCATAACGGGCTGTTCCAATGAGAGGTTTTCCTTCTTTCTGAGGAATGTGATCATGAGTGCGAGCATCTCTGTATCGTTTGGAAAGGCCGAAATCTATTGTGTAAACTATATGAGATTTCTTAGCACATCCCATAAGAAAATTCTCAGGTTTAATGTCTCGATGAACATAATTTTTAAAATGTATGTATTCTAGATTGGATATCAGTTAATCTGCAAGCATGAGCACTGTTTTGAGAGTGAATGCTCTTTTGCATAAGACGAGTAATTCCTCTAGATTTTGTCCCAAGAGATCCATAACAAGGAAATTGAAATCATTTTCCTAACCGCACCTAAAAAAGTATTAAACAAACAATTAAACCATAGCATAGACGGGATACCCACTCCTCCTTGCAAATTTTACAGAATCTTGCCTTCATATAATAACTAGGGATGTTTGGATTTGACTTCCTCGATTTTAATTGCTACATCTTGGTTAGATTGGACATTCTTGGCAAGGTAGATTTAACCAAAGCTGCCAACTCCTATCTTAGGTCCCAGTTTATACCTATGGTCATATAGTTGCTGTTTACCTTCCACAAACTCTCAATTCAATTATACTCATTAATTAATATAATGAAGCAAACTCCTAAGATGAGTTAGGCTATCAGTCCCAATAATAAACTCATCAACACTTTGTTGTTAAAATCCAAGAGTCCTTCCCAATACACAATTCAAAGTCCTGCCGTCTCTCCAACCCAAGTGAGTTTGCCCAAAGCCCTCTATCCTCACAAAAACTCTTCAATCGATCTAATGAAATTGGCAACATTGATGAAACAACAGAAAGTTAAATAATCAGCATCTGAGGGATCCAAAGACTCAATGACTCAACTGATAGCCAAAGCTCGTGCCATTGCCATGTCAGCCAAAACTCCATCAGGACCCATTCATATTAGGAATGACTCTGCACAAGTGCGCAAAGGAAACAAGGATGCTGAAGTAGTGAGTCCAAAAGCCAACGATTTAAAATAAATTAATAAGGCAGCCTTCACTTTTGAATATGTAATCGGTATTGGAGGGTTTGGGAAGGTGTGGAAGGTCAAAAGAACAGGTCAATAGTTTGCAATGAAAGAGATGTCCAAAGCACTTGTTATCACTAAGAAAAGCGTGAATTCTGTAATGAATGAGCGAATGCTACTTAGTTAACTTAAACATACATTCCTCATTAACATGTATTACGCCTTCTAAGATCGTGAAAACCTCTATCTAGTCATGGATTACATGTGCGGAGGTGATCTGCGATTTCACATTGGCAGAATGCGTCGCTTCAATGAAGAGCAAACTAGTAAGTCTTATGTAACATTTCAGAGTTCTTTGTGGCATCTATCTTCATTGGTCTCGAGTATCTACATACAAACAACATCATTCATAGAGACATCAAACCAGAAAACTTAGTCCTCGATGAAAAGGGATTTGTCCACATCACGGATCTAGGAATCGCTCGTGTCATGAAACAAGAAAATTCAAGCGACACTTCTGGAACTCCTGGCTATATGGGTATTTATTGAATTATATAATTCATTAAAAAGCACCTGAAGTCATGTGTCGACAAAATCATACATTTGCTGTCGACTATTATGCACTTGGAGTCATTGCCTATGAGTTTATGTTAGGAAGGGTAATATCATTAAGTCTATATTTCATAGCGTCCTTATGTTGGCAGGTCTCGTCAAGAGATCCGTGATTAAATTCTTGCTCGACAAGTCCAAATCAAGGCTAGTGAAGTACCCCCCAACTGGAGCGTAGAAGCTGTCGACTTTGTTAACCGACTGCTCCAACGCAAACCAGCAAGTCGTCTCGGTTTCAATGGTGGCCACGAGATCAAATTGCATCCGTGGTTCAAAAACTTTCCATGGTCAAAGCTCTAAAACAGGGAATTGAAGGCTCCCTTTATTCCCAATCCCAGCGATGACAATTTTGATTAAAGACAAATTGTCATTGAAGATGAGGAAAACGCCGATCTCATTGCTCAAAACATATAGTTATTACGAGATCCCAATGCTCAATAATAGTTTGCTGGGTATGAGTATCAATCAAACAACGAGAAGATCTTTGTCTTTGATTAATCAAAATAATCATGAGTCCTTTGACTTAAAATTATTTTAAATTCCTCATTTAATAATTTTATCAACTTATAATTGTGGTATTTATCCTAACTCTGTTTATTAAACGAGGTCTTCACTCATTAATAGCTTATTATATAGAATAGAATATAAAATTTAGATTTCTTATTATTTATTGATAAATCTTTAAAGTATACATAGATAATATGATATGAGTAATTTCTTCTTCATTGGATTTTATTACCAATATTATTGGAGAATTCTGTTTGTATGGGTGAATTTAGTTTTTTCTCATTTTTTGTATTTTTTTATAATTATATTTTACTGATTTTGAAGGAGATGACACAGCATTTTAGATAGAACGATTCTACCTGATGAATTTGAATAAATTGATAAATTTTCAAATATAAATATCTCAATCTTACTCAAATTATTAATGAGAAAGATAATAATAAAACATAATTGTTGTTTAAATTCTATAATATATTATCTCTCTTCAGCCATTTATTTATAAATAATATTTTATAACATATGGGGTGCACAATTACTACTTAAAAAGTCAACTTATAAAAAACTATCATGCTTGAATCGACTTTTAACAAAGAATAAAGGGAAAAGGAATAGCGAATGAAGGCTTACATGGTCTTAGATCAATATAGATAAACAAAAACTATGAGAAAATAAATTAAGCTCAAATCTGATGTGAAGGATGCCTTGCAAGAATAATTATATCGAAGTAAAGCTGCATAACCTTAAAAACCCTCCATTGTTAATTGAATTATAGATTAGATTTTTAGAAAGCAATTTTTCAAAGCAACCTTTACTGTTCTAATTTGATATTAATCACTATGTCTTACTTCTTTTAATCCCCCGTTCACATTTCTCTTCAAAATTTTAAATATTTTTTGTAGAAATTGTAACGTTTTAATTGTTTAAGCTCTTTAATTATCCATAATTTAAATTCATTCTAAATTTTATATAAACTCTATTTGGCATAAATATTATAAAAAATTTTCTTCTTTTATTCCTATAAAATAATAAATTAAATAATATTGAATTTAATAGAAAGTCTATGATAATTTTGTATTTTGACAGATAATGTTAATCTACTTATCGTTTAAAAACATATAGAGCAATTAAAAATACAAAAATTGAGTCGATATAAATTCTAACTGAAAAGTTCTATTAAAAATAGAATATGAAGCATTGAGCTAATTTATTGAGTGACATTAATTTAATTATTACATTCTTCTAAATGCTACTGAAATTTTTGTAATTATATATTTATTTTAGACATAATTTACAAAACCATAAATACTAATTCAGGATTATGCTCTTTTTATGATACACTCTTTAAAATGTTTAATTTTTGTCTCTAAACTTATTTAAGGAAGATAAGTAGTAATGTAACTAAAACCTCATCTCATTTTGTTTCAAATATATTAAAATTTTTCAGATGGAAGCAAAATTGAAAGTGAAACCTAAATGTAATGACCAAATTTTCAAGCTATTTTGCTAATGTTAAGTTAACGAACTTGAACAAATTTTTTTTTGCATAATTAATAATAACCAAGGCTACTTTACCTTTTATATTTAATACATTAATCTCTGCCACTTCTTGTGGAACTTGAGAGAAGCGTATAGATTTATTATTCTGAATTAGGTTACCTTACTGGTTGATGGTAAAAGAAGGACAATTAGAAATAATGAGGCTATAAAATAATTTTGTACCCTTAATGCATAATAATGTTGTTAAATTATTTTTTAATGACGGTGTTTAAAATATTGAAAAATTAAATTAAATTATTAAAGAATATTTCAATTCGTATCTTGTATAGTATTAGTGTACATTGTGATATTTTCCTGATTAACTGCTTTGATTGATCTTTGTCTTTTTATTTACATAAATTAATATTCATGGATTTTGAAGAAGTGGAGAATGCCTTTTTGTAAGTAGGTGATAATCGACATATCCAATGTCGTAATATAAATAACTATAGTAAGAGAAATAATTAAAGTGAAAACTTCGAGAGAACTTGTAAGACATAAAAAAGGCAAGAATAAGCACATAAAGATAAGTAATGGACCAATGACTTAGAAAGAGAGAAATAATTTAAGAAAGTACAACAATTTGGAAGGAAATTAAAGCTGATGGAGAGACACATTGAGAAGCAAGTGGAACTAAAAAAGGGTGATAAGAAGATTTAGCCTAAACATAAGTCAAAACTTAGACATTAAATAGTAGAATGAGAATTATTATATAATAATATAGATATCTACCATAAATATAGTCAAAACCATTGTTAATATCTTTCTAAATATAAAAAATAAAGGAATCAACTGAATTCTTCAATTATTATTATTATCTAAGTTAAATTGATTCTAACATAATGTAAACATAATTTATTAAAATACTAATTATTTTTAAAATTAAACACAAAATGTAGCCACAACAATTTTTAGACTTAGTGCAATGTGCCTTCTTTGATAGCAACAATCAGCGTGGATAGGCTGAACAAGTACTCCTGAAGTATAAGGATGAATGCACAGACGAATTTCTTATGTATTGTGCATCTGCATTTGCAAATCGCGCAATTCAGAGTCGTCTCCGTATTGCATGCAGTACCTTAGTAAAACGATTGGTTGGATTAATTGTATGTTTTCTAGTTAATCTATTTAAGCATCCTTCAAATTAGGTCATGTGGTTGGCTTGTTCTTAAAACACTAAAAATGAAGTAAAAATTAAGTTCATGGACTAATTAATTGATCCTGAACATGAGATTAGAAGATCAGCTGCTAATGTAATAAATCAATTCTATGCTCTAGACTATCAGTGAGATTTGTGCTATAGAGTTACCACGCTAGGAATGGCCAGATCTTATCTAAAGATTGACTACCAACTCAAAACACAGTAATGTCTTAGTAAAGGTCTCAGCCATCATGACTTTGGGATATATATGCGAATCACTAGTATATAGGTATATAATATATAGAAAACCCACCAATCTTCAGGTATTTCAGAGCAAGATGCAAAGGTGATTCTGATGGGAATTTGCGTAGGAATGGATACGAATGAGTAGAACCTGGAGATTAGAATCACTGCAATCAAAGCACTATAAGATTCACTATACTTTATGAATAATCTGTTCACTCAATAAGTAAGATTGTAATATTCTATTGTAGGAAATATTTACTTTTGTTAAAAACTTAATTTTATAAAATGCAGTGTCAAACATATAAGAGATAAAACTTAAGTCTCTACAATGTCTGATTGATTATGTTAAACAGTTGTTTGCTTTCTTGCCTGTATTTATTTCGGAACTCTATTAAACTACTTAACCAGCATTTGAGAATTAGGGCGAGATCACTATTGCAGCAATAGAAATTTGGAATACAATTTGTGCTGAAATTAAAGAGATCGTCTCTGAGAACACTAACCAATAAACTCCAGAAACCAATTCTGTTGATTGCTGTGTTTCATTTTTTAAGAAGAATTATGAAGGATTTATCATTCCATTTATGCGCAATCTGTTATTGGATGATGGAGATGCAGAAGATGAATATCAGTAATTGTCGGTTTCAAATTCTTCAAGTAAAGGACTAGCCTACATAATTGAATTTGCTGGCAGTAATACTTATGACTCTGTTAAAAATTTTATATAAAATACTATTACACACTAACAATGGGAATATAGAAAGGCAAGCGTTATGGCTTTTGGAGCTTTGGCTGAAGTATAAACTTAAGAAATTGGGCTTCTAATTAAATCTGCTTTAACTAGTCTATTTGGTTGTCTTGTTGATTAAAATATCAAAGTAAAAAAGGCCACTACGCAAACTCTAAGTAGAATAGCTGAAAATTATCCACAGTGCTTTCATGAACATGATTAATCTAACCAAATGCTTATCACTCTCCTAGATTAATTATCTAATAAAATACCAATAGTTCAAAATTTGGTTTGGGTGTTTGTTTACTTAACTGAAGGACTAGCCAACTTTCAAAATAGTGTATTCACCCAAGAGAAATTCACCATTCTCTAACATTTAGCCAGTACATCAATTAGATCAGACATCAAAAATTCAGAGATTGCACTCATTGATACTGCATTTATGGCAATTTTAAATATCATTTACAGTGTGACTGAAACTAAGTTATGTAATGATTACTTGGTGCAATTTTATCAATAAATTCAGTTCCTAGAGAGCAGCAATTCGGCTCCTGTAGAAATCAAATATCATCTTGAAATGGGGTTAATGAGTGCAATGCATGGATGTGTTGTTAGGTTGGATGATTCTACAACCACGGAGAAGTAATTTGAAGACATCATGAAAACTCTATCAAAAGTGGATTCTAGGGTTAAGAATGATTACTTTTATGTACTTTCTGGGATCGCTTATGCTTTTAAAAAGAAATTAACTAAATATTCTACTTAAATCATCTCTGAATTGAATAAACCGCTTTCAGAACCAGATGACATAGAGAGTTTCAAAACTGCACTCTTCTGTTTATCTGACATTGCCAGAGCCATGGAAGAGGAGTTTGTACCCTATATGAATATTTTAAATTATTTCTTTGGATTAATAAAGGTAATGCACTTATCCTATATTTTAATTAGAATGGCAATTTCAATAGGGAGTTGAAAATCTAAGTTTATAATGCAATTGCAGACATCATATTAGGTTTGAAAGATAAGTCAGCTCCTTTTATGAATGATCTCAAAGAAATTCTTAAATTAGGTTTCGCCGCTAGCATAGATTTAACAAAGAGCAAACTCAGTGTTGACCAGGATTATGCTGAAAGATTGAAAGAAACAATGACAGCATTCTATACTTGTATGTTACACGCATATTGTGATCCCAAAACTCCTATTTTTGAGTTGGGAGACACAGTTTAATGGTTTATCATATTTTGTTAGGAAATGTGCAACTTAAAATTAAAACCTACAATTGTAAATATATTAAATATCAATTAGGAATATGTAAGACTGACTCTTTGTTGCATCTTTGATTGCTCTCATTTCTTTTAAAATATACCTGACATGAAATAAAAAATCAAAGAGTTTATTACAAGTGATTTTGTTATTGAGTTAATACGAAAACTGAGTTAGTATAATGACAAAGATTATCAAGACTGTGTAAGTTTTGCTCAGCAATTACTCAATGATGTATATGGTTACTAATTGAAATTATATTGAATGTTATTTTCATATTCTAGTTTTCAATTGTTACATAAATCAAAATATTATTTATTGAGTTGAATTTATGGGGATGCTCAAAAAAAAATCATATATCATAAATTCTTCTTATTTTATTTTAGATAAATTCTAAATAGAGCTTTTCTAACTCTTATTAATATGTTATGTATATTTATTTTATAAAAAAACTAAATAAATTATAAATACTATAATATATGTTTAATATAAATAATCAAATTGTATCTGATTAGATGATCTTTTGGGTTTTGTCAACAGAGTCTCCAATTTAATCATCATCTCCTTTCTTTTCACTAACTTTCTCTGCCTTGCTTCCTGCTCCACCTCCAGCAGCTAAAAATTAATATTTTATTAATACCCATTGGTAGAATACTGTTAACTACTGCTCCAAATGTGCCACCAAGAGCAAAGGCCTGAATTCCCAAGAAGATAAAGATAAATATTAGCAATAGGATTATTGCCCCTTGTATTAAGAGCATAGTCAATAATCCTGGAGAAATTCCCAGAAAATCTAAAGCCATGTCTGTGTTCTTCTGTTGGAGATATTTCATAGCTTAGTCAAATTCTTTTTCATTTAATGAATCTTAATTGGCTTGGGAAGATCCCTTCTTGATATTAGCAAAGATTTCATTAATTCTATGCTCAGAAAGATTCATTCCTAATCTCTTTGCTAGTGTTCCATATTCTGACTTACTGATACTTTTAGTTCCATCCTCTAAAATAATATATTTAATATAGTTTACCATCTATAGCTTTGAACATATCTTGATTGGTGGCTGTTCCCTCTTGAATCTTCTTCATTAATTCTTATACTTCTTTGGCTTTTTTTGAATCTTGCTGTCCTCCACCAATGCTTAACTATTTGCCGCCGAATACTCCCATTTCTTGAACTTACTTAATAATTTATTCAACTATCTTTATTGCACTGTCACTAACAGACAATTCCTTCAACAATTTGGGTACATATTCGAAATTGTAACTAGCCAATCCAAAGATGCATTTGATCACTCCCATAGGTAATTCAATTATTTTAGCTCGTTTAGGTAATGCAATAGTCCATTGATCAGATTTTGATGCCTGCTTATCCTTTTATTAAACTACTCCACCCTTTTATTTCTTATCCTTAACTTCATTGCTGGGATCTTGACCAGTCAAAGTGTACAATAAGGACTCAATTTGGAACAAAAAGTCTTAATTAGTGATTGACTTCAATGGGCAATTGTTGATATTCTGTATTTCTTAGAATAGTTCTCGAATAATAACTGTGTTCACATATTGCAACAGATTGAGGTTCTTAAAGAGAACTGAATCAATAATGAAACACAAAACCTGAAGTTTCTTCTCACCATCATTTTAAGCCTTCAAATCATCAATATTGTATCCAGTTAGCAATAAAATGATACCAGAAATTAATCGTTTCACTTAAGTTGATTGCTCATCAATCTTAGTCAACTAAACTTGTAATTCTTGCAATTTCTTTGCTTTTTCTTAGAAATTGTATCCTTAGGGAACCAAAGCCATAGGTGGCATCATTTATTATTGATTTCCCAATTATTGGTTCATTTATTACAAAGGTAATTATTACTACAAAGGTAGTTGTTGTTACATAGGTAATTATTATTACAAAGGAATTTATTATTGCATAGGGATTTATTATTGGATTTATGATGTCATTGTTATTTACTATTACATTACTATTTAAGTTTGTCCAACCATAGGTCCTCCTAATTGTTATTATAAGGGGAGCTATTATCCTTATTAAATCTGTGGCTATAACAACTATCCTTAGCCCAGAAGTGGAAGGTTGGTACTCAATCTTTTTGATTAATCTTATTTTATTTGGTTTGCCTTCTTTTCATTAATCTCTTTGTTGAGTTTATCGATTTAATCACTTAAGGACTATCTATTTTCTTCCTTAAAGCTCAACCACAAAGAATTAACAGTCTGTCCTAACACATCCAAAATGAACTCATTAATTGTTTCTGTAATTTAAGCTAATCCATCAGCTGGAGCATCATCTTATTGTTTTTTTTCTTCATTGTCATTTTCTTCATCATCCTAATCCTCTTCTTCTTCATCTTCATCTACTTCGTCATCGCCATCTCTGTCTTCATCATCATCATCATAATCGTACTCTTCTTCATCTCTTTAAGAGTGGACTTGAGATCCAGCTTAATTTTTTTATTATTCTAATTTATCTGAAGAGTCCTTCATTGCTTTCAAAGATCTTTCTGGTATTTAGATGAATACAAATAATTAAACAAACTTGTCGAATACTCCTAGATAAGTTCTGATCGCATCAGGTACATAATCACTTATTGTGATAATGGTATTTGGAATGATCTTTTTGAAATCAATATTCTAGATTTTTACAGTTTCAGGATAGTTGATGATTTGATTGCAAATCTTATATAAATTGAAGATGGGACCAATGAATTTAACTTACTCTATCTTTTCAACAAAGTATGATCCTGTCATAATTTTGAATATGAAGTCACATTCTCTCCTTGAAAATGCTGTTTTCTTTGATTTGTCTACTTCCTTTTCCATTTCCATTTGAATTTAAGTTTAAACTCTCAAGAAATCAGGCATTTTCAATAACCATAAACTCCAAGAGAAAGATTGATTTTTTCTGCTTTAGGACATTTTTTCAATTTTGTTGTAGAATTCCTAGTCGCTATGGCCAGGTTTGTTTTATTTCTTCTTAATTGCATTTAAGATTATTTGGAAGGATGTAATGACCTTTTATCTTTGGTTATTTCTCAGAGTTCCATTCTTCTTATCTTATTGTTCATTAATTTAAGAATAGATCAACAATGGCAATAGTTGTAAGGGTGGAATGATTCTCATAGCATTATCTGGCTTTAAGAATTCTTCATTACCAATAATAGTGGAGATGTTCTTCCACATGAACATTGTTAAAATGAACCCAGCACTCATGGAATCATGAGGTAAAATAGCTGTATACATTTTCTCAATGTTACCACTTGATATTGCTAAAAATAATAGAGCGATATTCTTTGAAAGATCTTCATTCTCCTAATCACTCTTATTCTCAAGTTTTATATTAATAATTTTGGATTCAATTAAGTTTTCAACTTGTTTTTGAATATCAAGTTACAATTCAGGTTTATTTGCATTTTGACTATTTCGTTTATTCTTTTGAAGAGCTCTTTTATTTTAAATGAGCATCATCTTATTGGATTTCAAACCTATCATGGCTCTTAGGAATTGCAATTCCGCTTGAGGATCTTCCTTAGTAAAGGAGAGCTTTTACAAAACCACAGAGACGTCATCATCCTTTTAGAAAAAGAATGAATAATCGTCATTAACTATCTATATTATGAATTATGTGATTAATCTAATGGTAGTCAGATTATTTTTGTATTCATTTGCTAAGTCGTTTGATTATCCTATTTCGAAATCAGTTAAGATTGGTAATCTAAGGTCAGTGGGCAATGTTTCTTTGGTGATTGCTTAGGCTAATTACCAGAGCAACAATACAAAGTATTCCTCTGTTTTTTTTGGATCCGAAGATAAGGCAGAATACTTGCTGAAATCAAATCTAACAGCATCAATTTTCTCTATCTAATGTAATTAAGATTGATCAAATCCATACAGTAGTTTTAATAAAATTGTTTTGATTGAAAAGTATCTATCTCCAGAACTACCAAAGGAAGATTATAATTTAGATTTTCCTTTCCTTTCTGGTGCTTTCTTCTACTTTTATTCTTTTGATTAAGCATTTTATAATTCAGGTGGAACTGGGCCTTGATTCTATCCATTTCCTTATTGTTATTGTTATTATTATTATTGTTCTTCTGGGGGATTTTATTTAATCTCTTCAGGTTTGGTGTCTTCTGCTTTCTTTTATTCATTCTATTGTTGGTCCTATTTCGCTTACGGTTACGCATCTCCCCTCTTTTTTTTAATTAGGTTATTCATCTAGACCGGCTTAAACTTGGTAGCTGTACTAGGATTAATGACCTAGGAGTAATCAGCCAATTGATAATACACATCCATTTTGCCCAAATAGGCATCAATCAATGAATTCAATACTTCAGTGTCATTTGATGAGAGATTCATTGATTTGATCAAAGTCAATTGATCTTCAGATTATTGAATATCTGTATCATATAACTACATAGACAAATTAACAAAGCTATTAACCAATTAGACATTCTATTGCAATGATTGAGCCAATACTGTGAATCCTTCGAAAGATTTCAAGAAGACTGATAATATTTCTTGTAAATTCTTCTTATTAGATGAGGTATTCCAACAGCAAGCATTTAAATAGGCTGATAACTATTGAGGAGTGTTTTGTTTCCATCCATTCTTAACCTTATAAAATGCTCCAGACAAGGCAGCTAATCCATAATATGCCATGGCAGCAGCAGGTTCCTCGTCTGTGAAATAAGTATCTGGTTCAATTATAGATAAGTAATTGCCTTTCCAAATATCAATTAACAATCTTATATTGTCATTGTATTGATAACAGGCTTATGACCATTGTTCTTGTGAATTCAATACACTCAACCACTTTTTACCAGTTCTCACATCTACAACCTCAAGCACTGCTTCTTCGAGAGTAGGTTCCTGAGAAGAATTCTATTTAGGATCAATGTTTAACTTTTGTTAATTGACCCATGCCTTTTTCATAGCGTCTTGTTATTCATGAATTTCTTTGTCCATCAACTATTTAAGTCTCTCTTTCAAAATAGGTAATCGAGTTTATGCACTGACTTTTTTATCAACACCTTCTGCCCTAATCCATTTGGTTATTTGAGAACTGCCTTGCAAGAACCCGATATCAAAGAAGTAATCATCCCAATTGATACCTTAATCAGGAGTAGTTTCGATATTTTGAATTGAGAACTTCAGATAATTTTCAGGCTCTGAAATAATATCTAAGCCATACTTGAGGATTTTATTAAATTGATAGGATTTAAAGAATCTATTCTGCATAGAGCAAAATTCTTCCTATCTCTTTTCAATTAGGTCCTTTAAGAAATCAAATTTGTACAAAACCTTTTGTTATTGGTTTGCTTGTAAGGATTTGTGTTTCAAGGCTCTTTGATATGTGACCAAACTAGCAGTACAATTAGCTGAGATCATATTTTCAGCAGATATTGCAAATCCACAAGACAATCCTATCAATATGGCTGCTTTAGTTTTTGAGAAATAGTCTGTGAAATTCTTGAAATAATACATTCTTTCGATTGAAGTCAAGATGAAGTCTATCTATTGGACAGTGATTTTATAATGCTCTTCATCTCTAGGCTATTGATTCTCAAGAGGATTCCAAAATGATCTTCTCAAACTTGCCAAAGTAGAGGTAATTCCCATAGTAAAAATAGGAGTCTATTAACATTCAATATCTTTCATTATCCATGAATCAGTCAACACTTTCTATTCCATATTTCTTCTTGGATCAATGAACAACGAACAAGTTTCTTGATAAACCTTAATCATTTATTGNGACAAATTAACAAAGCTATTAACCAATTAGACATTCTATTGCAATGATTGAGCCAATACTGTGAATCCTTCGAAAGATTTCAAGAAGACTGATAATATTTCTTGTAAATTCTTCTTATTAGATGAGGTATTCCAACAGCAAGCATTTAAATAGGCTGATAACTATTGAGGAGTGTTTTGTTTCCATCCATTCTTAACCTTATAAAATGCTCCAGACAAGGCAGCTAATCCATAATATGCCATGGCAGCAGCAGGTTCCTCGTCTGTGAAATAAGTATCTGGTTCAATTATAGATAAGTAATTGCCTTTCCAAATATCAATTAACAATCTTATATTGTCATTGTATTGATAACAGGCTTATGACCATTGTTCTTGTGAATTCAATACACTCAACCACTTTTTACCAGTTCTCACATCTACAACCTCAAGCACTGCTTCTTCGAGAGTAGGTTCCTGAGAAGAATTCTATTTAGGATCAATGTTTAACTTTTGTTAATTGACCCATGCCTTTTTCATAGCGTCTTGTTATTCATGAATTTCTTTGTCCATCAACTATTTAAGTCTCTCTTTCAAAATAGGTAATCGAGTTTATGCACTGACTTTTTTATCAACACCTTCTGCCCTAATCCATTTGGTTATTTGAGAACTGCCTTGCAAGAACCCGATATCAAAGAAGTAATCATCCCAATTGATACCTTAATCAGGAGTAGTTTCGATATTTTGAATTGAGAACTTCAGATAATTTTCAGGCTCTGAAATAATATCTAAGCCATACTTGAGGATTTTATTAAATTGATAGGATTTAAAGAATCTATTCTGCATAGAGCAAAATTCTTCCTATCTCTTTTCAATTAGGTCCTTTAAGAAATCAAATTTGTACAAAACCTTTTGTTATTGGTTTGCTTGTAAGGATTTGTGTTTCAAGGCTCTTTGATATGTGACCAAACTAGCAGTACAATTAGCTGAGATCATATTTTCAGCAGATATTGCAAATCCACAAGACAATCCTATCAATATGGCTGCTTTAGTTTTTGAGAAATAGTCTGTGAAATTCTTGAAATAATACATTCTTTCGATTGAAGTCAAGATGAAGTCTATCTATTGGACAGTGATTTTATAATGCTCTTCATCTCTAGGCTATTGATTCTCAAGAGGATTCCAAAATGATCTTCTCAAACTTGCCAAAGTAGAGGTAATTCCCATAGTAAAAATAGGAGTCTATTAACATTCAATATCTTTCATTATCCATGAATCAGTCAACACTTTCTATTCCATATTTCTTCTTGGATCAATGAACAACGAACAAGTTTCTTGATAAACCTTAATCATTTATTGATACAATATCAAAGGATACAAGCCTTTTAATTTTTGCTATTCTTCTGGGTCATCTTTCAACATTTCCACAGCTTGATCATAAGAAATTTTATTGAATTGTGGATCAGTGGGTGGTGTATTTCTGATGATATTTGCAATTCCTAATAAATCATCATCGCCAATTAAGTTTCCATACATCTCCACTGAATCTGCCAAGACATCTAATTAAGCATTTTTGATGTCATTTTTGCCAATATTCAAAAATTGAATCACTTGTGGATTGAAATTGCATATTTCCACCATATCTTATAATTCCTCTATTGAATCAATAGTATCTGAGAATAGCTTCTTCTTTACTTCTTCAATACAATCTTCCTACTCTTATAACCAATCAGGCTCACCCCAGAAAGGTTCAAAGTTTGGTACTTCAACTTAGTCATTGTAATAAATTTTCTAAAATAGTTCATCTATTTATCTAAACCATTCAACTTCTCCAAACATTTCTTTCAACAAGGTTGGAATAGCTTGGAATGTCAAAAAGGTTGACAAGACCAAAACTGGGTTGATCCATTTCTTTTCTTCATTAATATATGTCTCTTATATCAATCTCCAAGCAGGAATCATTCCTTGAGTAAGCATTAACACAATTGGGTCAATCTGAATTATCTATACCAACTTATAAATAGCATATTCAACTGAATTATTAGTTGAAGTCAATTCTGTAGGAATATCTTTTGTTTTTGGATCTTCCAATAATTTATAAAGATTAGCCAAGAATCCCTTCACATTAAACTAATCTGGGATTGGCCCACTTATGCAACCTATCAATCCTTACAACAATCCAAAGTACTCTGCTCTACCATCACATTAAGCGTAATCAAAATGAGGAATTTTCTTAATGTATGCTTCCAACCCAGTATACTTTCCTCTTACCAACCCTTTAGTCATTACTGCTATTTCTGGATTAACTTTCATGTCTTTGATTAGTTGATTGTCTTTTATTGATGTTATCTGCTTTAGCCAATCTTTATCATAATTAGACACCACTTTGTCTAATTGCAATAGATTCTAAACTCCCTACACTTTTAATTTTTACTCTAATTTCAACCCATTTATCAAAGCCTAAATATTATTGATTTCATAATCTTGGAAGATAATCTGCAAAATCAACACAAATTCATCTCCCTTTACTCCAACTTTGTCTAACAATGGTCCCAACTTCTTAGAAGATGTTGACAAGTATTGATAATTCTGTATTCTCTATGAAGAAACCTTAGCATTTTTGATAGTTGTCAATGTGCTGATCATTTCAACCACTCCAGAATCCATGGAGAGTTCTTTAGAGAAGAAAGACGTTTGATATCCTTGACCTGTGATCAGATTGATAAAGTTTAGGACAAACTGATCTGGAATTTTGACTAAAGATTACAATGGTATTTTGATTCCTGGGTTCTCCTTCTCAAATTTACATGCCTATTGTCTTCTCATAAATTTAACCATTGTTTATGTGAATTTCTGATTATCATTCAAAAAGAATGTATGAATTGCTTCAAAGAACTCCTGCTTGATATCCAATTTTTTAGTCAAATACTACAAAATATTTTATTTCTGGATTTACTTTGTTTCTAGATCCTCGAATGTTAATGTTAAATCACACCATTGCCCTGTGAAGTAGAGATAAAGACAAGCGAAAATATGATAAATTTGTGGAAGAGGTCTTTTCTCATCATTCTTACTTCTCTTACTATTTTGAATCAAGAAGTTCAACAACAATGTAATGGATCTCTACTTTGAATTTTCATTCAACATTTATATGACTAACACCTGTCCATCGTTTAAGTCCTTTTTATCCAAAGCCTACTTCAGATCCTTAGCATTTTGACTATTTAGAGTAGATGTCAAAAACGAAACTGATTTATTCAATTAATTCAGAGTTCCCTTTGGTAATTTTCCATTCTCATCCTTCTCAATGATTAAGTAGGCGAGTTGATAAAATGAATTTACATCCATTCCTTTATCCTTGTTAAATAACAACTTCTCAATTAGAGGCAATGGCAATTTGATCATGGGGAACAAGGTCTACATTTTGGAATAAATGAATTGATGTTTCTTTTGGATCATCTCCATCTTAGAATACATGAATTCCAAATAGCTCTCATAATCTTTTTGATTCTCTTTTGAAATGAATTCATCGCCCTTACTTGAATCAACTTTAGGTTGGGAATTTTGAATAGATTGAATTACCCTATCAGAATTAGTCAAAAAGATAATGTTGATGAAATCTTCAAAGAACTACTTGTTGACATTCAAGATTGAAGCAAATGCATATACACTCTACTTGGTGTCACTAGTCAATGCTTATGGGGAAGTGAACAAATCAATATTCTTCAATAATAAGATGTTGTTGAGTAAATCGATTTCTCTTTAAGTGATTTGAGCAAATTGGTTGTTATTGTTTCCAACGTCCATTAGAATATCCTTAACCTTTTAGGAAGTAATTTAACAAGCAGGATCTGATATGGTTTCAATTAAAAATGTTTTCAATCTGCCAGAGTTTCCTCCCTGAACTGAGTTATCCTCTTTGGCAACCACATCCTTTTTGAGTTTTTGCATCCATGCCTTGAGTTCAAAGTCAGGACTTTTGATAGCATCTATTGTTTCATTACTAGCTCCCAATTTTTCCAAGTTACTCTCATCTGCATAAGCAATATCAAGCACTTTCTTCCCCAATAATACCAATATGACGTACTCTCTGGGTATATCTAGGTCTACACATGCATTAGATAAATGAGTTGCATTGTTGCATTTGAATAAGATCAAGAGCGAAAAGAATTGTTTAACTCTATTGACTTCAGTCTTATGGATTTTAGAAATAATCTAAAACAAGTCTTACAAGCCCTATTTGGAATACAATTATAGAAGCACTGCTATGATGGCAAGTAAGGTCTTTGTATCCAATCTCAAAGAGGTAGCCAAGTTCATCAACAAAGGATTGGTTTGCAATTTTTCAAAGAGTTTCTCTTCGTTCTCTGAACCTTCGTAAGTCGTATACTTATAATATTTTATGGAAGCGACAGCTTATAATTGTTGAGCTTTCTTCTCATCAATGGAGAATGCATTTGCTTATAAATGTAAATTCGAAGCCAATTCTCTAGAATCTTCCATGAACAGACTAACCATTTCAAAAACTCCTGTCATTAATGGAATGAGCTTCTTGAATTCTCTTTCACTGACTACCAAATCTCTAATTGATTTCACACTCTCATCATGGAAATTCTCAAAAATGAATTTAAAAACATCTCTAATCACTTCCTTTGGAATCTTCTCAAAGTTATGCTACATGAAATTGAACAACAAAGTTATTAAAGATGGATTTTCCAATATTTTATCCATATTAGACTTTCTACCTTTAATCATGCCATTAATAACATCTAATGCTTTTGATATTCTTTATCTAACCAATTTGGTTGGCAATGCCTTGTGCTATTTATTGAATGAGTTGACTAACAATTCAATCAGACCTAATAAATCTTTCATGTCCTTCAATTATGGAATTTCATCAAAGAAGCCTGAAATAATTCCGAATATTTTGTGGAAAGTAATTTAATTACCCTTTCTACCTTCGAACAGTGACATAGCAATCTTCAACAATCCTGAATACTTTGACAAGTACTTAATTTACGTGAATTAAGGTTCATCCTTCAATTATTTAATGATTTAATCAAGATCATTAAAAACTCCCAGAAAATTTTCTTATTGCAAATGCTTCTGCAATGAAATTGCCTTCTTTAAAACCAAGGATAATATTCTTGGCTCGAACATCTACATATCCTAATCTTGGAATAAGATGGCACTCTCTTATTGAATCAATTAAGCAAAGCATTCTGCACATGGTTGGATGAGTGCTTCCAAATAATCTTCTGGACTCATCTGGGCTGTATTTCCACTGGGATAAGCAAATTCCCAAACAAACGTCATTATTGGTTGACCAATCTTCTTAAGACTATCAAGTTTCAAAGTGTTCGCTGCTGTGTAAATTAATTAAGTAAGATTGTTTTTGAACATATTTTTATCCTTCTTAAAAAGAGCCAAAGCAATATTAGCTAATTCTTATCCATATCCTTCAATTTGTTTCGCCATCTACTCTTTCAACATCTAGATGGCCTTCTCTTCCAACTCCTTCATCATTTTGGCGACGAAAGCTTGAGGATTTGCAGCTATTGCTTACAATTCACTGGCAGCATTGGATGCAGCCTCTAAAGCTTTGTCTGGATTACTCAATAAAGCATCAGCATTCTCTTCAATGTGAGCTAGTGTGCTCTAATCAACCAATCCCAAACTTGCAGCTTGCCCTGCCACAGACTTGAATGCGTCGCTGTCCATCATGTCATGCATCTTACCTTTTAAGTCCATTTTAGCAATCATACTGCCCATTTGATCTTTGGCAATCTTCTACACGTATGCTATTACAGTTTCAAACCCATCAGTTGCAATCTCCTTGAATTGAGCAGCCTTTGAACTGATAACAGTGATGAAGGTTGCAGCTGCAGTTGCATATGGCAAAAATGCAGTGGGATTCACAATAGCACCTAAGAGTAACCATACCAATGCGAGAGTGATGAAAACGCATAATTGATATGCTGAATACAATACCAATGCCCACATGATTTATCTGAAAATTAGTTGAATTCTGTTTGCTGTCTTGGGGGATACCTTTCTAAAGAAGTTTTCCTATGGGAATTGCATTGAAATGTAATAATAGAGTAAATCAATAATTGAATAGACCCAATAGATACCAACCAAAATTAAGACATTCTTAATCCAAGTACTTTCGTTATATAACTTTAATGGCACAACCCAATAGTTCTATAAAATATCCTCCAAAGTAATCAAATATTAGATTGGAATCAGGGAGTATTGAGCATATAAGATCTTTTCTAAAATTGTAAACGAGAAAAGAGGAATGATTAAAATAACTGTTGTTATGAAGTGAGCCAGCACTGTGAAGAAATCAACCATCCACCATCCTCCAAATAGAATAAGTTCTCTATTGGCTTCAGCTAATTCAGCTTAAGTTTTTATCAATTCAGGATTATTCAAGATCAATGAATAGTGATTCTACATTTTCTATCTGTTAATAATGTATGTCTATTATTCTGGTAGACATTTCTTAAGGCAATCTGTCAAGCAGTTCTGCACTTTCATCATAAATGAGGGAGGAGCATCATCCTCTTTATGGACTTCTTCCTCATCTCTTTCAACCCACTGTTATGGAATATATTTGCTTGTGATATTGTAACTCTTTTGTAATTCTGAAGCCGATGGTTGTTCATAGGGTAAATGGTTCAAAACACAAAATTCCTAATATTATTCATTGAAGGTTTGCACAACAATGTTGTCCTCCTCGAAGTTAGTTAATTTACAACAATTGGTAATAAATAACTCTAAGGGATTTTTATCAGGTGTGATTACTGGTAATTTTGGCATCATACCATTCAGAAGTACTCTAATGTAAGATTCTGTTTGGGCATCTTCCTTAAGTGTAATCTTAAAGCCCTTTTGCTTGAGCAATTTAAGATTCTTCTCATCATCCAATTTTTACTCAAGAAAACCATTGAGGAAACAAAACTTTTCATATAATGTTTTCATCTCATTTCCCAGAATTGATTCTGTTGTCAAATTGTGTAATTCTGAATCTGTGTTGCTTTTTTATTTCTTTTAAAACAAGTGAGTATAGAATTCTTCAGCTGAATTGATGTACTTTTTGCTTATCAATACACATAAATAATCTATGAATGCTGATAGAGGAGGGGCCAAAACGAACAATTGGAATAGTAATCTTCCCAAATTCATGTTCAAAACACTAAAATATAAATAAAGATTAATTACATTTCCATATCTTATGAAGACTATTTCTTTTTGTCTGTATCATCTTTTTTATCCGAACCATCATCCTTCTTTTTGTCATTGCTATCTTCCTTTTCTGGAGCAATTTTCATTAAAGGCTAGGCTCCATCAGCATCATTCTTTTTTTCAATACCACTATATTTATTAGTTGCAGCAACCTACTCTAGAATTTATTTGTAAACTGAATTTATCATGTAAAGTACTCCCAACATTAAAAAGAAGGCTGTTAATATTGAGATGATCACTGACACATAGACAGCCCACTGGGTTGCTGGACTTTAATCTAAATTGATGTTTGTTAATTGATAGCTTGTTTCATTCAATTTAATTATTTCAATCCACCTTTCAAATTCATTATTGGATTCAATGTATTTACGTAAACCTGTGGCTTCCTTTGGATAGTTTTCAGTTGGAAATTTGACTGAATTTTACCAAGAAATTGTTGTAATGGAATGTTCAGCTTTCTCAAAGTACTTTCCAATCAAAAATCTAGTATTGTAAATATCATCTAAATCTAAAGCAGGATGATAGGGACAGAATCCAGGACTCAAATTCAAATCCAAAGTCCATGATGCTGTACTCATTAAAGTAAATGAAAAGGTACCCATCCACCAAGGTTTTACATATGAGTAGGCAGGGTTGTAAGTCAATGACCATTATTAATAATTATCAGATCTGGTGATTTTAGATCCGACCTTAAGGACAAAGTTGGGATCAAAGTTATGAGGATCATCAGCCATTTTGAGATAATGTCTTAGTGTTTTTTAACTGGGTAAATCAAAGTCGACACTTCCTGATGCATAACTCAATCCATGGATAACAGTGTCTTTGGTTGTAACAGTCTTATTTTGTCTTTTAATGATGTTCACATAAACATTGCCAAATCTTCCAGTAACGTTTAAGAATCTCAAACCTGCAGGTACAGTGTGAGGTAATTTCTTTTGTGCTTCTGCATAGATTCCTTTGTAATCAATCTTAGCTTCGGTTTTGTTGGCATCCTTGGCAGTCTCATTTTTATTATCCTTTGCCAATTCATCCCCTTCTTTCAAGAATCTTAATTATGATCCTGAAGGTTTTCCCTGATTTTAGTCGGTTGAGTTAGTTGGATTGATGGTATTATTAGACTTTTTTAAGGCATCTTTGATACTCTAGCATTCCAAAGATTAACAAAAGATTGAATTACCAAAGCAAGATGGTTGGAATAGAATAGCTTGCTTTTCTTTTACGTCTTTGGTTTTACTTTACATATTGGCTTTGGGATTAGTTTTATCATCTTGTTTAGGATCAGCATCCTTTTTAGGAGTTGCAGCATCTTTTTCTTCTTAATGAGTAATTGAGTCTAATTCCACTTGAAATTGTTTGGAATCATTATAGGTATCTACAAATGGTAATAAGATGATGTTTCCTTATAAGTTTTCATGTTCATCAGCAAAAAAGCTCTCGTAGATTTCATCCTCTAAACTTAAAAATTCTGTTTCACCTCCTTTATCTTTTTTATCTTTTTTCTCATCCTTCTTATCTTTATCTTTTTCATCATCATCTTTATCTTTGTCTTCATCCTTCTTCTTCTTTTTCTTTCCTGTACCAACTCCTTGAATAAAGGCCTTTACTTCAGATGCTGGTGCCTCTTGACAACCAACGACTATAGGATTTGCAATAACTGGAGCTGCATAACAATAATGTGGATTGGCATGAGTCCAATTAACCATCATTTCATTATCAGTCTAAAATATGATATCTCCATTTTCTAATCTAACATCAGAGAACTATTCAAATTATAAATAATTTCCTTAAAATCTTCCTTAAACACTGTTGAAGGTCAAATTCTTAGTTATTAATTTTACCGCATTCAATTCAACTAATTCTCCTGTCTAATGAAAGGTTATAGGTTAATAATTACAATATTGATTGTGTTATACGATATATTGTTGGAGGTCATCACTATAAAACAGGATCCAAAACAATTTATTGATAAGTCATCAAGAACTGCTTATTTGTAGACATGGAGATCTATTTAACAACTTTATTCAGACAATAAGTTTGTAAATTCGTAACTATAATTGCTACCTTGAATATCTTCTGAGATAGTTGAAGTGTTTGCATTTGGATCTATATTGAACCTTCCTGGGATTGAATATTCAAGGGCAAAGTCTGGTATGAGTAAGCTTGAACTTTCATCAATCGCATCACCTAATTTTGGTCCTTCCAGGGTTGTTTAATTTAGACTTTGGGTATGCGAGTTTTTCTTTTTTAAGGTGGTTATGCTCGCACCCAGATATTTAATTGATGACATTGATTTAGTTATTTGGTATTCCTAAAATAAGTTATTGTTAATACACTATCTATAATATGCATTCTGCAGTTTGTAACATTCATAGTCAATCTTGAATTCGCTGGTATTTTTTAAATACCGTCATAAAAGGCAAAGAATTCGAATATTACATAGAAGCCTGTAAACAAAACTGTTGTTGTTATGATTAAAAATATAATTCGAATAAAGGATCTTAGACGGATTGCCCATTTTAGTGCTTGTTTGTTATGATCTTCTAACTCCATTTATTATAACTAGAGAGACTTCCTAAAATAGTGATGACAAATCAAAATTACGTTTTATCCCCACGCTTCTTAGCACCAGAGTCGGATTTCTTGATTATGGGTTTATTGTCATCATCCGAAGAGGAGGATGATTCTGAATCAGCTACCTTCTTCTTATTTTTTTGCACTCTATAAATTCAAATATTTTTTTACTTTGTAGCTTTTTCTTGGTTGCTTTGTTGAGCTACGTTATCCTGTTAATTGGGTGGTTTATTAACGGGAATCTCGATTTCATTAGGGTGTTCCTCATTCATCTATTGATATGCTTAAGACATTTGAAAAAATAATAATGAAAGTAAATGTTAAAATATTCGAATTTAAATACATTCAAAAAGTAGTTATATAACTTAAATAATTGATCATTTATATCTTTTGATTCGTACGAATCGATAAATTGAAGAAGCCAAGATATAAAGGATTTGCAAGAATTTTATTTAAATTTTATTTTGATCTAATACAAAACACACGCCTAATATAAATTTAACTGAAACTATGCAATAATATGTGTATATATATATAAAAATTTAAGATATCAATTATTAAAATCACAAAGCGAGAGGAATTAATTTCAGAATCATATCGATGAATTTCAACTCATCATCAAACTCTTAAATGTCCTCGTCAATTTCCTTTGCAGTCAGATTCACATACTAAATCAGAGTTTTGGTGGTTACTAATTATTATCATAAATATGAGTTACATGACAACACAATCTTTTTAGTCTATGAATTCGCTATTATTTATTGGACTGCCCTCGGTTTCTCAGGTGACCTCTTCTTAAAATTCTGATCAGGAAAATCAATCCTTTTGTTTATAATACTATAATTTATATGATATGAGTCTAATTGAACATCTTGTGAATTCTTTAATATCGAGTGCATTTACTGCAAATTTTACACAGTCCAACTATCCGCAAATATTTACATATGATAAAATCTAAGTATTGTTTGATAAATACCTTCTTTTAAATGCCTAAAAGCTCCTGTCCAACTAGTAACGCTACTTTACTTCTTCATAAAAAGCTATTGAGTGCAATTGATGCTCGGATTGTCTTATGTCAGGTAATAATAATAAACACAATTAAAGAGAATCTTCTAAAATTGAATGACGTTTATTAGTTGATTTAATTGTCGATTGTTTTAGTATCTCATGGATATCTTATAATATATCCTGTTTTTCCTTCATCATAGGGTCATCTTTCAACCCCATTTTTATTTCATAGCTGGTCAACTTTTGCTCTTAATAACTCATATCTGAGTTTTCCTGTTTAAACTCAGAGGCACTCCTTTGATTTGTTGATCTTCTGTTAATTATTTCTCTACTTTATGATTAGAAGATATTTGATTAAATTAATTGGACGGGTTTTAATTCATTTTACTCCTTCTTGAAAATGTCCTTCATTTATTGAGCAGTATTTTAAGGTGTAAATAATTATTCAGTTACCTATTCATTATTATTATTGTATTAAGTAATTTAAATTTTTACTTAGAAAACAGGCTAAATTTTTAGTTGTGAATTTTTACGAACTTACAAATGAGTTTATTGCTATGGCTCTTCAGTTTAAATTATATTAGGTTAATTCGCTTATTTTTTTTCTAAAGAAGAAGATTTTGCAGATTATCTTTTAGAAATATAAAATTAATTTGTATCATTTTCTTGAACTTGGATTGATGCAACCACTTAATTTTCTTTTTTGCTTTAAAGTTATATTGGTGTTTATTCTTTCTAGATGCTATTTTTTTTGAGTTAGCTATTCTTGCCTGAATATTCATTCTATTATGATTGATTCTTTTTGTATTAATATTCAGATAAAAAGTCACTTGATGCGACATTCTCTTATTAGAAATTTGAATTTTGCATTGACATTTGAAATTAGTTATAATAAATAATATAATAAAATTAAAATCAGGGGTGATTGATTACTTTTTCAAAAATAATATATTATAATAACTATTGGCATTTCATAAATTTCATTCAAAAAATAATATATAATTATTTACTTCTATATGTATTTTTAATACAAAAGCTACTTATATAGATTTGTAAATTCCATTTTCAACAATTAAACTAGAACTATTTTTAGTAAAGTACATAAGTGGTATGAAAATTTAATTAATTTTAATCTATGGAGAGTGAAAATTAAATAGAATCATTTTATTTCTTGTTCAAAGGGTAGGATTGATCCATTTTAAACTTGGTTGCTGTAGAATCAATTTCTTCATCTGTCTGGAGATAACAATAGCTGGTTCGTTTTGAAAGAAGTTATAACGAATGACAGTGGGATTGAATTTGACTTTGTTGTGGTTCTTGCCCAGCTTTTTGTGCGAATATTATGTTTAATTGATATGAGTTGTAGAATATTCCTCTTTGGATTTGACCTTGACTTCAAAATCATCTAAACACTGTACGCTTTGATCCTCGTGATTTTGGTAGAGTCCTAAGGGAATCAGAAATACCTATTTTGGACCTATCATTCGGTAATGATATAAATTTATTTATAATTTCAAGTATTAATTCCTCTTTAAAAAATAATTAATATTTTTATTATTAATTCAATGTAATCTGTGAAAATGAAGAAAGTAATCCAAATTCTTCTGAAAAGTACTATTTTTCAAGTCAAGTAATAAAGTTCTTAGTTAATCTGCATTAATTATTGAGGTTATTAATCTTTAATAAAAATTATTCTTATTTAATGTCAAAGCCCAGATCAACAAGCACAATTGAATAGAGAATCAAAGATGTCAAAATGTAAAGGTCTCGAAATTATTCCCATGTTGAAGGAACATGTGTATGCTCTGATTGTTTGTGTGGTTAATGCAAATGTCAAGTGATGTAACAACAGTATGATTATCCAAAACTTTTACTGTCAAATTATAAAAGAGAGTATCCTTGGAAATATTCCTCACCTCCTAAGCCAGTCTAAAAAGTTGAATACTAGCCAAATTTTGAACGAGTTTTTAGATCCTCTACTTACTAAAGAAATTTTCAATGCTTCAACATTTAGAAAACTGAAAATTTCAAACCCTCACCCCAAGATTGGAGAAATGACTCACCCGTTGTTGAAATGACATCCTATAGAACGAATTTCAAATAACAACCTAATAGTAAAATATAAAAGTTACACTAGATATCACTCCAATGTTGAGGCCAATTGAAGTTGATCATTCTGTCAATTTGCCAATGTCTTAGAAGACCACTTACAAGAATCACTTTAGAGCATGCAGTTCTCAACTAGAAAATGACCATTATGTTAGAGAAGCTCATTACAAAAGACACACTAATTAATCTCCAAATCCATATCTATAAACATCATATCAACATTTCTATAATGTAGTTTCATAATCACAAACTAATGCAATTTTACCCCAATAAAACTAGCCATTTATGCCAACCTTATCTGGATTGTAAAACCGATAAAGTCGATATCAATCTGATTACAAGAAAAAATAGAAACTCAAATGTTAAGCGAGACAATATTTGGAAGAATACATTATTATTAATTAGGATTGAATCGTATTTTTTATCTATTTTAACTCATTTTTATTCAATTGATTATCACAGATAGGATAATTTAAACATTCATCCTTTGATCCCACTCTCTCAATACACATGAAAAAAATAATAGATAAAGTGATATATACTGATAAATATACTTCATAAATAATTGTAGTTTTCTTTGTCTTCACAAATTTTCTTATTGCTCTTCCTATCCGAAAGCAATTATGATTTCGCCTTTCTTTTGCTTCCCAAATTAGGATCAGGCTCTGTTGATTTATTAATGAGTTTCGATTTATTCTTATAAAGATTCAAACTTTGAGGTTGATCCTCACTTTAACTTTCCTTTTATTACTAAGTCTCATCAAAATTCTCATTGATGTTTTCATCATTCGAAAGCACATCCACAGTTTTGTCCGATAACTCATCATCCTTTATTAAGTAATCATAAGCCTTAAACAACAACTAATCGATTTTACGATTGATTTTTTGAATCTGGTTTCCCATCTATTAATCTAACAGAAATAAATATATTGTTATAAATTTTCTTTAATAATCACATAAATAAATAGCAGAAAGTCTGATTTCGCATATTCAATGCTCAGATGCTTAGTACTTTTATGGAATAAAACTCACATTTCATTCAGTCGTTTATAAGAGCTGATTGTTGAATTCATATTTTATTAATTAATTAAATGTCAAACATCAAGTATATTTATTTAAAGAAAATCCACAAAGTGCCACCCTTAGTTAATAATTATTACCTCCTCATTGAAACCATCAAGAACACTTATCCATAATTGAAGGACATTTATCTTTTTGCAATCATTAATTCATGTATACATTTAAAATACCACAATAGAGAATGGAGAAGTAGTTTAGGAAATCAATTCTGATGTTACCTTTTAATCTTTGAAATTGGTGTGTCAACAATAAGGATTGTCCTCCATTAAATTATTGGTAACAGAGAACCAGAATTATTAAGAAGTTTTAAAGGATTCCTGGAATCTGTTAAATCAAAGTACAGTTGCAACAGAGAAGAAGAGTCAAGATGCTTCAACTAACTTTTAGCCTAGTAATTAAGATTAGTGCCAATAAAGTGCACCATAATTAGGGAATATAGGGTAAACGTATTTAAATAATTGTGTTTAGAACTTAAGCAAAAGCTTAATAAATTGATAATTCATCAAATACTAATGCTTTTGACTTTCGAAATAATTAATAGCTTAAAGAGCTAATCGATGAAATCATAGATTAAAAGCTAAGAGAATTAGGGTTGTTAAAAAATAATGATGATTAAATTGATCCTTCTGATTATAAATTTTCGTTGACCAAAAAAAATCACAGATACTAGGCAATTATCAATTAGGACCTTAAGGTTGCCTTATGCTTTAAGAATAATGGCAATAAGAAGTGGTTTAATCCATATATAACAAATACAGGAATAAATCTACATTAGAAATTTAAAGACTTGGCTCCAGGTGAATGTACATAAGTTGATGTTTCCATTCCCTACATAGCATAGCATTTTTATGGAAATCCACAATACGCCTATAGATTCAAAGTAAATCATATATCCTAAAATTAGATCTATGCTGAAAATGAGAAAGGATAAATTTGCGAGGTTTATGGCGAGATTCCATTCTTGGTAATGGCTCCAGAAAATATTAAATTATCTCCAGAGGAATAAAAAATATAAAAATTGAAGAGCATCTTCCCTTAAATAGGTGAGTAATAGATTGTCAAATTTGTTCAAGAGCAAAGCTAGGCTAAACCTATTGATTAATTGATTGAAGAATTATTGAAGTGATATTTATGGAATTATTAATTAAAATGTGCTGAATATATGATTGGGCATTATAATTCTTATTTATGTATTTCGATTAAATTATATTGGAATTATAAACTTTTGGCAATGCAGTAATGCAATTTGGCAGATTTCTCTTTTAGTCTACAAAACCAAAATGACATTGAGGTTGAGCAATAAACCAATTTTCTTGGGATAGATTCTTCGGCAGCAGATATTTCATCTGAGGAAGAGAATGATTTGGATAGAAAAATATAATAATTATACAGCTAAACGAAGTAGGCCTTGCAATCTATAAAGAAGAGACAGATCTCAGAATAAGTGAATAGTGCAAAGGATCTGTCGAATGTGAAATCTTGTCTCGTTTGTAGTAAATCTCTACCCTTTCTTCAACTGTTTGTATCGAACAAAGTCTTTGCTCGCAATGATAAAATTAAAGGGTTTACTGCTATTCAATATCCTCAACACCTAAACTATATAAATAAGAGTGATAACTAATAGGATTAAAAATAGAAAATAAAATAAAAAATACAAAATACTAGTTATTTTAGTGTTCCAAAAAGGAACATCTGCTACTCTTATATCAAAATTTGAAAATAATTTTATTTTATTGTATTTTTTAGTTTTATATACTCAGTAAAAATAATAATGAAAAGCAGGGAAGATTCAGTGTCTATCAGAAGTGACGAACAATCGTTGGATTTAGATTGCAGGATCATGAAACCAAAGTTTAAACAGCCTGATTACGATACGTATCAAACGGAAACTAGTACCTCTGTTTATAAAAGGATAATGGAGATTGAGTCTAGTTCTAGTGAATATAAGTTCAAGACATGTCATGAACCTGTTCCATCAAAAAATCAATATGGATGTGTTAGGAAGTTTAGTGATTGTTAATTATAAGAATCGAATGAGGAGAAATAAAGAAATAACAAATTCATAAACTAAAATTTGGATAATATTTTGGGTAAAGATAAAACAAGAAAGAAAAAAAGTAAGAAGGGCTCTCTCTACTCCATACAAAGTTAATCTCAATCTCCAATTTCCAACAAGAACTAGTAAATTTAATTATAAGAAACATAATCAAAAAAGTCTCAAAAATCTATCAGCAAAAGTTCAACAGTTAATCTATCTAAAAAAGGAATGTGCAATTCTCAAGAAAAGAAGATTGGCCATACTTTGGACCATCAACCAATAAGAGTATAATAGCGAACCAATCAAATGAACCATCAAATTGATTAATTTTAGAATCCAATATAAGAAAAAATTACTATCGGTTAGTTGAATAGATACTCTTTGAATGACAACAAAATAGGATAAATGTACAGAAATACAAACCATTTCTTACTTACTGCATCACAGCCAAAAAGTATATTAAAGAGCAAGTCTGTTTGTAGTGAGAGTAGCAATGGGGAGAACAGCAGCAAATACAAATCAATGAAATCATCGATTTTTAAGAAAGTTACATTCGAATCAATAAAAGGTTAAAATAATATGAAATAATCTCAACACAATTAATAACAATTGATTATAATACAATGAAATTTAACATATACGTGTATATCTAACATATATATATATACTTAAATTAAATCATTATTTTTATTAATCATAATAGGATGGAGTCTCTAGATATTCTTTTGATTGCATTTCTTGCAATCTAGATCTACATCTTTCAAGAGCAAACTCTTCGTCATATTGTTCCCCTTTGCTTTTTACAACGAAGAGATTCATCAAGTCTCTTTCTGCAGAACAATACAATTTAGTTTTATGATTGTACATTTCGTCAATTAGTAAGATAAATCTACGAGCAGCATTTCGATTACTCATACTGATCTATTTCACTCCCTTTAGACAAATAGTGTGATAATTCCTACATATGGCTATGAAATCTGAGGCTCCTACTACATCCTCACATAACTCTTCATAATCAAACAAGGCTACTCCATTCGCTTGTCTTTTTACTTTGAAGTTCCTTCCTTCAATAACCTCAATTTCTTTCTCATAACTAATAAAAATTAGACACTCAGTATTTACAATTTGTCTGTTCCACTTATTCTTTTGAAAATTCCTTTCATAGTCTGTTCAGCACTTTCATCCAAAGGACTAGTATATGTTAACAGTCTCATTGTTTGAGCTTCAGACTATTGATATTGCAGAATATTCATACATAAGAGTATCTATAATCAACCTGTGAGTCCATATTGTGAATAATGCATGACTGTTTTAAAAATGGAATAAATGGTAAAAATAAATGTCTTTACAATCCTCCCTTATACAAGTCTTCTGGTGGTCTGTTGGATGTGGCCACTAAAACCATATGGTTATTGATCATGGTCTCAAACAATCTCTTCAAAATTAAAGCATCTCCTATATCTGTAACCTAGAATTCATCTAGACATAATAATCTTAACTCCTTCGCTTTTGCAGTACCCACTTTGGTCACAGGATCCTCTTTACTAGAACAATTATGCATATCCTTCTGGAAGTCCAGCATGAATTCATTGAAGTGGATCCTTTTCTTTTGGGGAATTTGACATTATTCATAAAATAAATCCATTATATAAGTCTTCCCACATCCTGGCGATCCGAAAACATATAACCCTTAGATCTACTATACAAATGGACGGTTATGATGTTATTGGGTTGATTATAGTTTAGTCTCGTTTATGCTTATAGTCTGCGAACCCCCGAACAAAGAGCTAAAGAATGATGACTACTTTGCAGATGGTTATTACACTTAGCTTTGCTGCGGCTTATGGTTTCTTTTAATAAAATCATCCAGGAATTTTGAGTATTACAGCCATTGTTGATGAGTTTAGACCAATTGATCGTTGACTCTATCGAATTAAACAATCTTTTAGTCTTAATTATTTAATCATACCGTATTCACTTACCTCTCATCTCTAACTATTTCCTCTTGTCTTACCAAGTGTTGATATTACTCTAACACTGCTCCAAAATTGAATCTCACCCTTCTAAAGCCCAAAAACATTTATATAATAATTTTTATTTAAACCAAGATTAAAATTAAGTCAATAATCCCTCTTTATAAATTTAATATACAGCCAATTAAAAACTGCAAATATTATTACAATAATGGACACTGTTAGAGTGACTAATTGACAATAATTTAGAGAATCCTTCACCTCAATCCCACTCTATTGTTATCTCTGTTCTGGTTATCTCACTTAAGTAAAGTTGCTACTCTCATCGATTACAGAGGGCTTTTTATGACAAGATAACTCAAAGAAAAAGTATTTGTAAAAATGGTAAGCCGTCTATGTGTTTTTTCTTGAGGTTGTCGAATTCTCTATTATGGTTCTGTACATGATTTTCGCTCTTTCATCCAATCTCATAGGAACCTATATTATATTGTATTTAATCTACATAATTTAATTGAGTTATCTCTACTACCCTTGTTTCTTGTTTTTTTATGTAAAAGTTATTCGGTTTTATCTTGTAATTGTGGGGATTCGACAATTCTATTTGAATTTCAAGCATATTCTATGAGATATTTTTTATTTTAAATTCAGTCTGAATTAGCATTGTGTTCCTATTATAAGCAAATGTTAGTTTGTTCTAAGCAGAGAACATCAATAATTCTTCCATTTCTTTTTTTTCTTTTAAAGAGTACTTCAAAACTAATAATTAAATAAATTTAAACAAAAATTACGTTATTAATTAAATATGAAATCGAGGCTTCAAAATGGAAATTATTTTTTGAATAAAGATTTCGCCTATTATCATAGACCATAAATACCTGTAACAATCCAATCAAAATCAGCTATTGAAATTAAACCGATTCCCTAGCCCAGCAACTATCTAAAGAAACAGAAAACTATTCACTATTATGATCAATACAAATTTGAATAATATACATCTGCTAAAACTAAACTCTATGATTTGCTAAGCTTAAGATAAAGTAATTATAATCGATCATTCAAGCTAATAGGACACCAATTCAAAGAAGAAGACAACCTGAATCCTCTCTTATAGTTAAAAGGAATCCAGAGATTTTCACATCAGTTGTTGAAATGAACGATATCAAACAAAAGGTCAAAACTGTCAGTCAAGAATGTCCAAGAACCTAATAAAAAATTACAATGGTTCAACACTCAGCATAATTAGCGAGCACACAAAAAAGAAATCATAACCATTCGAAATCTACCAATAACAATAATACCTCGACTCCGATACTCAATAAAACAGTCTCTCAATTTCAATGTTTCACTCCTCTAACAAATTCAAAAAACAATGCATAATCAGACCTTATGCAGAGAATCAAATAACAAAAATTAGAAAGTCTAATCAATCTTATTATCAACAATCAACTTAATAATATTGTGCATGGCTTCACACTCATTAAGAATACTGCTCCTCTACTTCCTTACATCAAGGATTTGGAAAGAAGAAAAGCCGAATTCAAATAGAAAAGATTTCAAATTAAATTAATCAGAATTAAATGAATAACTGAAAAATTAATAATAAACTAATTTTTCGAATCATATCTTAGACATCCACTTTATTAATAGATTGGTTTATAAACAAAATATATAAATAGATATCAGAAATGACTATCAAGAAGATTTGTATTCTGCCATTAGATCAGATCAACAAGCTTCTCAATATTTGTTTAATGTAATTATAGTAATTCCTTTTAATCTAATTTCTTTTGCAGACTTATTGCTATTTGATTCATGTTTTCCTTCAATTCCAAATATAGTTCCTTGAAAACCTATAGAATTTCTTATATCTTTGAAACATATATCTGAATTTTCTCATCATTTATTGGTGAAATGATATTCAAGGGCAATCTATCTCCTTAATCCTATATAGGCATAAACGTTTCTTCTGAATGCAATGAAATATATTATTTCTCAGGATCAAAATTCCACCCATATCTTAACAAGAATTGCAGCAATTTATCACCCAATGTCACATTTTCACCTATAGCAGCTAACATAATAGTTAAACAAAATGAACTAACTCCACCTGTATAGGAATCATTCAATCCTCTATACTTCAAGAGTTTTTTCAAGACAATGGCTACTTCAGTAAAGCCTTTTACTGAATTTCCTACCTAACGCTGATAATCTGTTGAGAGAAGTCCAACATGATAGCCTTAATACCCATACATTGGATATGGTTGTTGTAATTCAAACGTGATGTCAATTTAGATGTTTTAAGCTTTACTTAAAAATCAAATCAATACATAATTCTCCGTATTTTAGATTAAATTAATCGATATTTCGATGATTCATCACATAATAAAGGGGGTTTCCTACAAACTCTAGAAATCCAATTGAAGGATCAATTGTTATTTTGATTAAAGGAATTGTTGCTTAAAATATATGTCTAAAAGTTGTGTTAGGATAAATACTTGTAACTTATAGCCCATTTCATTTATGAGAATACTTCCAAGAGTTTCCTCATAGGATCAAATAGTTATGCCTTTGTGAACACTGGTAATCCAAAAACTACCATATCAACATCACTATCATGAAGAGCTAGACCTGTTCTAGAAGAGCCAAAAATAACAGGTTCAACTTAAAATTAGAAAAAATGTGCCTTAATAATATGTTACACTCTTAGTATGGCAACTTCTCTTGCAGTTCTAAACTTGAGTAAATTATCCTATTCTTTCTGATAGATTGATTAAATATCCCTTGAAATCTTATGTTCCAAAATTCCTTAATATATCTTTTCAAGAGTCTCTTTCTCCAAATCATATTTATATGTTTTTTATTCTTTGCTTGCACTTTTGACTAAGCCAGGTCTCTAGGGAGTACTATCCTACTCTTTTTTCTAAGAAAGAGTCTTAGGGGGAGTAGTATTACCCATTTTGTAATCGTCAGATAGATAATTTTGCTATGAAGAATTTGATTTTTTCATCAAAATTGCTTGTTTTTCAGCTTGGTCTTCCTTTTATTCTTTTTCCTTTTTGCTATTTTATTTTTTTTTCTTCCCATTAAATTTCTTCTTTGTTACTTCAATGAATTCTCCATCATCATCATGCGTAGAGGTTGTTGTACAAAGAAAAGTCTCCTAGACTTATTCTTATACTTCTTCATCTTTTTAGATTTCAATTTGGACTGAAGGTTCAAATTATTAGGTTTGAACACTTTCACTTGATTCTACCTATTAAATTTCAGGTAGTTTTTTGAGTTTCTTCTTTTCTTGATTCCTAATATAACAATGAAATAATTACTCCTTTCTTCTTTGTTTTTTCTTTTGATTCTTTGTTTACGTATCGTTTATCCACTCTTCATCTCCAAATTGAATCTCTTGCTATTATTGCATCTATTAATACTCAGTACAATTTGATGTACATTCACTCATATATTGTTTCTTCTGATTTTTCGCCTTTTTCTATTTTTACTTTTTGAATTTCTTCTGATTTTCCAATTCTATAAATGTCTCATCCACTAATCTTTTCATAAATGAAGTAGTGAATTCATATAAAATATTTTCTATTTCCTCATTACTTGTGCTAAATAGCCTTTGATCATTTTCAGGTAATATTTGCGATTTTGAAGGGTTTTTAAATAGCTTGCCTACCTATTGCAATTATTGTTATTTTTGTTTCTCTTATTCTGGTTTGATTCTCTTAATCTCAGGTGCTTAATTTAAAGGAAATTCCTTGAGCAACGTTTTTGAAATCAAAAATTTGCAAAAGAGCACATATTCATTAAGAACTTACTTGACAGGAACTGAAAACAATTCTTTTGGTTGATTAAAATAGTATTAAACTTCTTTGCAAAGGATTTGACACTACAATGGGTTCATTTTGATCCCTTCATTCCAACAATGAATTAGGTTCAGTTCATTAATGAATTACTTCTGATTCGATTGTTAGGTAAACAGTTACTAAAACTCAAGAAAAGTTTAATTTAAGTTTAACGAAGCGTAATTAAATCTCACAAGATTCAAATTCAATAAATTCTTATGGTAAGTGTAATTGCTTCCCTCACAAGATTAACGATATCTACAATATTTGATTGAATGATTACTTTAATAAGATTGCAATTTAGAATTCTTCAACCAATAATTCAGGCAATGTCTAATAGACCTTCTGTTTTTTGAGGTTAATTTCATAATATCCTTCAGTGTCATGAGATTCCAATTCTCCCAAGCTTGTAAATATGGTTCCATTGGATATTGTTTCAAATGAATTTATAATCTGTTCAACATCCCCTCTTAATGTAATAGTATCAAATAACCATTCATAATCAGACACATAGATGTGATCAAGGATGTACTTTAATTTATTGAAATTTATGAAATACCTTATGTGCATTTAAATCAATCTTATTTAAACGCTTACAATTTTAAATAGAATAATATCTGCCGAGTTCTTCAGCAACATTTACTTCAAAAGGACTACATAATAATTCCTGATATTCATGTAGCCCATTTTGATCTATCTTGAACATTTTGAGATATAAATAAACTCTAAAGTAGGATGTAAAGGAGAGCACATCGTCCAATTGTTCCTAATTTAGTTGTCTCAACCTTGAAATTAGAGTGATTGATACCAATCGAATATGGATTATTTTAGATCGTTAGATTTTAGTTTTATTTCTGGCAAGGGATTACTATAGTAAACCACTTTATTAATTTGTCTGCTTGAGGTTCTTTATACTTAAGTCAGAGGATAGAAAATCTGGTTCATAAATAAATTATTTTCTAATATTTTCAAAAATGATAAAATAAATTTGGGGGATGTTTTTGTTGTTTTTAATTGTACTTGAGTATATGCAAAATATATCATCATCTGTACCTTCTGAGGGAAATTCTGTTTCTTCTAGCGTAATTGGCTCTTCTTGATGGTCTTGTTTGGTTGTTTCTGTGACCCTTTACTCTGAGACCTCTGCTCTTTCTGCCAGCAGATGTTAAGCCTAAAATAATAGAAATTGCAAACTATACCTCTTAATTCTCTGTGCTTGTGAACAGGCTTGGTGATCCAATTGATTCTTGAATCTCCTCTGATGGCTGGATGGAATGGATCAACTGTGATGACCTCATAATATTTATATGTTCCGTCTTGAGCCACCCAATATGAATTCAAAACTCTCAATGCTCCAATTTTTCTGCCAACTCTCTCTTCAGCAACTGATCTGAGATTTCTGGTGGGCTTCAATTGATTAACTCCTTGACTCTTGGGTTTACCCTTAACAAGACCCTTTCTGATCAACAATTTTCTTCCGCCTCTTCTGACTCTGACTCTGTAAATAACATAACCTTTAAAAGATCATTATAAAATCTAACCTTATTTGGCCTTGTAACCTAATCTTCTGGCTTTATCTGGTCTGCTGGGTCTAGTTGCTCTATGAATGACTGGCAATTATCTGTATTCCCATGTTCTGATTCTCATGATGAAGCTGAGGACATCAGATTATTTCTTTTTCCAAAGCTCTTGTAAATATTTATATGCACCCATTGTGAAAGAGAAAAAAAGATTTTTATTAATTAAAAAATTTCAAATCGATATAAACAAGCACACTAAATATACACAGATTTAAATTTCAAAAAATAGCGTAAAAATATGTCATCAAAGTTCGTACTTGAAGAGATTATTGTTCAAGAAATTTAGATCAAATAAACTGCTATCATCATATTGCTCCCATTTTGTGAGTTGCCCTTATTAGTTAGCTTTTATGAGAAACGAAGGAGATTCAAATCTTTTATATTTTATGACATCTGTTCTATTTACACTTTTTATTTGCTGTAATTGACTAATTGATCTCTCCTTGATTGATTTTGGTTTTATTGCACATTACTCAATATTAAACCCCATAGTAAACGGACAAGGCCGAAAAGCCCGTTAATTTTTGATTTTCCTCAATGTCGACATGGCTCTCATAATCTTCTAATCATTTGCATATGGTTTTTGATTGGGATTAACTTATGCCTGATGCAAGGAGTTATTTTTATTGTGTTCTTCGAAAATTTACTGTTTCGGTTAAACAGTGCTGAATCTTTCCAATTATAACCCCAAACTCATCTGCAATTTCTACTTCCCTTAAGATTCTACTAAAGCAGTCGAAGGACGCTTCTACTTTAGAGGAGTAATTTATGATTATTATTTTACGATCTTCGCTTTTACCCTGTTCCTATTCAGTATAAATTAATAAAGTCCATGTTCCTGGAACTTCTACAACTAGGAACTTGAACCGTTCTCCATATATTTTTGACTGCTCTGCAAATTTTGTTAGCTCAGCATTTTTATATGTTAAACTTAAACCCTTTATATAATAATTATTAAATCAATAATCCATCCGCAAACATTATATCTCTTTATGAGTTTGATGGCAATCCAAACTGCAATACCTTTCTAAACATCTCGGACATGTGTATTTGGCTTGAGATCTGCAAATACTACATTATTTTGTCTACTGCGGCTTCGCTTTCGGAGTTATATTCTAGAAATTTAGGAATTCAGAATCCAAAGGGGTATTTTTAAGCATCTTCTTTAGATTAACATTCTTTCGTAGTGTGTTATTCTATTTCTTCTTGGCAATTCTCAACATTTTGCTTTTCTTTCTATTGGCTGATGCATCAGAGAGTTCTTCTTCCGCCAATTTATTTGGTGAATCATAATAGTCACTCTCCAAAATATCTAGTCTTGATTGAGTTCTTAAGCTTCTTTAATTTTCATCCACGTTTCTTACATAAGTGTAGGTCTTTGTGCGCTTCTGATGTCGAGTTGTAGCCATTGAATACCTTTTAATTTTATAATTAAATTCATAAGTAGATAATATTGAATCAAAAAAACACCCTTTAAAAACTCTAACCTTTCTTTACATATCTAATACCTTTCCCTTTTTGTTAGCCATTTTAGAAGTTCCGTATTTCAAATTTGGTGAATTTTTCATCAAGGTAAAATTTTCCTTATTGATCATGGAATTCCCCTTCATGAAAATTTCCTTCATACTTTATATAATCTAATGTGTTCCTATCAACATTAAGCATGGTCAAAGTTCCTTTTCCCTCCAATAATCCATTAACCCAATTACCTTCGTACATTTAATTTTTATTATATTATTTTAGTTTTCCACTTTCATGATATTACCCATTCCTCAATTTACCCTCAAACCATTCGATTTGTTAATATCTTAGGCTTTTCTAACCATAGACTATCTTTTGACAATTATCTCCACAAATTCGGTTATTTTAATAACTTACATCCCTGTAATTTATGATCTATTATTTATTCTACGAAACTTATAAGATATCTCCAAAAAGAAGTTACCCATTCTTAAAAGTTCCTTTATAATAATGACCCTAATTATCAACGGCATATCCTATCTGAACTTCCCCAGGTTGATCTTGACCTTTAATAAAGAAACTGACTTTGAATTAGTCCCTTTCTATAATTTTGTTAAAATCTTTAAGTTCCAGCATTTAATCTTTTCCGTACAGCTCTCTATATTATATAAACTGATCTAGAATCTAATTATTCGCTAGGTCAAGCCAAGATAACATTCTATTGCTTTCTTTGTTAATGTATTAAGTGTCAATCTCCTATTTCATTTAATTAAACTCAAACATTTTTGGATCCATTTTATTTAATCTATAAATTAGCTATGAGAAATATATCCTGAAATCTCTCACTTAATCTTTACTTCCTTTTTAACTAAAATGGTCTTCAACATGATATAATATGAAATACTATTCTGTAGGATCATAATAGTCTAAAGAAGGAATTTTACCTAATTAAAACCCTTCAATCATATCAGAAATCAATTTATATAAGTTAAGTACCTTATCCAACTTGTATGCTCTATCAATGCTATTTTTATTACGATTTTATTCTCTATAAAGTACCAATCTTCTTTAATCAAAATAATAGAAATAATTGGAGTCGAAATTTTCCTATGAGCAACACAATTGGGCTTGTTATTCTTATTTTTTTTAGTCAATCATTTTATTTTTAAGTATGAGTTATAATGGCTATTCAGTGATTATTGCACAACCTTAATTAAACCATTCTTCACTGAGTAATTCTTTTGGTAAATTAGGCCTAAAATTAGGATATGTATGTTTGTTACATTATTTCTTAAAACTCTTATTGTAGTTCATTGTATTGCTCACGGTAGTTAGCGAAAAAATAGTAGATACCGAAGTTATCTTATTTTAATTCTTTGATTTGTTCCCGAAAAAAGGCTGAAATGTCTACGCACAAATTTCCTTTTGGATGCTCAATTATCACTTCCATTAAATTTGCAATCGTCTTTCTGTAAGTGTGAGTTTCTTCTGAGTTAGTCCATAAGTTATCGGAAATAAAGGTGATAGCAAATGTTTAGTTTGCTTCATTCAGAAAAAAGTTTGAGTGATTAATTTTTAAGTAGCCCAAATTTTAAGATATTTCTTATTGAGATGATTCCTGGAGAATTTATTATTAAGATGATTTTTGAGATAAGATTTTAAGCAAGGCACATGCTTAATTGAAGAGCAAGCATTTTGTTTATTCATTCATAAATTATTTGTTCTCCAATTTTTTCAGATAAATATCGTCCTTATATTTTATACACATGGTTTAATTTTAAGGATTGTAGAGTATTTTATCTATTTCTAAAACAAATCCGCCATATTAAATAGCCATTTAATTCTATTCCTCGGCAATTTTGGAAATTCTCTTCATTTTTTGGAGGTCGACATTTTCTAATCTCACAATTACTTCCCCATCAAATGAATACATGTTATCCATAATATGTATGAAGTTTTTGGAACTATTCATATTTATAATATAATAATAATATTTATTTATAGATATTCTAACCTCTTAAATTAACAAACTGTAGGGAAACATTCTGATATTACATATGCAAAAATTTAAATAACTACTAGCACTATTAATTCTTGTCAGGGTTAGTGGCCAAAGGAATATAGGAACGATGTATTAATATATTGGATTTGCATACCTAAGAGATTTGTTAAAAAACGAATATAGCACTCTAAAAGCAATTGAAATAACAATGATGATTAAGGAAAGAATTTGAATTACATTTAAATCAGGCTGAATTTCAATTTCCAATCCCAATAAAAGAGAGATGCAATATTCTAGGGAATATTTCAACTCTTTCTTCCATAAGTATTGCTACGCATAGCAGATTATAATATTGAAAAAATCAAAAATTTGATAAATAATTTTACGATAATCTATTGGTGTGATATTACTTCAAGATAGGATACCCAAAGCAAATCAATATAAGAAACTATATTTATAATTTATGATAGTTCTTCATTATCATCCTGCCATCATAGACAACAAAATTAAGACTATGCTGATCTTTTAAGCTGAATCATCTGTACCATTGCAGGTGATGTCGCTGGGGGAACTATCTTTATTACAGGTGGTGTTGTTGGGGGGAGCAGATTTCTCATAACAAAGAACACATTTGGAATTATCAGTACTCCATGTATATTTGTAATTTGAATTAATCAGACAGGTATCCTACATTAAATTAGATGGATCAACTAAATTGCATTATCCATTCTATATCATGCAAGTATTCGTTTAATCTGAATTAAATATTTAGATAAACTTGCAAGAATTTGTCTGCTAATAGATACTCTAGCAATCTTAGGGAACACAGCTAGAAGTACCATTTTAAGTGATATAGCTACATCCTCTAAGTGATAAACACTTTGCCTACTCAGTTATGACTTAGCATCCCGTAACTTCTAAACACTTACTATTAGCCCAATAACAGATTTTCTAATTTGATGCTCCTTAATTGCAGGCATTCTAATCATTATACTAACTACAAGAGTAATTCTTGATGATACATTTTTATTAAGTTGCATCATAAACACATGTAGTCACTTCTGAACAATAGAGGTTGGATACTGGAAGTATGTCATTACAATTTTTATCTCTACANCATGGTTTAATTTTAAGGATTGTAGAGTATTTTATCTATTTCTAAAACAAATCCGCCATATTAAATAGCCATTTAATTCTATTCCTCGGCAATTTTGGAAATTCTCTTCATTTTTTGGAGGTCGACATTTTCTAATCTCACAATTACTTCCCCATCAAATGAATACATGTTATCCATAATATGTATGAAGTTTTTGGAACTATTCATATTTATAATATAATAATAATATTTATTTATAGATATTCTAACCTCTTAAATTAACAAACTGTAGGGAAACATTCTGATATTACATATGCAAAAATTTAAATAACTACTAGCACTATTAATTCTTGTCAGGGTTAGTGGCCAAAGGAATATAGGAACGATGTATTAATATATTGGATTTGCATACCTAAGAGATTTGTTAAAAAACGAATATAGCACTCTAAAAGCAATTGAAATAACAATGATGATTAAGGAAAGAATTTGAATTACATTTAAATCAGGCTGAATTTCAATTTCCAATCCCAATAAAAGAGAGATGCAATATTCTAGGGAATATTTCAACTCTTTCTTCCATAAGTATTGCTACGCATAGCAGATTATAATATTGAAAAAATCAAAAATTTGATAAATAATTTTACGATAATCTATTGGTGTGATATTACTTCAAGATAGGATACCCAAAGCAAATCAATATAAGAAACTATATTTATAATTTATGATAGTTCTTCATTATCATCCTGCCATCATAGACAACAAAATTAAGACTATGCTGATCTTTTAAGCTGAATCATCTGTACCATTGCAGGTGATGTCGCTGGGGGAACTATCTTTATTACAGGTGGTGTTGTTGGGGGGAGCAGATTTCTCATAACAAAGAACACATTTGGAATTATCAGTACTCCATGTATATTTGTAATTTGAATTAATCAGACAGGTATCCTACATTAAATTAGATGGATCAACTAAATTGCATTATCCATTCTATATCATGCAAGTATTCGTTTAATCTGAATTAAATATTTAGATAAACTTGCAAGAATTTGTCTGCTAATAGATACTCTAGCAATCTTAGGGAACACAGCTAGAAGTACCATTTTAAGTGATATAGCTACATCCTCTAAGTGATAAACACTTTGCCTACTCAGTTATGACTTAGCATCCCGTAACTTCTAAACACTTACTATTAGCCCAATAACAGATTTTCTAATTTGATGCTCCTTAATTGCAGGCATTCTAATCATTATACTAACTACAAGAGTAATTCTTGATGATACATTTTTATTAAGTTGCATCATAAACACATGTAGTCACTTCTGAACAATAGAGGTTGGATACTGGAAGTATGTCATTACAATTTTTATCTCTACATAACTCACCTGATTCTTAATTCGCATCTTCCCAATAACATGGATTAATATCAGTATTAATTTTCGTATAGCCATTGGTACATTTTGTTTTTGTCTTGTATAATTTGCATTCTTACATAGACATACATGTAGTGCCATCAGAAGTGCAAGAATTCAACTTAGAATTACAGTATTTATGAGTGGTTCCACTAATATCTGAACAGCTTTGATTCCTACATTTTCCCTCCCAAACACAAATATCAGTACTTTTTGATGTTTTTATAGTCTATTATTTTGTAATGTAACATGATGATTAGTCCAAATAATCTTGACAATTCTCCTTCAATTCCATACATTCACTTCCACTAGTAGTGCAACCTTAATTTACTTCATAGCACTCTGCATGAGTTTGATATTGAATATCTTTGCATTTGTTAAATTTCTTACATATTTTAGAAGCGGAATTAGCATCTTTGCGAATTAACATGCATTCTCCATCAGAGCCTCTGTTGCAATTTATGGAAGAAAGATTCTCGCATTTTGTTATAGATATGCAGGTTGTTCCATTAGAGGTGCAATTTTTAAATACACTTTTACATTCTGCATCTGTTTTAAGAGGGATATCTTCACATTTCAAATATTTGATGCATAACCCTTAAGGATGGTTTTCATTTCTTAAAGGTTTAACCCAGAGACATGGCAAACCATCAAATGTTTCGACGCAACTTTCCTCAATCTAATATTCAGTACAGTTAGCAGCCATATTGACACAATTTCCAGTTTTAGAAATAGTACATGTCTTGTTTTGTTTCTTGCATTTAAAATGATCTGTTCCAGTTAAATCTGAACAGTCATTACTCCTGCAACCTACATCCTTTTCCCAAACACATATTTTACCATCTCTAGAAAATGTACAGCTACTTTCCAATTCATAAGAAGTACAATTTAAAATCAATTTGCAACCTCCCTATTATCTTAAGGTGCATCCATTGTTGTATTTCCTACATTACTTCTCACTGACATAATCTGTTTTGGATGCCAGTTCGCAAATGCTTGTTTCACAATAAGCATCCCTTGTTGTTGTTGGTGCATTCCAAATGCATTGCTATTCTAGATTATTGACTTTGCAAGCCTCCTGTGCTCTTGCTTCTTCACAAGTTGTCCTTAAAACACATCTAGTTCCATCTGTGGTACACTTTCCACTTAAACCTACCTACTTACAAGCTGCGTCTGTTACGTAAGTATACTTTTCACAATCAGTTGTAACGCACCTTAGATTCCTACTGCTTTCACAAGTGCTTAAATATTTTGAGCACTCTCCATTTAAATTATCTGGTGTATTACTGCACAATCTAGTTACACATTGAATGCCATTCCAATAACATAAACTACCATACATACTCTTGGTACATTAAGAATTTATTTGGTAATCTTCACAATTTGGAGTCATATCCATGCATCCTTGCATGGTTGTTCTAAGAGTGCATTTGGGTGCAAAATCATTGCAGCGCTCATGAGTTGTAAATGTTTATGGTGCTTTATTGCACTATAATGTGAAACAAGCTTATTCAATCCTATCCCATTTACATTCTTAACCTAACGAACTATATCTGCATTGATCTTCGATTTTGTACTCTTCACATTCAGCTCTATTTCTACAACCCGACGGCTTGAGTGTTCCAGGGGATATCTCAACGACAGCCACAGTACACTTATCTTGATACTGAGTGAATACATTTAACTAATATTCCGTGCAAGCCTTATGTGTGTAATACTTATCTGGATCAGCTGATTAGCAAGAAGTCATTTCACAGAATTCATTCTCAGGATTATCCGTATTCCACCTACAAAATTAACCTTACGTATCTACTTTACACTGCTCCTTGTGAAGGTATTCATTGCATGCTTATAAATTCATGCATCCACTTGGATACGAGACTGATTAATCATTAGGATCGACAACATAATTCACTGTGCAATTTACACGTAAATTTTTTTTTTTTGGATCTTAAACATTAATTAATTCATAACACTCATCATGAGAATCATATTTTTCGGTTCTTTCTATAGATTTGCATTCAAAGAGTACACATTTCTACAATGAGGGATTCCAAAAACAAATTGCGCCTTGATTATCTTCTACACATTGTAACTCTGTTAGGTAGGAGTCGCAAGAACTTCTAAGTATACAGCCACCAGATTAAGCTACGGTACATGTTGACATATACTGTTCACACTAGGCATCACTTGTTAAAGTATCATCAGAAGAATAACAGGTCTTCTTTAAGCATTAATTTTATTTCTTATCTATTATACACACTCCATCTAGAATGGTTCTAATACAAGAGTCGACATCATTTTCATAACATCTATCCTTCATCTCCTAACATCCATTTTTTTCCGCATTTACAGTGCAATTATCCTTCCAGGCTGAGCATGTCTCATGTGTAAATGGTCCAATCGCATTCTAGCAAGTCTTGAGAGTACAACCTGAGGTTCCTAAATTTGTACAAGCCTTGTTGATTTGACTACATTTCTCTGATGTATAAACGATACTTTCCCCTAGATAAAATTATTCACAGCTGACTCCTTAAGAGGCTTTGCATACAGCCTCTGCATCATCAACTTTGCTCTGTATGCAATATTCATTAAAATCACTTTGCTAACAGTCAAAAATAGTGTATCCTCCACATTACTTTTTAGCCACACATTAAGTTCCTGCTCTATTGACACTGCAAAAACGACTAAAGTCTTGGCAATCTTAATAGGTTAATCCCGTTCCTTTTTTGTACGAGCAATTCTTATCTGCTTCGATTATGCTTGCAATACCAATACACTGGCTAGTAGCTCCAACTTACCAAATACAATTACTCTCCTGAGATTTCAAACATGTGTTCTCCTCCTTGTAAGTACCACAACTATTTTAAATCAGTATACATTTCTTTTTATCCCTACTGACAGTGCATGTTTAATCAAATTACTTACAAATATTCTCTGTCAAATCTACACCATCCTTTTCTTCACAATTTCTAGATGCACAAGCCATCAATCCTATACCATTAAGTGGATATTTACAAAATTCTCTGTTTTTCTTACATTCTGCGTCATTTTCACTGGACCAAGTGGTACAGGATTGATATTGCATATAGCACTGTGACCCATTTGTTAAACAAAAACCATCAAATTTGGCATAATAGCATTCTTGAGGAGTATATTAATTGCATCGAGCTTTTTCGATAACGCAAGCATTCAATGCATTGTTAATTGAACACTCAACTTTATTAGATATAATAGCTTAACAATGGCTTAATTAAGAGACCACTGGTCCTCCTGTTTTCTCTGTTTGAGTGGTATAATCTTCACATGTCTTCAATTTGCAACCTGTGTTTTTTTCATTGACTTTGCAATAGGAAACAACATCTTCACAAGTTTATGTTGAATACTCAGTTAATACTAACCTTGAACAATCGACTTTATCAAAATCCCAGCACCTTTCATTATTCCAGATACATTTCTATCCACTAAGATTCTTAAAACATTATTCAGGAAATTTATAATTGAAACAATATTGCTGTTTATCAATGCAGCCATTTTAATTTACCCTTGCAATTACAGTGCATGTGGAATCATACGCATTGCAAGCGGCATATGAATTATACATTTTAGAAACAACATCTCCACACTTCTTGATATCGCATCTATATTCTTAAGTATTAGCATTAAACCGAATGACACATTCGTTTTTATTTGAATCAATTTTACATTGATCATTAGGTGAATATTATGAGCAATTTTATTGTAAATCCATGCAAGCATTTGCATCATCATTGACTGTGCAAGTTTAATACGATTTCTCAAAACAATTTGTATGATTGTAAATTAATGAGTCGATCTGTAACTTAATTGCTGAACAAGATTATATCACACATTAATCTCCTGTCCACAAACACTTCGCTTTTGGATCCATGATGCCATTCTAAATGCAATTACCTTAAGATTTTAGCTTAGTACAACTGTCAGGTTTTCTCATACACCCCAATCCAGTATTGCTTAAAGTACAACAGCCTAAACCATCTGGATTGGTACAATCCTCCAATGGATATTGATTGCAACTTTGGGCTGTCTAGTATTTTGCTTTCTCACTAATAAATAGAGTCGAATCACAAGCCCTTATTTAGCACTTCTAACGTCCTTCATCCCAGGCACACTTATAATTATTTTCAATTTCGCAGATTTCTTAAAGGGCTCTTTAACTGCACTCCGGCAAAACCCAGCATCCTCTTTTATCATTGTTTACATAACAGCCCTGCATGTACTCCTTACAAGCTACAGTTGTAGTTTTGTTTATCGGAGCAGTATAGCAAGACTTATCTAAACATTTGCCATTCTTCCAGGCGCATTCCTTAGTTTTAATAACATTATTGAAACCAATAGATTGCCTAAGGTAACACCCTTCCTCCAATTTTATCTGTTCACATTGTAAAGGAAGTGACATACAACCTTTACCAGATAAAGCCAAAGTACAAGTACTTAAGTATGCATTACAACCTTCATGTGTTTTAATCTCCGTGGAAGCACTTAGACATGTTTTTTCAATGCATTTATTTCTCCATTAACAGGTTCTCCCATAAAAATCCAATTATTTTGTGCAATTAACTTCATTTTAATAGTTTTCGCAAATTTTGTCTTCACAACCAGTTGCTGTTTAATTTACTTAGCATTTGGACCAAAACTTCTCGCAGTCTTCTTGAGTCCTGATTGTGGATGGTGCCTTATCACATTACTTTGTAATACATGTGCCAGTTATTTCATACCAATAACAATCTGATCCATTAATGTCCTTTACACAAGCTATTGAGGTGGTGACCTTAGAACAAGAACCATTTTCAATACAGCCACCCCCACTTCTGGTAATACAGTGATTATCAGGGAGGTACTTCTCGCAATCTTCATTTGTTTTTAAAGTATCTGGAGCATTTTTACAATTTTTCGTCTGACAGCCAAATCCATTATCAGTAGTGCATGAGAATAAGAACTACTCACATTATTAATGTGTAGTCAACTTGGTTGATGCATTTTCACAAGCTTTTTCAATACAAGAATCCTCCCACATACAATCCTTGCCATCACCACTCTTCTATGTATTACAATCTATTTATGTTTTAATAGAACTGCATGAAGTATTTAATTTGCACCCACTGCCTTCGTTAGCAATACAATCCTCTTAGAAAGATTAGCATTATTTATCGTTCTGATAATCTAATGGAGCGTTTTCACATTTGTATATCACACATTAATGAAGAGATGCTATCCAAAAACAAGGTGTCCCACTTGTATCAATCTTCCCTTGACATTCAACTTGAGTTTTTAAATTGCTACAATAAATGACCTACTAACATCCTCCACCATATTTTGCTTCACACATGCCCTTCTACAAGAAATCATAACAATTCTCTGAAACTAAAGTTAGTGGGGCATCATCACAAGTCATGTCTCGACACATTTCTTCCTACCATTTGCATTTGACTTTAGATGACGTTATTTTACATTAGCCCACAAAAGTGTAATCACTGCATTCTGGTAACAAATCTACACAATCATTGTCTTTGTTTATTGTACACCTATCCAATTCATCATAACAATTTTCATGAGTTATAGTACTTTTTATTTATAATTCTGAACACCTACTAATTCGTTTACATCCCATCTAAGGATCCCATGTACATTATTGTCCATGAATATTTTTTTATTTACAAGCATCTACTGTAAGATATTCATGACATTCTGCTCTCTAAATACACTAAACACTATCTGTAGTGCATTCTTTTGATTTTTCATTACATTTTTAATGCATTTGCTCTATATACATACTGCATCCAGTAAAGAACTAGCACTTTGTGTCAACCCAAATGCAAGGATAATGGGGTAAATATTCATCATTACACTATCCTATTGTTTTCGATTCGTTTATACAAACAAAGGCTGCTAAACAATGTTTTGAAGATTCGTATTATGAACAATAAGGTTTACCCTCAATAAGGGGGTTTGACTTTGTTTAGTTTGATAGGTCACATTTCTTTGAAGTCCATTCACAGTATTAGAGGGGGAACTTCAAGCAGTCATCCTCTGATTTTAGGCTTAGGCATTAACATTACTAGTCAGTACCATGTACAAACATGAAAATTGTTAACAAAAAGAAAACTTGCAAGTAGTTAATCATATATAAATTTATAACTAAGAACAAAATGTTTGAGTATTTCTAATAAAATATTCTCTTATAAAATATCCATTGGGCAAAATTCGTTTTTCCTCTCTTAATCTTGGTATTGAGTTAATTATCTAATTTCACACAATTGACTGAAAGAAATTAACAATTAATTATTTTTTTATACTATTTAATTGGAACTCTAATTTTTTGCTTGGATACTTTATCATACATCTATATTGAAAGAGTACAATAGTAGAAGAAACTCTGACCTTAAATATAATTGAATTTTTAATAGAATTCAAATATATATTTTTATAAAAAAATTAATTCTGTTGAGAATATAAAGACAAGCAATTCTCACTTATTAATCTTTAATTTATTAATTATAATTATTATTGCTATTTATTTGAGTAAATCCTAAATCTATAATTTTTTATGATTGAAATCATTAACTTTAAATTCTGTGCCTCGAATTTGAATTAATCTATCTAGTTACTAGATTAGATTCCTCTTTTTAAATTGAGCAGAAATAGATTCGATAATTAAGGCTTTGAATAACTATAACTGAATAAGAATTATAAAATAGGTATAATTACTCCCCTATTAACAATTATCTGAGATTATTTATTAATAATAATTAGAAATTAAACAGTTTATTAATATCTTGATATAAAACTAAAATTAGATCATTCGCCTGAATTGAACAATTTATTGTGGTATTATTCTGCCATTTTGAGGGGGTTTTTGGTTGTTTTTAAATCAATAACTTCTCCTGGTTTATCCTGTTGGTTAAGATTGATTTAACCGAGAGGTTGATTTTATTATTGGACTGAAGGTACTGTTTATTATTAGAGTGGCTATACAAATTGCTAAGGAGATGGCTATAACTATTATTGCTTAAGTAACTAAGGTGGATTCTGATAAGGGTGTTATGATTGGAAGGGCAAGGGCATAGTATGAAGTTGTTATGGGAGGAATTATTAGTTAGGCAACATCATTGATTAAGCATATTATGGTTGGAAGTTGAATTGTTAACCTGGGAATGGCATTAGGGAAGGAAATCCTGAAGGAAGAGGTGGCAATTAAGGCATGTTCATAGTTTCAATAGCAGTGATAGGATTGAACTTTTAGAGTATTGGGAATCCTTGGAGAACTCTGGTTGGAATTGGAGAGTTAGATGCAGGATGATTTTGCTGACTGCTTGGTCTCTCGTGCACAACTCTTCTAATGATTGGTTATTATTGCTATTGTTGCTTAATTGGTGAAACTTATTATGGCTATTTAACTTAATCTCTTGATATGAATATATAGGATTGTAACTAATCTACAATGATTTATAGTTAAGATGGTCGTATTTCTACTTGATCTAACTCATTTTTAACTTGATCTACGAATGAGATAGTCATTTCATGTTACCGTGAATAGATATCTTCTGGTCTGCTTTATTTGTAAGATTTAATGAGTGTTTTTAAGCATTTCTCAGAATTCAATTTTTATAGTCTTCCTTACATGTTATTCCATCTATCATAAGCCAATCTATGAAATTGATTGATTTCATTGAGTAATTGATCAGTCTGCTTGATTGATTGAGAATTGAGATTGTTTTCTAGATTTTACATAAAGGTATCGATTGCCTTATAGAATTGTTCTTTTGCATCTAAGAATTTCTTTTTCTAAACTTCTCTATGATTTTTAACAAGATTCTTTAATTCTACCACGTCTTCAATGTCTTCTCCCAACATATTGCAGATGTCAACGATTTTATTATATTGTTCGCCAAGACAATAACCAAGTAAATCAAAATGGGGAGCATACTCTTATCCCAAATGATCATCTTAATGGATAGTAACACACATAGGACAAAGGGGTAATAAGCAATCACTTATATGATAAATTTAAATGGATACGGATTTTTGCAAAAGTTTTATATGAATTGGTCTGGATGATAATGGCAACTAACGATAGGAGTGCTTTGTTATGCATTGTATAGAATATGCTTTAACTTCTATGGTTGAAATGTTGGGATTGGTTATTATGATTGTGGTTATTGTTGCAGTTATTATTGTGGTTAAATATGTTAAGAGGGTTGAAGCGGTGATAAGGCTCTTGTAGGAGTATTAGATCGATCAGATGGCCTTTATGAGTCGACATCAAAGATGCGACTTCTTGGTTGCCTCTAACTTGAATTCATATTTAATATTTTTAACGGATATTAATAATTATGTTCCTATATGTATCAAATCAACATTATGGGCTTTATTCGTATTTCCCTTGGTTCGCTTATTAATTTGATTTATGTTTCCTATTAAACAAAATGTTATGAACTTCTCCTACGTAATCTTAAAAAGTCAATAAGATCAAAAATTATCAGTTTTTTAGCTTGTATTTTGACTTCTAAAATAAAATTGTTTATGTTCAAGAAATTAAAATAGTCATTGACATACTTCATTTCATAAGATAGCATTAGCTTAGACATATTCAAATCTAAACTATTTTACAAGGCCTGGCAAGAATAATAATATCTAAAAATCTAAATGTAGCTGCATCACATTTTACAAAGGTCATTAAGGGAATATAATTGTTTACTCAATAGTTTATTATTTAGAAACTAGCAATAGAAGAAAATTGGCAAGTTATACAAATTTGATCCATTATAAAGAAGAAATTCAAACTTTTTAGATTTAGAATTCATAGAAAATACTCAAAAAGTATCTATATAAATTTCATACAAAAAAAGATAAAACCTTCAAAAGAATTATATATTATAAGATATTATTAAATATTAAAAGGAAATTTACTTAGCAAAATAAGAATCAAACTAAATTAAACAATTGTCTTCAGTGTTTATCTTAAATTCAGTATCGTTAATCTTTAACAAGATGATATTTGAATATATCTACTATTTAACGATCTATATTATGTTGACATAATATAATCTTAATTTAAATAACAAATTTTGAATTAACTTCAGAAATAGCATTATCAATTTATAAACCTTTAAGAAATATCCTACTTTTTTTAGATGATTTTTCACCATTTACTCACTATTAAATTCAATGATATTCAAAAACTTAATAAAATGCAACTTTTTATTGTTATTTAATTAATTGATTCTATCAAGTGTTTGTTGAAATTATAAAAGGCAAAAGAATTATTTCCATTTATAAACAACTGATTTTCTCAGTAAAATTATAAAATCTTTAAATTCAAAAGGACTAAGGTGTAATCAACGCCATTTATTAGATTAAGCTATTCAAAGAAGTAAACTTAATAATGTAAAATAGAAATGAAATTACAAGGTATAAAGATCTCAACAGAATAATTGAGGATTTTAAATAAAGAAATAATTCCTTTCAAAATTTACCCAGAATGAAAAGCTCAAAACAGAATCTGGTATATTGTTTTATAATTTATCTGAAATTATGGTATTCAATATAAATGAATGACCCATGTCAAAACCAGTAATTTTTGATTAATAAAATTTATTTAAATATGAATAAGCCTTAAGAAACAACACTTATTAATAAAAGCCCTTATAAACTATAGCTATTGAAGTTTCGAAAACAATCTATTGCAAATTTAATCAAATATAAAGTTCAACTGGCCAAAAAAATAGCTAAGATTAAAAAGAATCCCTGACTGATTTTGTAATACGTTTTTAAAATATTTACATTATTGACTTTTTAAATAAGTCAAAATAAGCACCTTCCAATGAGTATTCACCATCTAATAAGAACAATTTAAATTCGTTTTATTCTTCAGTGTGCTCATTTATATTATTTTATTTTATATATATAAAAACATTAAGTAATCGAAATACCTCCTTAGGTGTAAACAACAGAAATGGAAAATGCTTAATTGAATTAAATTTTAGTTGAGTAAATGGTTTATCCTTTATTTTTAAGTAACATGAGCATCTCTCTTTCTAAAAGTGATGAAAACAATATTTGCTTATTTAGTCATTTTATGCGTTATGAAATAACAGAACTTCTAAGGGGTTTGATAATTTGAGACTATATCCAAGAATTTAATACTTGGCATTTTATTTCTACCTAGTATATTTTAGCATTTTTTCTTTAAATATTTTATCGATCAGTAATTGAAATACTATAAATGATTGTTAAAATGGCACTTATTTTAACAAGACTCTAAGAATATGGATAAAATACATATTATATTTTATCCACTTTAATTAAATAATAAGAATTAGAAAAAATTTACAAGAATTATTATTAATAACAAATTATTTAAAAGGGTTTTAGTTCATTAAATATAAGCTAAAATTTGAGTTTCTAATAAAATTGACTATTTTAAATAAGTAAGCGCTTTTATTCAACTGATTTTTTGAGTGATATAGAATACTATTTATTAGGATTTCAATGGTAAATTAAAGTTGCATTTTAACCGCAATGGCTCATAAACAAATGAATTGTCTTATATTTTAATGATTACTTTGTAAATATTCTAATATATGAAATTAAGTGATTAAAATTAATCAATAATAAATATAATATTTAACAGCTAGATGTTTTAATCAACTCCAAAACTCAAATCATACTCTTCATAACAATTGCTTTAAACCACATTACAGTAAAAATCGTTATAGCAACCAATATTTGGAGAGCTAAATCCTTCTACTCCCTAAAAGTTTAGTATTGTCAAGAACTTAAAGGTGCTTAACGCTCCATCATAACAAACTGAGAGTAGTTTTAGGCAAAGCAATAGTAAGCGTATCAACACTCAGGAGAGCCCATCAGTTAATAAGGAGAACATAAGCTATCGAGTGGAGACATCTCAAATAGAGATTCAACTTAGGCATGTTTTACAGGAGAACAAAAAGTTAAATGATTTAATCCAAAAATTGACCAGAGAGAAATAATAATTGTCAATTGGGGACAAGAATACTGATTTAATCCTCATTAAACAAAGAGTTGAAAGACTTGAATCAGTTATAGATTAGTAGAGTGATGAGATTGAGGAATGGAAGAAAAAATACAAGGAAGTATGTGAGCAAGACCAAAGAAGTAATTCAATAGAATAAATGGTATTTTCTATTTTAAATTAGGAATAACAAATGATATCAGTAATAGAGGAAAATGAAAAGATAAATGAGCAAAAATTAAAAATGCAATAATAAATCCGTAATATGGAAAAAGATATGTAGCAACTTAAATATCAAATTACAGATTAAAATAATCAGATAATAGCTTATGAAGAGGAAAGAATTAAACTATTAGATCAATTGAATAATAATGTTATTTCAGTAAAGCAACCCTAATAATAAATGAATAATAAGGATTACTTTTTGGAATAAATATCGTTATTAGAAAATGTAAGATATATGTATTTAGTCTATAGAACTTATCTGATTTATCATCAGCTTACAGTATCTAAGTATTAGAAAATTAAAAGTTGAGTTAAATGATCTTTGGCTTGAATGAAGAATTGCAATTTGTGAATAAATAATTAGAGGAGGTGAAGAAGAGTCATAAGATAGAACCAAATTAGAAATTCTCAGTGATGAAATCAATCTTGGGACAACTTAGAGAAGAAGTGAATGGTTGATATACTTATTTGTTATACTTGTTTAGAGAAGAGATTCTATTAGATATGTACCATTTATGTAATATATATATACGCACTTCATTATAAGGCTGGGAACTCATCTTAGTTCTAGGCCTTCTATTATTTCTTGGCTTTTGATTCCTAAAAGATATTTAAAATATGGGATACTTCTGTATGTGTCTCTTATTCTTCTTTTTTGCCCCAGTGTTCCCGGTTCAAATAATACTCCTTACGCTCTTAGATGCTCTTGATAACATTATCAAGCTCAGTGATGTAGAATGGAGTTGCCACTTTAACTGTATCGAAGAATTAGAGAGTTTACAAATCATGTTACAAGATGCTTGGTTTTTCATCTTTTTTCTCTTCTTTAGTTTCCTTTTATTATTGTGGTTGCTAAATTTAAATATAGAATATATACCTTATTCTTCTTTTTGGATTTCAATTGACTAAAGTTATAGAGATTGTCTTCAGCTTCCTTTTTAATGACAGTGCATTTCTCTTTCTTCCAATCGTCACTCTTTAAAACTTATTCAATATCTATTTATTTTTATTATTGGGCTTGTTATTAGGCAGCAGTGGGTTTAAGTTTATTCAAATAGGTGATCAATGTATCGCAAAGATCTATTAAAAAGTTTAGAAATCATAGATACCAACTTAATATTAGAATGGATTGACATTTTCTAATTCTTTAGCCTTGGCTTCTGCTTCTGCCTTTTCTTCTGCTTCTCTGTCAGCTTCTCTTTTTGCTCTGGCTTCTTCTCTTTTCTTTCTTTCTTCTTCTCTTTTCTTTCTCTCTGAATCTTTCTTGATTCTGTTGATTTGTTTTAAGAACCACTCTCTGTATCTTTACAAATCCTCAAAATCTTCATATTTATCCCAAGCATTGTTGTAGTCCTTCTTTAATTTTTCCTTTCTGTCTTTCAATTCCTAAACTTTGGTTTCAATGATTTGTTTTTCCTTGTCTATAAGAGGATTTTCTTTTGTCACAACTGAGCCCTTTGTACTGTCCTTCAACTTCTCATAATCAGACTTGTATTAGTTAATTTCTCCATTCAACTCTTGAATGCTTTAATAAAGAGCATTCATAGCCTTTCCAATAGCTGCTGATTTAGTTCTAAGAACTTTCTATTCCTTCTCCAACTTTTACAATGGTTCGATGTATGGAAGTGATCTTTCCAAAGCACCTATTTATTGTACAATTCTCTTTTCTTCATTTGCACTCAACTTATCTTATTAGAGTGATTCCTTCAATCTAGCCAATTCATCAATAATTCTGTCTGGATCATCTAAACTCTTCATCTTTTATCTGTATTCTTAAGATTAATTAAAGAGTTTGTTGATTTGATCTTTGATTTCATCATTCTCACCCTTCATTTTCTTCAATTCTGAGGATTTCTCATTGACTAATTTAATCTTTTCTCCAATCACTTATCCTAATGGCTTGACTTCGGTTTAGAACTTCTCTTGATTGCCTAGTCTAGCCAAATTTTATTGTTCCTTAACATTTTTAACAAATTCATTCTAAGATGTTAACAATAAACACTTACGAAATGATTCCATTGCTTTCTGATGTCTTCGTCGATCTTATCCAACTATTTGTAATGATCATCTTTGCTTGGCTTTTAAGGAGGATGAGCAGGCAATTCTGGTACTTTACTTTCAAGAGTGATCTTGGTCTTATCCCAATCAAATTCAGGGCGCTTTCTCTCCTCTCTTTGTTTCTTCTTTTATTGCTTCTCTCCCTATTCTCCCTTCTATTCTTAGGTCTCATTCTTTGGTTCAGTTGCAGCACCTACAATGCATCAAATCAAATTCCTTACCTTCCTCTCCCTTTACGACGTATTGAACTTGCTGTTACTTTTGTTTAGGCTCTCTCTTTCTGTTCTCTCCTCTGCTCTAGTTTGGTTTTTTCTCCTCCTTTTAGACTTCTGCCTATGGTGTTGGGTCCATGCAAATTTTTTAAAAATATAGATATTTTTTTTAATTGCCCTACACGTATTTAATTAACTCCAAATACAATTCCCATAATTTACATAATAAATATTAGACAATATAAAATTAACAACCAATTTGTTTATTTTTCAATCATTTATGAATTGACTCGCTCCCAAACCTACATTCGAATGCACAAAATTAGATATCCATAAACTATCACATAACAAATATGTTTTTTCAAATTTATTTCTTTTTCTTAACTGAACAATTAATTTAGAATTTTAAACTCATTTTTGAAAAAGAGAGCTCTAAAAAAGTAAGAATATCAATAACATTTCTTAATAGAAAATAAAACATCTTTTTTAATATCATTTTACTTATATAAATAAGACACTTAGATAATGTGCACGTGATTAATACAATTCACTTTAGAAATATACTAGATTAATATAAGTACTAAAGAATAGAATCATAAAGATAATCAATAATGGTTTTATATTTTTGTAAAATCAAAAATTACATTATTTTTATACTCTCTTCTATCTTCATTTCAATATCCTCGTTAAAATAATAAGATACCTTGAAAAGTGTCAAAGGTGGATTTATCGAAATTGAATTTCTTATTCTCAGAGGGTAAAAATTCTAATAAGCTTAAAAATAATTTTAGTTTTATTCTTTAATTTAACTAAATCATGTAAGTCGTTAACAAAAAGATTGGATAGATTGAAAGTTTGCCAGAAATTAAAAAAAGTAAGAATAAGAATTCATTTTGTTTAATGCTCATATACTCTCGATCTTATAGTTAATATTATTCTCCTTAAATACATTTTGGATAGATTTAAATAAAATATTTTGGATTTTTGATCGATTATTATACAAGATTTTATGAAAGAAAAGATTTTGTTTGTAACACTGTTAATTAATATAATTCTTTGGGACATTTATGCAATTGTTCATTTTTCGTATTTATGTTCTTGATTTAGAAATAGTACTTCTATCAATCTGTTACTCTCTAAAATAACTTTAAAATCAAAATTTATTTTAGCTTAAATAGAGAAATTTTAGTGATTATGGGATTTAACTGCAAACTATGATTCAGCACATCATTACTTAATTTAATATCTTATAATACTCCATATAGTTCTAATTATTATCGATTATTTTATATAGGTTTCAAAAATATAAAAACATTAAATTATGTCGTATTATATAGTGTCTTTTCTATTATTTAAATAGAAAAACTACATTTATGAACAATTTGATTTATAATTCAAATAGGAGGATTATTTTTCTTTATTTATATTTTTTTTTAAACATAGTGCGTCTTCTAAAAGCTGATATATTCTCTATATACTAGTTTATTGTAAGTAGACTAGATACTACTGTATTTTGTTAAGGCGAAGTTAATAAATTTTTATATTAATAATTTTATAAAATGAATTAAACACAGACTCGATAAGTACAGAAATTAACAATTGATGATAAAGTAAGTAGATCTACCTAATATTTTTAGTAAAAATTTGAGTTATAAAAGGAAATATTCATTACAATCAGATTAATTGATATGGTAGAAAAGTGTGCATAATTAGCTGATGATAAAATAACACCGGAAAAGCATTCTTAAGAAATCACAAAATTGATTGAAAGGTACAAAAATTTTACATCAAAAATCGATAAATACGATCTCAACTAATTCATAAAGGTATAAATGATGATTCTATTGATTAGGAATACGGACTCGAAGATTGCAAATTTGGAATTGATAGAATAAACAAAGGACCACCTTAAATTAAATAAGGAAACAGAATTTAATTAGTTGTTGATCTCATGCAAAGATTCTATTTGATGCAGGATATCATCTTAGAAAATAAAGACAATCCAAAAACATAAGTGTTCAAGCCAATTGTGGATTAGTTGATAATGCTTTTAATTAGAGCCAAAACTGAACTTCCTCCTTACAAGTCATACTTGGAAGATTTGCAATAATTGTAATATTAATTCATTATTGTATTTAGCTCAAAACAACATCTTGAAAATTAGATTATTGGTGTGATACCTGAAGAGGAATTTTAAAAGTTTGAAAGTATAATAGATTTGGCCTAGCAAAGTTTTATGACTTCCCATTCACAACAATGAGCTTAATTGTTTAAAAATCGATTAAATTCTATTCAGTATTAGTTAGTTTCATCATTTATTATACTTTTGTATATTGTTAATGTTAAACATATTAAATCATTCTTCCTCCTCTTAAACAACTTACTTTTTCTTTTTCTTTGGTTTTTCAACGACTTCAGGTACTTCTACTTCCTCTTCCTTTTACACTTCTGGTTATTATTGGTCTTTCAGAATGTTATTGTTTTCTTCAGAAACATAGAATTACTACCAATCTTATGGAGTATTGGCATTTGGTTTTCCATGTGGATCAAGTAACCCCTCTTTAATCAAAGCCTTCTTTCTAAGAGCTCTTGGTCCAGTACCCCATCTAAAAAGGATAAGTTAAAAAATTACTTTCTTGGATAGGTCTCTCTGTCCATGATAACTCTCTTGGATTTGCAAACGACTCCATGGTCACATGATGCAATCTCGCCTGTTGTCATTTAACTAATATATAAAACTGAATAAATTACGCAATAGCAACAGCAATGGCTTCTCCTTTGGTTGTGATCAACACAATTTCATCACCAATATCGATCTTATCATCAAATCTAAGAACTCCTGGAACCATTAGTTTTGCTCCATAACAAATAGCATTAACTGTTGAATCCTTGACGACAACTCTCTTGTAATTTGTCAATAGAACTTCCAATGGGATGATTACATGTCTTAAATAGGATTCATCCTTAAATTTTTCATATCGATATTAGGCATCCAATACATCATGCATTGTCACCATATATTTATTCTCATCCAATATACCAGATCTTACTCTTCTCAATTCTTCCATGTGACCTCCTACTCCCAATAATAATCCCAAATGAACACATAGAGTTCTCACGTATGTTCCTGCTTCACAACTCATCCAAAAGATTCCCAACCTCTTTTCAGGGTCATACTCAAACAATTTACTCTCATAAATTGTTCTAACTCTTAATTCTCTTTTCACTGCTGATATGGCAGGTGGCTTTTAAAATACAGCTCCTGTCAAATCTTAAATAGCCTTCTCCAACTTAGCTGCTGATGATATTGCATCATGTAATCTATTATATTATTCAACTTCAATTACCTTATTATTCCGACGTACTCCTTACCAGCTGATTACTATGCCTTCACAAGTCTTGTTGCTCTATTCAGACACACAATCAATGCTCCTGTAACCTTTGGATCAAGAGTCCCAGAATGACCTGTCTTATCAACTTTTAATATTCTTTTGATCCATGATACAACTTCGTGAGATGATGGATTTGATGGCTTGTCAAGATTTATCACACCGTATTTCAAATGTTCAATTAGTGGTCTCTTTAATGGAGTCTATTATATTAATAATCTATGCTTACTGATCCACTTGGAATTGGTGTATAATGTGAGGTCAATATGTTCATCCTTTCATAATTCTTCAATAACAATGGCCAATTGGAGGAATCAATTTTAGGTCCCTAATGACTAGTTCTTATCACATCCTCATCTTAAACTTATTCAACTTCTTCAACTTTCTTTGATTTTTTTACCTTAGTTGTGGCCATTGATTTCTTTTTTTAATTATATAAAAAAATTTCTAATAAAAAAGCTAATCCCTTAAATACTAATTAATTTAACAATAAAAAAGGAGAATTCAATATTACTCATAAAATAACTGTCTATTATAAATCATAATTAATAAAGTAAGTTCTCAAATCTATGTGCCAAGTGAAGCCACTATAAAATATTGGTCTGAATTGTAATATTAAATTCTGTTAATTTTATAAGTACTCATCCAATTTTTGATCACACTTATAATGTCCAAAGTATTTAATAATATTTTATACGTTTATCGCAGCAAAATATTTATATTAATTATTAATGGATTAAGACGAGAGAAAAGTGATAACAAAAACAATACTTCTTAAGAAATATCAATATTATTTAGCACTTTTGAATGAATAAATAGAATTGTAAAAGAGGTATCCGTAATACATTCTAGGAATACATGATTATCAAAATAAGGAAGATTAATTATAAATTACTTACAATTGCAGCGAAAATGCGAAATCCTTATCTAAAGTAGAGTTTAGGACAAAAGAAGAAAAAATTAGAATGTTTCATTAGCTTTTTGAGATTGCGGAGTTTTTAAAATAGAATAATATTTTACATAATAACATTAAAAAAAATAATCTAATTATTGATGATAATAAATTATATCTGACAGACTTTGGATATATTGCAGGATAATTGGGCGTAAATATGTTTAGGAATGAATTAAATTTTATATAAACTCTCAATAAAGACTAAAAAAAATAAGTTATTCCATATTTAACAAAAGAATTAGTTCAAATATTGGATAATAATGACAAGGAGTACAGAAAAGAAAAATTAAACTAGAGGGATCCTTAAGAAATAATGCGATATGATTAGCATGTATTAACATGTTTGATGGTAGAAATATTTTCTCCTTTAGACTGGGAAGTTTATGAGCTTGTTATTTTAAAATCATTTTCTTTCAAGCAGAAACTTATGGACATAAAAAAACACAATTCAGATTTCCCAAATTATGCCATTTTAATAATAGAATAAATACTACAATCTATGTTTGTTAAGGAAGATCTATCGATCTCAAAATTTCCAAAACCTTTAGAACCTATATTAAGAAAAATCAAAAAATAACGGTTGAAAAATGTTCATAATTAATAAATAGTTCAAGATTACTTATAAAATAAAGATTTCGAATTTGATTTAGGATTATTATATTGTTTTAAAATTAATGAACTTGAGCAAACAAAATCTGAGTTATAAGAATCAAACAAAGAATTTGATTGCTAATTAACAAAAGAAATATCCAGAATTTTAGAAATTCCTTAAAAGATTAAAGACTAACAATTTTTGATTGATGATTTTATAGTATTACCGTTAGATGATAAATTATTTTGCTTAGTTTATTTGGATAATTACCTTGAAGATTTTAGGCTTTCTAATGAAAGAGATCACTCTAAATAAAAAAACGAATTATTATATAACTATACTTTAAAATTATAATTAATATAATTTTATGATGAAATAAACGACAAACCAAAAGAGCAATTTAAAGTAAATCAAGCTTTTTAGAAATATTATCGTAGCCACTTATAGATTCATCCATAGACCTTCCAATAAAATCAAATTCTAAAGGAATATATAAATATTCATCTTAAAGTTGTTTTAACGTAATTTGATATTGATGAAGATGAAAGAATAAATAAGGATACAATTGTTGTTAAGTAAAGAGGGAAAAATGATGAAAAAATTATATATATTAATATAGTTAATGAAGGTAAGATCAAAGAAATGATTGTTCATGAGGTTCATGATAATCATATTGTAGAAAAGAGCAAGCATCTAAAAGTTTTGAAATTCAATCGACATATAGTATTTAGAGTAATAAAACAATTTTAAATTCGTTAATCTCAGGTAGAATTAATAGATTATAGCAAAAAAATAAAATATAAAGGAGAATATAATTTCAACGAAGATAGTCGAGATATTATTTTTGAAGGGTAAGGCATTAGAGAAATCCTAGAATAAGACAAATAATTTCTTTAAATAGGAGATGTTTATAAAGTAGAGGGAACTTTTCATAATAATGTTTTGGAAGGAGATTAAATTACAACTTTTTATTATCATTTTGATAACAATAAAAGAACTTTCAGTTAAGGTAAGTATAAGAATGGGTAATTAAGTGGGAAACATGAACATTTCTTAGTAAACTAAATTAACAAAAGCGTCAAAACTAATTATCATTGTTCTAGCTGTTTCTGTTCTCCCTTAATATCCTGTTATTCTTGGTGCGCGTGGTGCCCTTGTTTTTTTAGCTATTATTTGCAAATAAGTTGATAGTTTAATATAAGGACTGAATTAAATAATAAAATTATAATAAAATCATTATGTCTTAAGAGTAAATAATAGACAACAAAGGTAATATAAAAATCACTAAAAAATTGGTATTTTGTGAAGATGAAAAAGGTTGAGAATTATTTATTGAGTGATTGTCATATTTGAGAATGAGTCATTCAGATCTTCAGTAAAATCTTCATCATCTTCTTCGTAAATGTTGTTAAACTGCAAATTAGGTAATTGTATTTCCTAATCGATGGTTTGCTGTTTCAGTTTAGCACTTTGATTTTGGGTACCAATAATTTAAATAATTTTTTATTAAATTTGATTAATGAAATTCCAGATGAATAAATTTCTTAATTATTCATCATTAGAATAATAGAGTTTTTAGAATTGCTGGTTGTTGATCTTCAATAATTAGATCATGATAAGACTTGAATTGACTTAATGAAACTTGGTTCCAAAAATACTCATTAAATGATATGGTTTTTCAAATAGAGATTTCATTTCTTCTGTCAATTCTGTGAAGGTGTATTGAATAAACTGTTTGATTTTGTTCCAGATAGATGATTTATCTGGAGTGTCTTTGATGACAGTGTAATTGCATAGCCATAATTGATTTGGTAAGGCTTTAAAAGTATTTGGAGTGAATGGTATTTTTTCGTTGTTTATAAAACAATAAATTGCATCTATTATTAATCTATCGCAACCAATAATTTAGATTTGATCTGTGATGCTAACGATTTCTACCATGTCGGCATACACAGGCAACTTGTCAGTAAAGGGAACCACAGGGAATTTCCCTGATCCATGAGAAGCTAGTTTTATGAGCTATTTATATCTATCCTCGACAATTCTGAGGGAGAAATTCCGTTTGTAGCAAATTTGCTTATCAAATAGGAATATGGGCATGGAATGTCCTTGTTAATCTTGTAGGACGAATTTCTCGTCGGTTTCGCAGTACCATTGTAAAAATTGATTAAAAAGAAGATTGATGTTGGGGTCTGTGATCATGCATTATTGGAGACAAACGGGACAGTATTGGTCGATCAAGTCGTTTTGGAAACATTGAAAGCAAAAGAGGTGTTGGCAGGGCAATACGACAGGATTAATGGGAGTAAGGCCACAATCCAAACATAAAACTATTTATGGAAATTCTGTTTGGAGAACTAAATTTCGGATAGGTGTATGAAAGTTACCTTCGGGTCCTTGTTCGAAGAGTATCAACAGAACTTCTTTTAGCATTTCGTTGACTGGCCATTCAGGTAATGTGGGTTTTCTACAGAGGGGACAGGAGTGATTTAGTTTCAAATGATGATTGATGCACTTTTCGCAAAAGGTGTGTCCACAAGACAAGCAGGTTGGGTCGCTTAAATGATTCAAACAAATAGTACAATTGAATTGAATTTTTTACATATTAACTTTATAAACAAGAATTTAAGATTAATATTTTGAGGATGATTATATTGGAATATTTTAAATTCCTAAGTGTTCTTGGTGTTCTGAAACAATTTTAATGGTCACCTGAATTTTAACAACTAGCATTATTATTTATTTATATTACTTAGTTATAGAGTGTGATAATTAATGTTTTTTTATTCTTAAATTAAATCTAAAGATATCTTATTTATCGAATAGTCAAATCACATTAAACTGAAATTTGCAAGATTAAAGCAAGAATGTTAAAAAAATAAATATATTATAAAATAATGATTTGCTGCTCATCATCAAAGAAGAAAGATGAAAACAAAAAACCAATTGAGATATTGGAACAAATTGCACCTGAGAATCAATAGGGAGATAAGTAAACTAATCAGTTATAAACTTGAACCTAGATCCTGTAGAACCAACCAATAGCAAGAGGTAGAGTTAGAAATGGAGGAACGACCTAAGAAAAATTCAGTGGGGTATCAAGTGTAAGATGAAAATGTCTCAGCATCAATATGTCCCTCCTTTGTGGTTGGCAAAACTCCTTTCACTCTTTTCGTTATGAGTCTTCTCGAGAAATAGCAAACCATGAAAAAGGAGTCTCAATAACAAGAGGAAATGAAGATCGACTTTTAGGAAGATTTGAGTGTGATTGTCAGTTATCCCCAAATAGAGGCTGAAGTTAAGAATAACGAAAAAGACAAATCATAACTTGCAGACATTCCTGATCAGCCTGAAGTAATCTAGGAGGAGGATGAGGAAGAAGATGATCGGGAGATGTCAGAGGAGGAGGCCAAGAATGCAGCCATCTACAAATGGGCCAAAGAAATACATGATTATAATACAGACAATACTGAAGAATTGATTTCGCAGGCTGTCTCTAATTTTAAACCACTTCAATCAAAGGAGGAATCGAGGTCCACCTTAGCACATAAGGATGGAGGTAAAGTCTGCAAAAATAAAAAATTAATTAGAACCTTGAGAGCCATTGGCAAAGAGTTGATCAAATAAATTGGTAAACAAATTTTATCTGGTAATTTAAATTTAACAACTGTGTCATTCCCTATCAAGGCCATGATACCCAAATCAGCACTTGAGAAGGTCTTGATGTCCAGTTGTCTCTTCCCACTCTACATCAACAGAGCTGTTCTGGAGAAAGATCCCATCGAAAGAGTAAAGTATCACCCCTATTATTAGATGAAGCTAATTATTTGTGCCACCTTAGGTAATTTCTATTTGAATTGCTCCTTTCTCAAACCCCTAAATCCCATCCTTGGAGAAACCATCTCTGGTCTCTATCAAGATGGCACTACTGCATATGCTGAACAGATCTCACACCACCCTCCCATTAGTTACTTTTTAACCATAGGTCCAAAAAATAGTTATAAATTTTATGGTTATTATAATTACGAAGCCAAAGCAGGAGTCAATTCACTCTCCTTGAGAAACAAAGGCAAAAGGTTTCTGCAATTTGCTGATGGAGAGCTAATTGAATACAACTTCGCAGGAGAAGAATATAGTGGTAGTTTCTGGGGTCCCATGAAAGTCGAATGTAAAGGCAAGATTACATTTTTGGATAAAAAGAACGACATTTCAGCCTGTGTTGAATTGGATAGTGTAATGTGGAAGGCATCAGATTACTTGTCTGGAGAGATCAAACAGAAAGGCAAAAAAGTCTGTAAAATCTACGGATCCTATATGGGCTACATAGAATTCGGAGAAGTCCGGTATTGGGATGTCAATTACATACGTCCATACGAATGCAAAGTCTTTAAACCCAATCCATTTCTTTTGAGTGATGCTTCATTCAGACCAGGTATGTAATAGTTATATCGATGTAGATTTAAGATAACTTAAACGCAACAAGGTACAAGAGGCTCAGAAAGAGAAGGATGATCTGGAAATGCAATAGAGATAAGATGCTAAACTCAGAAAACCCAAAAAATGATTTTCACTGAATTATTGTTATTCATATTTATGCAAACAGTTTCTTAAATTTTGTATTTATTTTACAAATGTAACTAAACTAATAATTTATTCAATTTTTAATTAAACTACAATACAGAATTTGTATCAAAAATAACCTTCTATATATTATATGGATTAAGGTAGTCAATGATCGTAAACAAATTTGAATTAATCTAAAATTAACAAGAGGATTCCAAAATATTTCTGCTCGTTAATAAGCACAAATTAATATTAATTTAATTGCTTTATTATATATAATTGTGGTTGTGTATATTCATTCATCAATTTTAAGTACAAACCCCAAAATATCTCGAATTCCTACCTAGCTTTGATCGACTGGTTTATGGGAAGTGGCATAATTCCATAGTGATTTATCGTCTATAATGTATCCTTCTCCAGGTTCGAGACTCATTTCAAATAGTAGCTTAGTTTTGTCGGGACTATAAATTTGGCTATCAGCTCCTTGACAATTGATCTTATTAACTACTCCTATGATTTCCAAGTCATTTCCATCTCTATTGGGTCCTTCTGGAGTACACTGAGCAGGTTAGTCGGCATACGATATCTAATGTTATTATATACAGAAACATACTGTTCTGACTGCATGCACAGAGATTTGAGCCTTTTTGTATTATTTTAATTGCCAAGTAATTTGAAGAGTATTATAAAGGAAATCTTTGTAGGTCTGATCATGCTTCATCTCTTTTGTTAGTTCTTCATAGACATTCGCATATTGGAGACATTTGGTTTCATCGTAATTGTCTAGACGATACTCTTCGTGGAACCTAGTCATATTGCCATCCTTATCGAACTCAATTTGATAATTCATCATTCTTCTTTATCTCATGATTTTATCAGATGGCAATTTGAGTCTCTTTTGTAAATAGAGATCAGGCACTAGAGTTTCGAAGTGAGGTTTGAGCAATTGGAAGTCTGATTTGACATCTCTGTTGGTGAATGAAGCGAATGGGAATTTGGTTGATTTGAGTGCCTATAAAACTTTCATAAATAAATTAAAGAATAGTCAAAAATAAAACTTATTTATCTTCAATTTTTGAAATGAGTCTAAATATATTTCTCTATATGTAAATGTGTCTCAAATTAATAAATCATAACTAATTCAAATTTTATAAGGTGCCAAACTTGATCTTCTGACCTCTTCCACTTCCTGCTCCTTGTCATGCAACCTCATGCGCAGACTCTCAACTTCACTAGCCAACACTACAATAATCGATAATTGATCTTAAAGCCTTTTTATTATAGAACCCTCGTCTGCATATTACATTCTCCATTGTCTCAATTCATCGTCTTACACCTTAATTTCATCATTTAGTCTATCGATCTCAGCAGAGAGCACTCGACACTAAATATTTCAATAAACTCAATTACATTTTCTTAGAATTTCTTTAACTATTCTACTTGGTCCTCCAACTAGATAATTTGTTATTGCAATTTAGTGAGCAATCTCCTAAGATTTTCAACTTCCTATGATTTGTCTTCTATTGTATTTCGATATTACACAACTGTGCTTTGGAATTCTTCAATTCTTGCATAATACTGTAAGATAATACTTTGTAGTTTGAGTAATTGTAATTTATTCCTTCTACTTGATCAACTAATTCAATTTGTCCACTTCAAGCAGAAGATTCTGATACCTGCCTTCCAATTCAGATTTCTTCTTTTGAACGTCCTGCAAATCAGTTAAGAGTTGATTCACTTTGCTCTTTTCAGTAAGAAACTCTATTATGAATTTAGTAAATACAATTATTCGCATTTTCTACTTAGGTCTTCACTTAATTCAATTATTCTTATCTTTATTTCAATTAGCCCTCCAAGGCAAGTATGGTATCATTCAATTACTGATTCTCCTATTGGATTCGTTTATAATCATCGTTCATCAACTATAATTTGAGATACTTTTATTTCCAACTCTCTGTTTCTTCTGACTTTGATACTAATAACTTATTCACTCTCTCTGTCTCATTTTTGTAGGATAGCAATTGATTCTCTAATTCCCTTTACTTATTTATTTCCTTCTGGAGGATAACATTCTTCAGATCATCATTCTCCTTCTATTTTTAGTTGCATAAATCCTTCCACTTTTTCAATTCTCCCTCTAGGAATTCTCTCTAATATGAAGAATTGAGTTCCTGAGTTTGCAGTGCCTTTTCCTATGAGATATAAATATTATTGGATTACAATTTCAGTTTTCATTTCAGATTCCAATTGATTCCTCAGAACTTGCATTTCATCCAATTTAATAGTCTCAAATTCCCTTAATTGTAAGGTGAGATTATCAATTTGATTAGAGAGGTTGACAACTCTACTCTCATAATAATTGGTCTAAAGTTCCTTTTGCTCTTGAATTTCCTCCTACAACGTGGTGATTTGGATGATGAGTTCAGATTTCTCAATTTTGTGAGTCTCTACGACGTTGATCATCTCATTCAATTTATTAGTCAGATCTATTATTTATTATTCCAAATGATGTCTATCCTAGGTATTATCTTGCATCTCTTTAATTCTGAAACGCAATTTTTCATTTTCTGATCCCAATCTCTCGATTTCGCAAGCCATTAAAAATTGACAGATCTGTGGACTCAATTTTTACTACCTACTCTCAGGAGTGGATCTGATATTATCAATCGAAGTTTCATGTATTTGATATCTAGTTTCACGTGTTTACGGAGTGTTAGAACGCACAGTCTTAGTTTCAGAGGTGTACTTATATTCTTAAATGTTCTAAATGCGTTGTTGCTAGTAAGACATAAATTAATTAATAAAAAAATACCAAATGAAATTGAACAAATGAAGATAATTTAACTGATTTTTTACATTAGATTTTGTGATATGTAATAATTTCAGATGATATAACTAAAATACATAATATATTAGTATGTTGTTTATATATTCATTACTATTTCTTTATCCTCTATCTAGACTGATTAAGCTTCTGTTTAAGTTTCGCAAAAACTCTTACAGTAGCTCTTATAGTGACTTTGGAGAGTGCCTTACTTATTTCATTTTCAGAAATGAAGAAATTCTCATCTGAAAACTCTTGTTCAATCAATGGTTCTTCCCCATTCATTGTAATAAATGGATGATCCTAAATAGATAACTAAATGTACCATAAGTTACTCAAGTGTGTGACGCTACCTTGCATCCTTCTTGAGACAACAACTCAGGAAATCAGCCAAATCGGGATCAGTGTCTTTCGAGAATCTAATTTCATTATTAGAAACAGCCTCTTTGAGTTATTACACATTTTTGGCTGGGAAAGGATGTTCTCCCTAAGTGAGAAGAAAGAATGTGATACCAGCAGCCCAGATATCTGCTGGTTTCCCCTTAACTTAGGAAGTCTTGAATGCTTCTGGAGGCAAGAAGGCTTTGGTTCCAACATCTCCTTGGATCAAATCAGCAGATGAACTGTCATACATCTAGGCAACACCAAAATCTGCAATCTTTAAGTTATCAAACTCATCAATCAACAAATTATCTGGCTTAATATCTCTATGTACAATTCTGGCAAAGTTGTGCACTTAATGGATAATTGAATATTAATACAATAGTCTAATCCAAGTAGGAAATGTCTCAGATACTTCCTTATCTTTTCGCAAGTGATTTTCGGTGGTTTTTCTCCTTCATCCCAATCAATATTCACCCCTTCAGATTTCCAATACTGTTTTGAATTGATCGATCCCTTCTTCACGTGTTCCATTATCAGGTATAACTTCCTCTCTTCTGGATCATCTATTACCTCTACTAATCTAACTACATTTTAATGATCCACTTTCTTCAATATTGCCACTTCCTATTCTAATAATGAATATGCTGAAGTCTCTTTTGTTAGTAACTTCCGTTTCAATTTGTTTTTATCAGCTATCTTCATTGCGTAATATGATTAATCTATTTCATTGTAAACTAAACGCACCTTTCCAAAAGCCCCTCTTCCCAATTCATGCAAGATTACAAAGTTATTCATTTTCTTCCTCCCTGCTTCATCCCGAGATCTCTCCAAGATCTAAGTTTCCTTTGGTTGATGTATCCCACTTAATCCTCTCATTAATCTTATAGACCTCCTCTGCTCTGCTGCATTTATTACATTCCTAAATGGATCACCTACTGAAAACGATTGCAATCTCCTTGGTCCCTTGCCCATTGGAACACTTAGAGTGTTTGGTATTATTGCCATCTAAGCTTCGTCTTAACATTATGATTGCGATCGCATGATTCTTGGATTATCCACATTCTCAATCCTTAAGAAATGTTCATCCAAGTCTAATTTAGAAGCATTGGATCCACCCACAATGAAACTTTCAATTTCATTTGGTGATTCTAATATTGATGTCTATGAATTTAAATGCTGTAATCTAGGAGATACAAGAGACATCCTCTTTGGAATCGTAATCTATTGGTTTTATGATCGACGTAATACCTATAGAGCATTGGTACTCTCATCTGATACACTTTTTTATTGTATATGATTGGCGGCACAAATCGGAGACAGAATCGAACTCCTGCCTTGACTGTCATAAAATTTAAGTAGTTTCTGACGAGTACAAGGTGTATTGTCATCTTCCCTCTTTTTTTTGAAGAGACTGATCAGATTAGTTTTTGGATTCTAAAGCAAATATTTTCGAATATCCTCCTTAGATTTTTATTTCAATATCGGAGGAGTTTTTGGAACCTACTCAATTTGTTATTCTAATCGTTTCTTTCTTAGAACCTCTAAGAGATTCAATTTATTGTTATTCATAAATTATATTAATTATCAATTATTATTATACTATCACCATTCTTTGCAATTTCAATTATTAAGATTCTTGTAATTATGTTCTCTATTTATTCTTTTTTTTTTAATTTAAGCAGATAAATTAAACTGTGCATTCTCTCACACAATCATTGAACTATGATGACTATATTTCATCCAACTTTTGAAATTAAAGTACAAATGATGCTATTCCTTCTTCAATATTAACGCAATTCAAATTATTACTCAAATAAAATTAGTAAGGCTCTAATTCAATTCTACTTAACTCGAGAATAAATCAAATTTAATAATATCACCTATGATGTGGGTGCTCTTGAACCATTTCATTAAAGAATTTCGTCGTTTTAGTCTTAAAAATCTATTTAATATAATTTTTTTAAAGTACTAGTTTTTACTCATATATTAAAAATTTTAATTACAAAAAAACAATTAAGATATCTTGATAATAAATAAAAATATCTTACTGAAACCCATATTAATGATTAAATTAACTTTCGCCCATTAGCCATTCTAAATTTGGGCTCTCAAATATCTACTTATTTATTTTTGTCAAGCTGCGGCTGTTGGTATGGCAATCTTAAGGGAATGCAAGTCGGAAGGGGCGTTAAGGATTAGGGAGGAAGTTGAAAGGGGAGTGGGAAATCAATTGCACGGGGAGCAGGCGTTTGGAGATCGAGCATTTGACCACTTTAATTGGTAAGATGTATTGTGGGTTTGAGATTTTATAATACAAGTTTTTATTCAAACATCTTATTTCTAAATTGATAAAAATTTGATAGGAATTATTATTTATTTATCAGATGAAGAACTTACTGCATTATTATGATGAATTCAAAAGGCATACATATCAAGTGCAAATAATTGATTTACAATTTATAGCTCCATTTCAAGAATGGCGAAGTTATAAAACTCGATGGTTATTCCACCTACTGCAATCGCATTGATAGGAGCTCATCGATTATATCGATTTTAATATTTGCACCCCTTCGAGTTGTTAGGAACAACATATTGTATTACGGTTTAAGTATTCTGTCTTTGATTTTGTTGGCATCCATATGGTCTATGTAATTAGAATTATGATATTGTAGAGATTATCCGCAATATGAATTTTATTTCATTTTCTCATTTTAACTGCTTGCCCATGTCGGTGTAGAGCTGTATAATAAATTCAAAATTAATGGGTTAGACAAAAAATTAAACAATCAAGAAAATAAAATACTGAAATAATGGGACGAATGTATTAGCAATAAAGAAATATTAAAAAGAATCAAGTAGAAGGCAGCCACAAAACATAAAATAGATGATGTAAAAGAAAGAGATCGAAAAATCTCTTTTAAAAATTGTGACAATTTGCAACGCCAACCAAGCCAAAGGAGTAGATCATCAGGATGTATCGTACTTGTTCTTATTTAGTGCAATCACAACTTTCTCGATTATCATTGAATCAAGGCAGAGCCAAGAGTCCATCAAATCAACACATAGATCGCCTCGAAAAGATAGGCTCCAGATTCTCAGCAATGAGTCCCCTGATCCTTCAAGATATGCAAATAAAAAACCAATCCAAAATCAAATTGGTATAGGACCCAGCAATCAGCAATTTTATGCAATAAATGCCAAGCATGTTCGGCAAAATCAATTCAAAAATCAAAAGACCCCAAGAAAACAAAGGTGCCAAAAACACTGACAAAATGGATCTGATCAAATCAATCAACTCTTCAGAAATCCAAATTGGAGACGTAATTATTGTAGAAAGAAATCAAATTGCCTCTTGCGACATCCTCGTTTTATATTGCAATGACGAAATTTATACTGTCTAAAACCAACTCTGCGGCTACTCAGACAAGACTATAAGAAAGCCATTAATTTTAAACAAATGTAATTCTTACTTTTGATTGCTAGTTGATTCACATAATTTAGTTCTATTCAAAAAGTCCTTTACTGGAACGATACATTTAACTGAAACCTCAAACAGTATGTAGGGGTACTTGTAATTAAAAAAAGACCCATAATCCTACATAGTGCAAGACGATAATTTCATATTCGCATAAGAGAAATTGCTCAATACACCATGGGTAATTGGAGTGGTAGTTAAGGTTGGGTTAAAGTGTCGCTGTTATAGGCACTTTCAAATCAAACCTTAAGTGCCCAACTACCCTTAAGATCTATTGCTCACTCTTGTATTTATCTAATTTGCACTCCTAATTGTAAGAATTATAGTTTAAGAATTTAGATAATGTACATCATAATCTCCCAGATCGACAACGTGAATTATAATCTGGATCTGATGCAACTAATTATTGAAAGTCTTATGCATTTAACATTTCTCCTTCCCAACAGTTTCGCCTTCTATTATTCCATTGCCGCTCTCTATCAATAATAAATGATCCAGAAAATCAACCACTTGGATATCAAATAAATAAAGGACTTTCATCCAGAGCAATATTACAATATAAAGAGAATATCCATGAATTTGGATAGTCTTCTTGATGGTAGTTTTGAGATCAAAAATCTCGTATACAAGAATCAAATCTGCTACTGTAAAGAGTCGGAATTGATGCTTTAAGCTTTGGAGGTGGCTTCATCCGTCAATAGTCAAAATCTATTTAAGACTGCTTACTCAAAGGAGGACTCAAAGCCAGAAATATAGCTCTCCAAGAATATACAAAATAATACTTATAATGCTGGGAAATATTAGGAGGATGAAATAATCAGTGTAGGTGAAGACGAGGATGACATCGGAGCAAATATGCCTCAATCCATTGAATTTAGATTAATCAGCAATTTTACTAACCTAACTCAATAGGATGTGAATATTGTGGTTCAACCACTGAATGCCTCTGAGAGAAGCGAATTCCAACCAAAATCAACAAATAGAATTCACCAATCCATTCATATCAGGAGTCTTAGATAAATTGCTATGAAGGATAGTAGAATAGATAGAAAGTCAATAAATTTAAATGAGATGATTAAATCCATCAACACCAACAATGAAAATCTGGCGTTGCTTCAACTAAGTTTGAATCAAGTTTCTTATACAAAGTTAATATCCACAGTGACAGGGGAGGAAAAGCTTAAGAATACTCACGTTAATATTTTAGACGAGAAGTAAATTTAAATTGCAAAATCCTTTGGGGTTGAATTAGTTTGTGTAAACAAAGTTTAGTAATTAATTAATTTAATTTAGAAACACACTCTCGTACATAATTAAATAGAATCTGTAATTGTATTCTTTCAAGTTGATTGATATGTAGATGCATCGTCATCATCAGAGATTATACATGTTATTTGAATTGGACCCTGAATACGAAAAACTACTGAATGCTCCTTACATCTTATTCATCAGGGAATCCAACAATAAAGTGCCAGAAATGATTGATGATTTGAAGACTGGATTAAGATCATCACTCCCTATTATACCAAATCATGACAATGAATAAATACACTAAATCCATTACTTCTATTGCTTACTCAATCATTAAGATGCCGAGGCCTATGTTAGTTAATAGGCATCAACCCAGTAAAACACACTTGAGACAGAGGACATCATTTATAATTCATTAGATTCATTATAACTCAATATCGTTTTGGGATTCAAATATAATTTAAAACCATAAGCCTCTGACTTTATCAAGAATGTTGAAAAATCTTAATAACAATTATTGTTATATACTGAATAATACTTTGCATTTGCTAATTCGATACTTTCTTAAACTGATATACAACATCATAATAAATTCGTGTTTGAGTAAGACAATGAGGAAGACCTTAGAGCTTATTTTAAGAAATCCTTACAATAGTTTTCATAGATCTTTTAAGAGTAGTAACCTATGTTTGGTTCATAGATGCATTCTCTCAAGCAATTATCGAATGTTAATCCTTCAATGCTCTCAAATAAGAAAACCTCCGAAGATTTTCATAATACTTCTTCTATTGTTGTGATTCTGAGCAGCTAGGCCTTCAAGATTATTGAGAATAATAGTTATATGATCAATCACCTTAAACTTCTACTTAGTTTCTCTAAGGTAACACTTCTATATGATGCTAATCCCTCGTCATTAGAACATCTTTAACAGTGCTTTGATGGTCCTAATATGACTCTGAATCTGATATTTGAGAATCAAGGCTTGCTGAAGAGTTACTAGGGATATCATCTTTAAGTTGCCTTGTTATAAGAGTTTAGTTACTTCTAGCAATTCAAATATGATAACGTTAACAAGTAGACCTTCTTTAAAAAAATGATACAATCATTGAAAGTGAGACTAGTCTACGAAGGATGTAAATATTATAATATTAACATTTAAGGTTTATTTAATGAATTATTAATATTCCACAATTCAGATGCGATACTGTCAGGATTTAATGAATTGAATGAATTTCTGTTCTATTATGTGCCCTTGTTGAATGTGCTATCGAAATATTAGATTAGAGTTGCTTTTGAAAGAACTTTGTTCTTCTCTTGTTTTGCTGTAACATTTTATATAGTGAATGTTATCCAATTTAATCAACCATTCAATATCATTCTGGAATTCATATTTTACTCTTTCTTCTACACTTTGGTCATCTACATTTTAGCAACAATTGAGTTCATTACAATTTACAAGAATCACAAAACAGATGTCCACCAATTGAGGGTTATAGAGAGTTACATAAACATGTCAAAGAAATAACGCTATTACTTCTACTTTGGAATCAAATGTAGATGCTTTATATCTATTATTAGCCATCCTCCAAGGACTCTTGACTTAATTGATATTTTCCTATCAATAGAAACTCCAGACTGTCGATGTAGTAATAGTGTACACATTTGTATCAATTACTGTAAATGATGCCATTAATACGATGATCAATATGGGACTAATTGTGATGTCGAGTATCGCATATGTTTTATGCTTTTCCTTTTACATTTTGATTCACTTTACAATCATGGCTCCCAACTCCTAATTCACATTTGAAATAACAAATCTCTTTGAAATCCTATTAACCATATTCATGTTGCAAATCTCTGAGTCATGGTTGTAGTACTTCGCTATGTTATAGGTGCCTGACATGGACGGGAGGTTTTAGAGAATCTACAACTAGTTCAATCTCTACAAAAGTGAAAGCTACTATAGACATCACTTCCTTCTATTATTACAAAGGGAAATCAATAGGGTATTTGAAAATTTCGAACAAGTCGATCTGAACATTTAAAAATGTATGAGTATGTTCCATTCGTATCATAGTATTACTAAATAGGAAGACCTTGCCATAGTCGTTGGGAACATGGCAATCGCAGGTGTTTTAGAAGGCCTAATCGATTATGAAATGGAGAAAGAAATCAACTATTTAAGGCTTACAATTAATTTGTTTTCATTGCTAGATGCTAATAATAATTTACTCTCAATCAGGTGACACTTATTATTTCCTCATAATTTACATCGTTTACCTCATCATTTAAGTGTTGTTGTTTTGGTTCTAATTGATATATAAATTAAACTCTAGACAATTGCAATACTTGGAAGTCCTCAAGTTTATGATTTGTGGAGCTGCCACTCTCATAACAATAATGGGCTTATCGATCACCAATATGAATTCCATATATCATCCTTTTACTGAATTGCTGGTGACCTTCTAATTATCAAGCAAATTGCACCCCATTTATGACAATCGATTATACCTGATCCCCACTGTGGTCGTATTGATTGCCTATTTCATAATGTAGCTATTACAGATATACAATTAGATTAATTGTTAAAATAGAGATAGCTCCCTACTTCATAATCATTAAGATTGTCCTGATCCTGTTGTTCTCTGTCCAGCAGTACGTCATTAAGAGTTATGTAAGAAGTGTTTCATTATTTCAGTTCATTTTGTTGGAGGAAGATCAAGCCACCAATTAGATCAACTTTATTGAAGAGAACAACAAAATTCACGATATCTTGGGCATACTCCTGCCCAAGTTTATTAGACATCGTCTGAATGAGAGTAAGACTTCGTCATTAACATATGTTATAGCTGATGAGTACAATATCCATTAGAATCAAGGGGAGGTGGCCATTGTTTTTTGTGACATATGCAATTTTGATCAAGTAATAATGGAAGAATAGGAGAACATCGTACAATTCTTAGATGATTTATTCAGAACCTTCGACAAATATTGCGAATTTTGCGGAGTTTAGAAAATAGAAACTGTGGGTAAGACCTACATGGCTTCAGCCGGTCTCAAGGCATGCGAACAAGAGTTGGTCTACTTGTCTGAAATTCAACCAGTTCAAAGAGCCTTGAATCTGGCTGAAATGATGATGATTTATATTAGATCCAAACTGTAAGTTTATTCTATAACCATTAGATGGGGTATTAATAGTCAGCCATTGGTCGGTAAAATCGGGATACATTATGGAAGAGCAATATCTGGAGTAATTGGATTTCATAAGCCTTAATTTTCGTTGATTGGAGACACTATCAATACCACAAGTAGAGTGTGTTCAACTGGATAAGAAGATAAAATTACTTTATCAGAGAAGGCCTTCGAATAGTTAAATAATGATAAGATAGAGTTTGAGGTCCGATATGTCGAGATGAAGGGTTTGGGTTTGAGACCGACATATGTGTATCTCTAAAAACTAAATATCAAGAATAGTATTTCAAAAGGTGATGTCAGTAATAATTCTAGCAAATAAAATACAATTAATATCACAAACAGAGTGAAAAGTTAATCCTTTTAAAGAAATGGTCTGAAAAAAAGAACTGTTGCTCTATAGGATCACTTAACGTAACGTTCAAGACCTATTTTGTAATTTTAATTATCATGGAATTTCTAATAATAATAGCAATAATAATCACAATTATGGCAGAATTCACAATCATTAACAGATGAACAAATCAATGTTAAAGGATTACAAAAGTAACTCTCAAATTGTAATTTAAATCAAGTCACCAATTTAAATATTGTGGAAAATGAAAATGAAGATAAAATTAGCTTGATTCAAAATGCCTCTAAAACAGGCCAATTGCAAAACCTAGAGAATATGATGTAACGTAAATTACACTTTGAAAAGTATCAACCAGAAGTAGATCATTATATTGATTACGATCAACTACTTGTAATTATTATTATAATCATTGTTTTAGAATGTAATTTTATTGAAAAATGAAACTGGAGTTGAAGAAACCACTATTTTGGAGAGTTCTTTTAAGGAATTACTCCAAAAATCCTATTATTAAAATCAGAACAATTATTTAGAGTATCATGATTATATATATCAGCAATCGTAGACTCTTACTAATAAAATAATACAAATATATTCCTTGTATTATTTGATCAAATAGTTTTGCTTGATTGGGGATTATCATGTGATATCAGTCCCCTTGATTATACTATAGTGGATAGGATGTGCCCTAAATTTAATATCTCTGATGATATATAGGAAGAAGGTTATATCTTATTGGATAATGCTAATCTATTTGGAATTGAGTTTTTAACTAATTATTGGAGGACTCTTTATTATCTTTGATGTGAATAGCTTCTTAAGTTACTTACATATTATTGAGATGATTTTTATACAATCTTTCTTTAGTAATATTCAATTACTCCACTTTTGGATTAAAATATTATTTTGCATACTTAGTTTCATATTTGAAGCACTCATTTTAATCTTTGTTGATGAATACAGGATTTCTCTATTTTTCGTCTTTGCTGCAGTAATCTACAATATCAATTACTCCTACTTTTTGGAAGAACAGCAAGTGGCTTGTTTTAATTAAAAAAATATATTTTAGAGTCAACAAGCCAAAGAATCGCAACTGTTATAATATTTGCTTCCAAGACATGTAAGTATTTGATAAATTTAGATTTTATAAACATTCTTTGATGACAATACTAGAGCTAGATGTTTGAGTGACAAAATTGAAGATGTCACCATATTATTCGCTGACATCGCTGGATTCACTGAATACTCTAGTAAAGTGACTGCTGAGTAGGTGTTATTGATGCTGAAAAATCTATTTGTTGAATTCGATAGGAAGTGTTATGAATTAAATGTTTACAAACTGTATACCATAGGGGATTGCTATGTTGCCATTGGAATGATAGATTTCAACGATAGGAATCCTACTGAAGAGGCCAAGAACATTGTGGATTTGGCATTTGAAATGATTAGAATAATTGAAATAGTTAGGAAATAAATAGATTTTGATGGGTTGGATATGAGGATAGGCATTCACACAGGCTGTGTTTTTGGAGGAGTGATGGGGACTGACATTGTGAGATATGACATTTATGGTCCAGATGTCCTCATTGCCAACAAAATGGAATCGAATGGGAAAAAAGGCCAAGTGCATGTGAGTGCTGCAACAAAAAAATTGTTATAGCAGGATTACGAAGACAAGTACTCTTTCACTTTCCACACAAAAGTCACCTTGTCTTCAATCAATAGAAGTATTGAAGGCTTCATCATAGAAAGTTTGATTGAAGATCAATACCCCTCTGATTAGATCATTGATCATTAGATCGAACCGTTGCATTCAGAACATTGATTGTTATTATTTTTTCATTGTTGTATAAATGTATCATTTCTTAATTTACTTTACGATTTTAACTTCCTCTACCAAAAATGCTCTGATGATTCTATTTTTAAGAGCTCCAGCACTCAATACTCCACCATATGGTCTTGAAACTGTCCTCTATCTTCTTGCGAGTTGCTTTAGTTTTGTGGGTCTGATTCTCTTTAATCCATTTAAAACAACACTCAAATTAGAATCTGCACATGTGGATGCAGATGTCTTCTTATTTGGATATTAAACAACAACGTTGCCACCTTCAATTAATTCACTCTTTACCTGGGGTCTTCACTTTTCTGATCTTATTTGATCTTGTATTGTAGCTTGTTCTTCTTCTGTAAGTCACTCTCACGCCCATTTATTAAAAATCTTTATTTTAAATTTTTTAATTTCCATATAAACATACCGAATCAACTTTTCAAATAAATAAATACAAACTAAAAATCACTCAGCTCCACATATTCCCCAGATCCTTGTATGATTTCGACTTCATTTTCTCCAACTTTATAGAACTCATCTAATATTATTGTTCTGTCTAACGCAATCTATGCATTAATTGCGTTTCCTATTGTTCCAATTGCTGCAGTCTTTCCTACGCTTGCATATTTAATAAGTAAGCATCCTCAACCTTTCTTTTGTAATTCGTTTTCGCTATTATTTGTTTGGTTTACCAAAACAATTACAACTTTTCCTATTGCTACTGTTCCATCACCTTCACTCTTCTGTAGGCCTTGACATTATCCGATCTCAACTCAGTCATCGTCTGATACAACCCAAATTGGATTGACTCCTTCAATTGCTTATTCTCCTCGACCTTTATTTGCAATCTTAATAGTATAACAATTTACATTTAGCCCAACTTCCCTTTTGTCCTTTGCATTATCTAGAAATGCTTTTGTCTTTATTACTATATTTCACTCCTCTTTCTATCAATGATCTCCTTCTACATCAACTAGTATTTCTATTGCAACTGTTCCTTATAAAACTTATTTTATTTGCAAGTATATATTTATTGCATGCTTCTTTCCAAGCTTTTTGTCTCAATACTTTAAATAAGAATACTTTCATCAGATTCTTCCTCTCCTATTAAGACATAAATTGAACTCTTGCCTTTATTTTTCCAATATTCATATCTATCATCTTATTCGCCGAATGCACTTCAGGGTATCTCTAATTCTCTATCTATTACTCCAACTCATAACTAATATCCTCTTATAATAAATAATACTATTCTGAAGGGTACTCATTTACAGTCTATAATGCCCATTCAATTTAACTTTAAACCTTTTCTGTTGACGATTAATATTCATTAGATTTCATAACTTATTGTAACAAATCCAAAATTTCATTTTTTCTCCCTTATTCCAATTGTTCTTGTAATGTATTTAGATCCAATAACACATAGTCCTACTCCTTCGAATCAAAGACGAACTCCCCTTCTTAATTTGTACTTATTGAAATCATCAAAAATATAATATTAATTTTTAAAGTATTATAAATAAAACAATTAACACTAAAAAGGACAGTAATGAAAACCCCATCTAAATATTAATTATTATGATAAATAGTAAGCCCAGAATTATATATATCAATTTACAATCATTTATATTTGATAACAATTGTTAACAATCCTAATGAGATAACCTAACCTAATAATAAAGGAGTGTGTTCGATTCATCAAATTATTGAAAATAACTTTCACGTAAAAAACATTTCTATATATTTAGATTTTATTATTAATAAAATAAAGACGATAAAAATATGAAATTAAATAATAGAACCCATGATAATGCTCTTTATTCAAGTTTTCAGTTCTATATTAACTAATTTTCAAAGGGTATCTTTTATCCATTTTTTTGTTTGTATTCTATATTTAGTAGAATTTGTGTTTATTGAAGTACTCTTTATTATAAATTATTTTAAGGTATTTTGATATTGAATTCAAATCTTCTTGGTCTGAAATTTTAAAAACTAATTGAGGTCAGTTAATTATGATAATACAATTATTTATTACGAATTGGCTTGCAATTCTTCAGGGAAATACAAATAACTAAGTATTGATGTTTTTAATAAATATTATTGTATATAAAATAACCAATATATGTATTTTTTGATTTATTAATAAAGATTAATATACTTACATTTCTACTATGCAAACACAAAATGAAATGATTTAAACTCCTACATTATTAGATATTAAGTAACTAAATTATTCATTTGTTTAAGAAATCAAATCAGATCAAGAAATTTGTTCAATTCAATAATAATTAAATTCTTATTTGCAACAATTTTATTGCTTAACCTTAGTCTTTAAGTCTAATTTTAAGTCAACAAAATAATGATGTTTATAATACTTTAAACATACCAATTTATTGATTTGTTGAATTATTTCTATCATTACTTTTAGTTGAAAAGCTAGCATGTTCGATTGTAATTATAATATAGTATTTAGAAAAAAGAAAAGAATACACATTTACTTACTTACAGCATTCTTAGACAGTTTATTTATTACTTCATTTTTAATATTAGAAAAATCAGGATACACTTTTTACTTATATAGCAATGCTCTACTCGCCTTGAGCGTAATACTCAATCTTTATCCATTGTATTTTAACAATAAAATGCAAGAATCAATATAAAAATTGAACAAAACATCAATTATTTTTCGATTATATATTTTGATTTGTTCGATATTTGTGAGTTTAAAATTGGATAATATCATAAATTGGGAATGGAGTGCTGTATTATGGCCTTTATGGGTTGGCTTGTTTAGTTCGATTATAATTAGTATTGGTAGCCTAATCATAACATTCAATATGGTAGTTTAATATTTATTTGAGTAATTGACGACTTAAAAATCTAAAAGTAATCATATTGCATATAAATAGTAATTTCTTATATATGGCTAACCAAATTGTCTATTTTTGCAACCATAAGCATAGGACTTACATCTTTAGGCTATTTAGATTACTTAACAAAGAAACCAAATTACTCGAAGAATTTCATAATCCTTCAATATTTCATAATAGCTGAACTCATTATCATAATGTTCTATTCAGTTTATTTCCATTCTTAAATAAATGAATACATTTTCAGTATCCTCCAAGATGACGAACCATTAAGTACCTAATAACAGTTATCAGCACATACTCAACGAAACAATTAAACATTATAAAATTTGAATGTGCTTTCTTCAAGAACAGGAGTGCCGTAAGTAATGCAGAAGATCTCCAAAGCCTATTTTAGTATTCCGAATGGAAGAGAAAAGTATGTAAGGGATTCTATACATGGTTCTCCTGTGATCAAGCAATCATCAAAAGGACACAAAAGAGCTTTTTCTAGTTAAGGCATGGGAACTTAGGTGTTTCAAGAATCAGATTTCAAAATATTTGATAAACAATCATGTGTCATAAATTAAGTAAATACAAATAGAACAAGGTCTTAGGTCGAAAAAAAAAGAAGCAATTCTTAATTAATAACTGTAATTAGTAAAAATATCGAAGATTGCTAGAGATGAATCCATCCAAAACTAGAGATTAGACATCAGTTAGACTAGCAATGTTTGTATAGTTTGTTATGAGCGAGGGCCGAATGCTGTGTTTATGAATTGTGGACATGGAGGTACATGCTATTAGTGTGCACTTGATATTTGGAAATAAAAAATGGAGTGTTACTTATGCAGAGTTGTAAGTGATTTCATCTGAATTTAGAAAATTGTTTATATTTTGAAAGTAGATCTTGAGGAGAGATTCGGAAATCTTTTCAAAGTTATTTCAACTACTTAAATGATAGATCAATTCAACAAATGATGATTAATTATTATCTACATGTATGATTAGATTTTAAAACAAATATATCTCACTATAATATAGTGATTTCCATATCCACCTTACAGCCATAATACTGTTCTGGTACAGCTATATCAAAATATAATTACTCTTCAGTTTTTTTTTGAATAGAGAAATGGATTGAAGAACCAACAACTTTAAATTGAGAACTTTCTTCTATCGTGAGATTCGTCAATTCAGTGAATTTTAATTCTACTTATGCATCCTATTCAAGATTATTATTTTCAACCTATATAATAATTCCTTATTATAATTTAATATATACCTGAGTGATGTGGAGTTACATATGCAATAATCTTATCACACTCTATCTTCCTTGTTTTTTCATCTGCTTTAATTTGAAACAATATGTTCTACTTTTCAATCTGGAGCTTACAGCTATCTGCTATGGCATGTGAATATTTGTATTGAAAACTTGTGTTCCCTGATTTCTTGATAATTTCTGGATCTAAAGTAAACAACAGAATTTAAAAGCAATTTTTATTGACTTCTACCAAAACTTGGTTCTCCTTTTTTAATGAATCATACCGGATTAAGTATCCTAATTCCTTAAATTCTATTTATTCCTAAATATCAATTTTCCCTCTATTTTCATAATAGAAGTACAGAAATCCATATATTTGGTTGGTAATCACACTTGTTTGTTATTAATGATTGGAAATAACAGATCTTTTTTTACCCTGGGATAATGTATGTTATATTAAGGTTTTAATTAGATTTATCTTTTGTTATTCAAATTAATCATCAGGATATATATTTGGAGGCGCAATTACTCCTTTAATTGAGAAATTTAGATCAAAACATTGTTATTATGGATTTTAAGAATCCTTTTCAAAATTATTAAAGTATGCTTGACAAAGGATTAAGTATTCACCCTTTTCAAGGAATGGATTTATAGAAATGTTGCATTAAAAGTCACAACATCCATCAATGAATTAATATTAATTAGACTCCAATTTCTAAAACAGTAACATTCTGAGTAAACCGATTTATTTTTTTTCATTTTGACTCCTTATTATTATCTCATTCTCCTCGATTACAAAATCTTTCTACCATAATGTGCACTAATAGTCGCCCTAATTTTCTATTGTAAATTTGTAACAATAAGTGTGCTCAATGATGTCAGTTGTTCTCTTAATTGGGTTCTCTAAAGAGATTGCAGTTACTCTGTAATCATCCTTCCATGTTAAAACATGAACACTTTGAAAATTCTTATTAAACTCCTCCCAACTTAAATAACAAAGAGAATCAACTTTTTACCTGCCTACAGCCTAACATTTTAAGAATACCTTAAAAATAAATAGATTCCGAATTTGGAGCAATCAATTTAATCAGTTTTAATTAGTCTTAACCCTCACTTGTAGGTATAGCAATTACAGAGGCTATGGTCTTAGAATCTTACTAATATTTGACGAATAAAATATTTGATTTGTCTTTCATTTTTCTCTTTAAATCTTCAAACGATTGAAACTATTATTCATATATCAATTATCCAGTTATCATCTAATTTGATAATTTTAAGAAGATTACTTGTAAATAGAATTCAATTGAATCATTCTTTAAAGCCTTAAACGAGTTATATTAAAAACCTAACATTTTTCCTATTGCTTTCTCCAAAATTAAAGGCCATTGGTATTCTGAAACAATTGTTGCCAAATGAGGATAATTCCCACTCAATTTACATGGTATTTGATCATCAACTATCACTAGTTTCTCTAAGCCTTATTCCCAGAGCCAAACACTGTATAAATCATCATCTCTTTATTCAAAAATTTAGTTTAGGTTACTCATATTCTATTATAATATAGTAACAGAATTGAAAAATGTAAAGGAGGAATAGTAGTCAGATTCTTTAAGCTTTAGATCAGCCCTATATGATTTCTGAATATTCTCAAATTATTTTAATTCACAAAGCACTAACTAGTTATTATTACATTTCTCGTAAAAGTCCTTCTATTCGAAGTCCTATTTTTTTACCAAATTAAAATTATTCATTTCCTTTTCATATGTGTCTCTCTTTTAGTAATGCATAAAATTATTTATATATAAAATTTTATTCTACTATGAAATTCTTTTATTTTCAATTTTTCTCATATATTACAAACAGAAATTTCATCTTCAACGATTGTGTTTTATGCTTAAAATTCATATTGAATGTGATTGTTTAAAATGACTTTTAATTTTTATATTTCCAAAACTAATTTCAAAGATGCAAAATAGTATAAGTCTAAATAACAAATAGAAAAAAAATATTATCTGCTAAACAATTTTTATAGATAATTAAAATTTATTGTATAAATATTATTAGAAGTTTATTGTTATTTTATAGATAATATATATAATAAATGATAAAATCTAGATAGAACTCCTTACAGGCTATTAGAATTAATTAATCAAGCGAAAAAATTATGAAAGTTATTCCAATCAAACCAACATCATAGAGCGAGTTTCAAAATAAGAAATCAACAGATCACTTGGACCCTAACGAACTCAGACCTTTCTTAGAAGACTTAATGAGAAGATATGATAAAATGGCGATCGAATTACAAGCTGCCTAAGCAAAAGTACTCAATACCATTTCCCATTAGAATTATGAATATAACGATCAAAATTAAAAATTAATTAGAGAAAATGACTAACTCAAATAAGCAGCCAAATCCAGAGAGGAGGAGGTCAATTCCCTATATTCTAAGTTAGTAGGATATTAAAATAAGTATGGCCAATAGATCGATCAACTATAAAATGATAGTGTGAAAGTAGTGCAAGTGCTGACCTAAAAAATTGAAGACCTTGAATCTGAATTAAAGTATTACTCCCTATATTACTAAGTAAAACCTAAAATGATTTGGATTACAATAAAGGATTATTAATTTTGAGAGAATAAGAGGTCTTAGAATGGAGAAGCAGAAGATAATTCGATGAATCTAAAACTCTAAAAGAACTCAACTAAATGAAACAAACATTGTAATCAAAGGAATAAGAATTGCAAGCATTAAGAATAAAATATGATTTCAAATAAAAAACAACCTAGTCATGTTCAGGATAATAATTAGAATTAGATGCACTGAGATAAGAATTATATATTAAAGAATAATAGCTAGAGAAAATAAATAATTAGGAGAATTCTGAACAATGTATCATTTATTAAAATGAAATAAATAGAGTTAATAAAATTGTAATTATTTCTATTCTATTTTTAAGGTTGTAGAATTAAGAAGCGAAGTGGAAAAGCTTAAATAAGAGTAGGTAGATTACGAATGGTTAAAGAGAAGATATGAAAAGGAACATTAAACTTATTCTACTTTAAGAGTTTGAAAATTATTATATATACACTATTACTTTTAAATAATATATCTAAATTATTTATTGAAGCTAGATAGATAAAGATGATAATTAATATCTTCTTTAAATTCAATTGATTCATATTATTTAAAGTAATCCTTCTAGATGAGTTGCTTTTAGTAAATCCTCTACATTTAAAATTTGTTATGCTTCTTCAATAATGGGTGGAATTTTAATATCCAGAACTGTTGAAATTGAGGTATATTAAACATTTAATTCTCATATCTCTGTAAGTATTATTTTAGTCTAAAATAATCAAAATGTAAATATTAAAACTTTAAATTATTTTAACATAATGAATGAGTTAAAGAATTAATTGATTATATTTGATTACACAGCCCATCTAATATCTCAAAATGTTACGGAAATATATATATATTAATAGTCTCATTATTTTTTGGATTTAGTAATTAACCAATCTACTACTTAAGTAATATTGTTTCCTGTCAATGCACTACACATTGCGACCGCCCAGCCATTTGATGTTATGTAATCCAAATTCAAACCTACATTAATCTATTTGTACCTTCTATCAATTATTTTTCATTTAGATGAGGATTCACATCAATCTTATTTCCTATGATCAATATTGGAATATTTCGCAAGGATTTATTATCTAATAAATTATGCAATTCCTTCTTTGACGTACCCAATGTTGCTTACTATTGTAATAATCATCTTTACATTGCTTGTATCAACAAGGAAAATAAGCGCGTCACAACCTTGAGCATAATTTCCCCATTCTGGCCTATATTGAACTTAGCCACCAATATCCCAGATCTACATTTTAATGATATTTCTACTTTCATAGTCACTCCCCCTTTCTTTACAGTCCTGACATTAAGGCCCACAGTAGGTACTGTAAATGAAGGATCTCCCATAGATAGCTAATTCAGCATTGTTGTCTTTCCAACATTCTCTAATCCAACCATGCAAACCTCCAACTTTTAAGTAGAGAAGAAATTCTTCAATTTTTCGAACAAATTTCCCATTAAAATATATAAAATTTATATTTAAAATTAAATATTCTTGTAAATAATGTCAGAATTCATAAAATATTATGGAAATTTAAATTGTCTTGAAATAATTTCATTAAATACTAAATAAAAAATTAGATTTAGCAACAGGCTTTTATTTTAGAGGTTTTTATTCATCCTTATAAGGCTATTCGAACTTTTATTTATTTTAAGCATATTAATGTAAAGAGAAAAAATTATAGAAAAAGTCAACATTTAAATATAATTATTCCTAAAAAATAGTTTGGTTTGATTTAAAAGAATCCATTAAAGATAGCTGAATTACATCTATAGGAATTGTTAAAGTTGAATATTCTTGCGATCTCAACAATTAGTTGCAATATCCTCTTATTTGTAATTTATATACTCCAATTTTTCCATTACTTATTAACATATAAATGATTATATCAAAAATATGAAATGGTATTGTCAGCTTCGATTTGGATTATTGGATAAATTTTGAAGAATTAAGAATTATTGATCATTAATCCATATTAACCCTTTATGAATATCGAAATATCTATAAAAGGTGTCTAAGTAGTAATTAAAGATTGACTTTAATTTAGGGAGTTAAAATGAAGATTAGTAAAGTAATGTATAAGATAATACCTAATAAAATATTAAATAATTTATTGTGTAATATAAATTAATTAATGGCACGCAAAAGGGCTGATCCAGATCGTTTCTTAGAGTACGAAGAATTCAAAGATCATTCTGGTTTTACTATCTAAGAGGATGGAGATTATATAGATTTCTATTATGACTAATAACGGGGTTGGTTTGATGAATATGGCAATTACTATAATTCGAATGGCGAACCAACGAGACCAAGTTAAGCTAGCTTGAGATTTTGGGATTCAATCAAACATAAATGTAATACTCTTTATTGAACAGTTATAGATTCCTAAGATGACATTGATGATTTATTAAATCAATATGATGGGGGTACCGAAAGTGAAGATGATAATGATGATGATTTTGAAAGGTGATTGATAAGATTTATTCTAGAGAGTACCATAACAAAGCACATATGGATAAACTTCTCAAAAGACTGAGACATTATGGAGATTAGGAAGAAATTAAAATCAGATTCAGCCACAATAAATGGAGTACTAAGGATAAAGATATTATACAATTGCTCGGAGCCTAAAATGTGAAATCAGTTTAATTTGATTTTAAATCTGGCACAAGTTACAAAACGGGGACAGGAACCATAATAACCTTTAATAAAAAATGCGCTCAGTAAATCATTCAATTCCACAATACCGAAATTAACAGTCATCCTATCTCATTTGATATTGATGCTATAGATATCAATGATTCAGAGGACGAAGTGATTGATATTTAGAAAGAAGATCCATTATTAAGTAAACCACAATAATAATAATAATAATAATAATAAGTGTAGTAATAATAATAACCATAACAGTAATAATAGTAAAAACCATAACAGTAACAATAATAGTAATAATAATAACAACAATAATAACAATAACAATAAAAAAAAGAAATTTGGGTATAAGAATTCTTAATTGTTGAAGGATTCCCCGATAAAGAACCTCAATAAAACATTAAATTATGGTTGTCTTAAAAAATATTAAATAATGCATAAATTCATGACAACATGTTTGAAATTAAAGATAAAGTAAAAAAAGAGAAGGGAAAGGTAGTCGATCAATATTAGGCTGTTAAATTAGATTTAGGGTCAAAGGAAAAATTAGAAGATGCTAAAACTTAACTTGATTAATACAACATGTATTAAGGAAAGAGAAGGATAACCTATTTTATATACAAACCTCAACAATGAAATTATGATTTATTTAATTTCTATTATAATAAATGAATTTTATAAACATAATATCAAATATAAATCATAGATAGAATAAACCGTAACTCAATATTTGATATCATTAATAGATTTAATAGATGAAGTCGTATATGAGGTTATTAGGTCTGAGATGAATACAATTGAAGTTTCAATGTCTATTTGATCCTCAGGGATGTCAATAGAATCATTATTTGGCATATTTGACAAAAACATCAGTATTCGTTCACTATTCTTATTTTATTTTGTTTCTTTAAGAGACTAGCTTGAACTGGCCAAATTGCTAGATTAAGTTCTATCCCCAACTGAAAGCATAGATCTAAATAGATTTTTGATGAAATCATAATCTGGCATTGTTTATTGAGTTAAAGTTTCAATATATGATTTGAACTATGAAAATTCTGGAGGGAATTTTTAGGAAAGAACTGCGGTGTTGAAAACGGCCTCTTTCATTTCACCAATTTTTTTTATCTCCAATTATTGAGATTGGAGTTGTTTTAAAGATTGCCAAGGCAGCTTCTCTAAAAATAGTCAGTTATTAAAACTTACAATTCCTTAGATACACTAAAACATACAGTAGACTTTCTAAATCATCCTTGAAACCAAGTTGGCTGCCTCTATGAGCCTATCTACTTGCATATCTTAATGAGCCTATGAAAACTTTATTTAAGAAAGTTTTGTGTCCAAATTTTTAAGATAGGCCAAAATCAATTAGTTGAATGAAACCAGGTCTTAGAATTTAATCAACTGGAGCATTGATTTAAGGTTATGATATCATTATATTTTCTGGTTTTATGTCAAGATGTAAAATGCCTTTTTTATGAACTTATTCTAAAATTTCAATTACGCTGAGTCCAATAGCTAAAGTACTCTATAGAGAAGGCACACTTTCTTTTGCTATCTCAGAGAGATTTCTTTTTAAAAGTGGAGTGATTATATAGCTTCTAATCAATATTATCATAATTTTACTTAGAATCTTTAGTTTTTCCAAAATCAATCAATTATGGAATGCCCTTAACTCCTTCAAGCTCTTACAACTTTTGGATTTCTCCTTCTAATTATCCCAAATTAGGAATTTTTTCAATTTTCAAGGCTAAAATTCGAGAAGTTTAATTATTCTGAACTCTAAAGACTTGGTGCCCAGAGCCAGAACCTATGTTGGAGAGTATTTTATAATTGGAATTCTACAACTGCATTAGACTTTATTAATATTAATGAAAATGTTTGAATCTCAAGAAATATATTATTAATTTTCAAGGTAGTTTAAATCTTTTACTATATTGATCAGTTTTTCAAAAATAAATATCATAAAAGAAGGTAAACATTTTTTGGGTTGAATAATAATATTTATAAAACATTACTAAAACAATAATAATAAAAAGATTTAAATTAATAATAATAATGAATTTTTTCCAATTTGTATTTCTGTTCTTCTTTAAATTTATAATTTTCTTCAATTATTTGTATTAACAATCAAAGATTGTTTAAAAGATACACTAACTTATCCGATGCTACAATTTGAGTATGATTCAAGTTTGTGACTATATCATTCACCCTATCATTAGTATGGTTAAATCTTCCAAATCCTAGATCTCAACAATATAATCATTTGCACTGTAATTCCACACAATTTTGCTATCACTTCGAAATTTATTCTAAATAATAAATGTTTATTAGCACATTCCATAATTCAAAAGGTTTATTGTTGTATTTGATTAACTCAATTTAATCAAATAAGGCATAATCGTGATTGAATTGAGATGTGAAATTGAATTTACCTAGTTTCCACTTTATGGCCTTAAAAAAGAAACAGTACAATTTTTGCTTTATCGAACTTTCTAAATTCATTCTCAACAAAGTTTTAAATAAATCAAATGTATATATTTGATAGATTTTGCATTTGCAATAATTCAAAAGACTATTCTTGACAGTCTATTAAGTGGAACAACATATCCAGCTCATTATTAATTAGAGAGATAGGATTATAATAATTCAAACCAAAAAATAGGATGAAGGTTTTGAAGAACCTAAACAATAGATCTATTGGTAAATATACTTGCCCAAAATTTAATAGCATCTCATCTCCTTAGAAAATACCATTCTTACGAAGGACCTTCTAGAAATTGTTTCCAAATATTCCATAAATAGTTCTCTAAAATAAGAAGCTCATTTATAATTGGATCTCACTAATAGAATACTGTATTTTCTTCTTCGCCTTACGTTATTGACCCTTATTTTCATATTTTATCCTATTCAACTCATTCTGAATAGCTAAACCTTCTGAATTAATTTACCGTTTTAAACAATAATTCTGTTACATATAAAGTTCATTCATGAAAATTTTTACATAATAAAAAATGCGAAGGTTTTCTTTCTGACAAGGCGTTACTAATAATGAATTTGGATACTCAAAAAACTTTTCTAATAACTCCATGATAAAATTAACTTTTACAATTCCTAATATTAATTATTATGCTTTTAGGAAATTCAATACTAAATCATTCATCTATTTAAAGCAGGGGGTATTCAAATAGGGAACGATAATTTGAAAATGGAACCTTGGGTAGAATAATAAGAAAAAGCGGTTATAATTGATATCTTTTAGAAAATTTATATTTTGTAAAGCACTAAAACCATAAATCCTTTAAATTTAAAAGAGAATTTATTTGTTACAAACATGTGAATAGATATTTCGTGAGATTTATAGCAGGTTAGAGTTCATGAACTTCAAAAATTTTTAAAAACAAACAATATTATTTAGTATTGAGATGTATCATCATTTTATTTAAGATCTCAAACATATTTTGATGAAGCCAAGTCATGTTATAGAGGATTCAAATACTCAAATTTTTTGGTTTAATTAATTTGTGTTTAGTTAAATAGGAAAATACTCTGATGTCATAATGAAAATATGATCTTAAAGAGTTGAAGTGATTGAGATTTTAGATAGAGGAAAACTAATATTAAAATTATATTTACTTGTTACTAGAATTTTATTATTATTATGCATATATAAATATCATACTATCAAAGAAAACCAGGACAAAAACAAGTAAAATAAAAATACAGGGTAAACTGCCAACTTCTTCTTATGTGGTGGTACCAATGATGCCATAAAGCCAACAGATGCTATGATTAATTTAAATTCGAATTTTACAATAGGCAGACCAAGCAAAGCAAATGATCACTGGTATTAATTTCACTACAAATGGTAAATAGGATCCAATAAATGCAATAATTAATGCTTCGATGTTGATTGGAAATACGCAATATCCCAATAAGCAGACAGATTAGAAAAATGATCTATGAAATAAAAGGATGTTATTTACACTTTTCCTCCGAGCAATTAAGCATTTAGTGTAACAACAAATGCGCCAACCCAAATAAGAACAAAAATGATTGCGAAAACATCAGACTTTGAACTAGAAGTTGTGGAATCAGCTTTGAAACTTAGAGTCCTTCAATATAGATAGTATTTTACATAGCCAATGCTAAACAAAAAATTAAGGGTCCCCATAAATCCCCTATGAATATAAAAATAAAGTTTACAATTTCGTAATTCTTTTCCATTGTCCTCTTGTTCTTTTGGAATTAAGACGTATTTCAATTTATATGCTATCATTCTTAAATCTCTCATCTAAATTAGTTATTTAATGTACAATAGTCTCTGATACACTTTCTTCTAGATCAAGTGTTTTCAAGTCTTCCATTTATGAATAATTTTATGGTTGTTTTTAGTTTGTGTAATCCATGGAATGTTAATAAATATATTTATTATTTCTGTGAAAATCTATCCGAATATTTTTTAAATAAAATACACAATACATAAAACTGTCTTCAAAGTTTAGATAATACCATAATAAATTATAATATAGTTTTAAATCATGAGATTTGCTTCACCCACAACATCCTTTTTTCTTTTTCGTTTGCAATGACTAATACTAAATAGAAACATCATACAGAAATGATTTTTTTAAGTCCTTGTATTTCTTCATTTTTTTGGGCAATCATATTTTAGAGCTCATCTACATCCTTAATATTGTCTCTATTTATGATACTTATCAATTCAATTACCTGATAGTTTTGTTTTCAGTTTGCAATTTGCTGAGTTAATCTGATAGTTATTTTTTTTATGCCTCCAACTATACTTTGTCTTGATCCAATTTTTTAATTTTTGTTTCATGCTATGCAATGTTCTATTCTAATATTTTGATATTATCCAACAATTGCTTCTCCTTGACCTATTGCACTGCTTTCTCCTCCTCTGCTTAATTTTTATTCTTGCTATACTTTTGTCTTAATTTATGATATGATATTTACACAACAGAATTAACTAACTATTTTACTATAATTGGATGATGATTCTATAAAAAATGTATCAACGTATTAGCCTTTTCAGTTCCTGCTGATTTTTTGTCATAAGCATTTAGAAATCTATAAAATGATGAATAGAGTATTACTCATTAAAATGTTAAAAGAAAACTTCTAAATTATCAATCGTGAATGTTTCTTGATCCAGATTTTCCTTTAATTTCTAGGACACTTCAGCAATAACTTCCTCATTCTTCCTAATCACATAATCAAACTCAAATACGTATTATTCATATCATCATTCAATCTAATTGCTAGATTTTCTTTTTCAGTCATGAAATCTAATAGCTTTTTCTTGTATTCTTCAAAATGGTTGTTCTTCTCCCTTATGCCTGCAATATAATGAAATGTTTGAAATGACTCATCTCTAATTTTTTTCAAGATTTGAAATATTTCTTCAAAAGACTTGGCTTCATCAGAACCGAAATATTTCTTAAGATTAGTTTCATACAATTATTTGGCCTGAGCCAAACCTTATTGACATTCTGTTTCTACAACATATTCCCAAGCAGTAGATATGATGGGAACCTTCCCCTTATTAAAATTGGTTACGAAAGTTTCAATCATTTTACAGAACATCCTGCCATTTAAATTAACTCCATTCAATTATTTAGGAGATGTATTCTTCAGTAAATATTCCCTTAGTTGAGTTACCTTAAAATATGATAGGCAGTTTTACTTATTACTGAAACTCCTCTCTTAATTGATTGTTTGGTAATTGATTTACCTTCTACAACTCGTTTTCATTAATCACAGGCCTAACGAATTAAAAGCAATTTCTATCTTTAAAACATGTTAACAATGTCTTCCTGACTTTTTTTGAATTCTCACTTTGATATTAACGATCATCATGCAACGCTAACTCCAGATACTCTTTGGGTGTAATCTTTCTATTTTAACCATCCTTCATTTCAAGTACAAAATCTCTCAATAACCATATAAATTTTGGAGTATAGTAACCCAATATATTTTCATTATTACTGTTATCATGATCCTAAACTTGAATGTTCTTAGATAGCAATGTAGTTAGATGTAGTTGAATAATTGATTGCTCATCAATGCAGCCAATCGAATTAAACATAAAAGTACTACTCATTAAAATAGCCAAAGCAAAAATCTTAGCATCATGAGTTTGTGATTTCACTCCTGATTCGCTACCCTCTGTGTCCAAAAAATAGATTTGAAGATTGCTCTGCTTATTAATCACAGGTTTTGTGTATAACCAGATTCCTTGGGTGCAAGAATTCGTTGTTGGACTAACCTAAAACTAGATCTATTAGCAAACAAAGTGATTACTCCTTCATTCTATACATCGATGAGTTTGTTCAAGAGAAAACTCTTCCCTGTCCTGTATTTGCCACAAACGACAACAAAAGCTATATTTCCTCTCAATTAACTCAAAAACTAAGCTGCTTCGCTATTTAGTTCAAATTTATTATTTTATGACACAAAGTTAACCAATTAGATTGCTTTAAAATCATTGATTTATTCCAATTTGATTTGGTCAAGATCAATCATCTCTTTTGATTTAAAAATAATAATAAATTAATTATTCACATTCATTGCAGAGTTAATTTTATATTAGAGGTCACTCACAAACTCTTTCATCCCATTATATTCTTCCATCCCTCATTCCTTTTTTGTTATATTAATATTTTCTAATTAATCGTTAAATTTGAATGGAAAATAATGAATAGGAAGACTATATCTAACTTAAGAAAAATGTATTAGCATTGTATCTAATCAATAGTATGCTTTGAGAGAGAATGAATGGAAAAAGGATAAAGCCCTTTATGAATAAAAAATACAATTGTTGGAAATTCAATTGGAGGATTATAAAACCAGAGAAATGAATTAAAAGAAATTGAATGATACGATTACTTAAGCTATTGATATTTCAGGAAAAACATAAGTATAATTCTAAATCTAATTTATCAAGCAAAAAAGCTATACAGATTTTCAAAAATCTATTGAAATCTAAATGGCCAATAATAAAAAGCACCAAGATAGCATATCAAAACTGGAAGAAAAAGTAATATATAATCATAAGTTTTAGCTTAGATGTTTGAATGAATAGTTAAATGAAAAAGAAATTTAAATTAAGGATCTTGAGCTTTAGCAGCAGAAATAATAAATTACATATGATCATAAAATATAAAGCTAAGAATCTGAGAAATTGTATTTGAACTAAGAAATTTCTAAATACAAAGATTAAATATAAAAAAACGAGGAAAATTCTAAGTCAAAAGAGCAAGTTTTAAAGTTATAGTGCGAATAGGAAATTCAAAAAATAAAGGATAACTTTTTTAAAGACATGCAAGAAAAACAATCAGATTATGATTAAAGGTATTAGCAACTAGCACAATTATACGAAAAGGAAAAAGAACAATTGTAATAAAGATTAATTCGAAGTTAAAATACTATTAAAAAATATTAAACCCATATTGAATCTAATTAGGAAGTACAATAATTACAATAAAAATATGATGAACAAATAGCTGCTTTAAAATAAGAAATGCATGAGCAACAAGTTCAATTTCAATATGAAAAGAAAATGTTAAATAAATAAGTAGATGATCAGAGAATGTACATATTTCACATATATTAAGAAATACTAACAATTATGATAGTACCTCAAAGAAAAAGAGCTAAGACATGATCAAAGTTAGAAATTCTATAGCTTCATAAGATAGTCCAGTTTAGTGCAAAAGCTTTCATATATCCTAGCCTGATTTTAAATAAGTGCTCTAATAACCAAAAAATTCAGTATCTTCTATTTAAAAATAATCCCTGCAGCCTCCAAAAAACAATCAATCATTTGAAAAAATCAAAGCTAACAACCATGATACTCTCCCTATGCCTATTGAAGATTTTAACCTTATGATGAGTAAAAAGGCTAAATCTTAATCAACAAATTCTCTTCCTTCAAACAATTTGAATCTTAATTCTTATCTTCAAGATGCTAGTATAATGAAAGAAGAAACAGAAACTGGAGATGAATTTATAAGATTTAAGTTATCAAACTAACAAACAACTAGGTTTAATAACGAAGCTGATCAAAGAAGATCATACTCTCAATAAGGGACTAAAACACACAGCATTAATTCAGCTACAAATTTAAGTAAAATGTTAGGGTAGACAGATTAAAGTTATTAAAATTAAACTACTTCTATTTCTACTTAATAAAAAACTCATAATACTTCATTTTCACATTTTAAGGTTCCATCCTTTACGTAAGGTTAGTTAAACAATCTAAAATATAGTTTATATTAGCAATAACCACAAACTACTTTGAGAATGAATGATAATCACATCAATTATATATAGTAAATTAAGGCTCGATATATAAATTAAGACGAATCGAGCTAGAATGATTCCACTGCGATTAAATATGTAAATGAAATTGGTATTAATAGAATAAAGAGAACCAGCAGCCATCAAAAAGCATGCATATAAATAATGAGATTAAATTTTTGATTGGTAAACTACTTCAGGCTAAAGGAAAATTAACAACTGAATTGGAAAATACTTAAAAATCTTGTAGATATAAGACTTGAATTTTTATATTCAATATATTTTTGGAGAAACTATTTTCATTTTATCTCAATATCAATTAAAAATTAATCAAATATTAACATAATTACAAAAAATGCCTGAAGGAATTTACATTTCTATTCTGCTACCAGCATTTCAAGTTAAACATGAAAATTAGATTGTAAATATTTAATAAAGTATTAAGGATAAACTCTTAAAATAAACATTATGTATAGCATCTTAATCTTATGAATTATTTGAAATTCCATCTAAAATTGGCAAAGAGCTTTGTGTTAGATTGATCTAAAATTGTAAGATTAATTGGATCATCATAAGCTTTAAATTTGAAAGACTTAGAAAAGTTAATGGAAGATAATCGGTCCCTTTAGGCTTCATATTAAAAATGTAAAGAATCTTTATAGGCTCTTAATTGTGAACTTGAAAAAATAATGAATGATCCTTAAGCTTTATTAGAGACAGACAAAATTAAGCACCAAAAACTTATGACAAAATATAAGCAAGTCAATGATGAAAATAAAAGACTTAGATAGCATTTAAAGTACAAATGTTTGTGAGATTAGATAATTGAACGAGGACTTTTGCAAGTAAAGAGTAGAAACGCAATCTACTTTTGATTCACTTCGAGAAGAAATTGATTTACTAGTAAAGGTAATAAAATAATTTTTAAGTAAAAGGAACTAGCTCCATTTTAATCATAGAAGAAGCAAAATGATATTTTAATTTCTAATTGATTTATGTAATGACGTTCATAATTTCATACTAAGAGTTAAATATTTTATTTTTATCATATTGCTATAATAATAATATCAAGAAATTCATATAAATTTAGAGATAGATGCAAATCTCAGAAATGTTTTAACATAATCTTTCATCAAATTTTGCATTTTGGTTTATTTTATTTTCAATGATATCAATATATTTTACTTAATTAAAATATAATAATAACCATAATCAAAAATAATGTATAAGTATAGAATGCAATTAATTGTTTTTGAAATATTGAATGAGACAAAAATGTTAAATACTCTATTGAAATTTTTAAAGAGATGACGATAAAAAAAGAGATATTTAACATTAAAGAAGAAAATGAATTTGATAGTCTTTTTTATTAATCATTTTAAATTTGTTATTTCAGATGTAAGATTAAATTCTCCTTTTAATAATTTTTCTCTGAATTCTGAATCTCTATCAATCATTCTTACGATGCATTTCACTTTATCCATATATATCAGGACAGAATGTTTATACAGATCATAAATTGTTTATTCAATTTTTTTAGCCTCTTCTATATGTTCATTTTTAGTTTGTAACTAAAAATATTTTTTTAATCCTTCAATTGCTTTTTTTCTTTTGTCTTCCTGCACTTGTTCACTTGAAGCATTTTGATTTTCTCTATAATTAGATTTTGTATTATTTGAGTTCTTTGCTGACACAACAATAGTTTCCTATTTTTAATCAACAGTTTTAAATTTTTTTTGAATAAATGGCTCATTATTTTTGGAAGGTTTTTATTTTTATTGACTTTTTTAAACATCTTCGTTTGCTTCATTATTTGTACTTACATCATTAGAAATAATGACCGATTTCCATTATTTGACTAATTTACGACATATTTTAATAGATTTTGAGTATTTTTCATCATCTTCATCTGTATATTTCTTTTATCCAATTCTAACAAAACTTTTAGTGATTTGGCTTTCAATCACAGATTATAATTCATATTGACTTTTATATACTTAAGCTATCAATTAGTATGACTTCTGAATAGGAGCTGAAGAGAATTTCTTTAATTCTTGCTTAATTTCAGACAATTATTCTGTGTTTAATTTCATTTATTTATAATATTATTTTTCTAGATCAATTGTGATGAATATGCAAAACAAAATTGTATTGAATATATTTGAAATATAAATAACATAAACATGAACTCATTTTTTTAATAACTTGATCAAATGAGGTTAATATTACTCTAAAGATTCTTTAATAATACTTTGACTTCTTGGGTCTAATTTAATCATATTTGCCTTGCTGATTAATGATCTCAAAATGAATTAATATTATTAATATTATGGAGATTTTGTTTATTGGAGGGAATAAATCAAAATAGCTTAACTAATATCCATAGCTTTAAACTCATTGCTTTTTGTTAAATGTAGTCCCAATTTGTTGTAAATATCGGTATCGGTTATGCCTAGCCTTTGGATAAATCAAAATAGGGCTTACTTATTCAAATTCCAAATCATTATGGAAGCAAACTTTGAGGAAAAAGGTTGATTAGATTTCTCTTGGTTTTTCAACATAATATATGATAATTTTTAAGCAAATTCTGGACTTTGCTTCAATTATCCTAAAGTTCTTAAAAGTAATAGTAACTGGAGTACACCTTCATTGGAAAGGTCCTATTCAGCTAGATTTTGGATGACAAGTTTTTGATACTACTTTAATTTGAAATAAGTACAGCATTGATTTGTTTATTCTCTTTGATGTTGAGAGTTGCTTACAAGAGTAGAATTAATGATCTATTAGTAACTAACTCTTTTTTATTAAAATTATTTATGGCCAATTTAAATGTGTATATTAATAATGCACTGGCATCTAACTTAATATCTTGAATCGCCCAAATAATGAGAACCAAATCTTTGAATTTGAATTTAAAGTCTTTAAGCACTCTTTTTTCAGATTGCAAATCCTCCTCCAATTACTGTTCTAAAAAGTCTTCATCTTCATCAGATTGGTTGATTTCATTATCCTCTTGATTTTCAGAATTTAACTATTCTTTAGGAGATTGTAAATCCTCAGGGATCTCTGAGACTGGAATGAGGGAATCTAAATTCTATTGCAATTGATCAATCAAATGAATAACAAGTCTGGGTTTCTTGATACCATTTTTATGATAACCCCACAACAGAATGGCAATTTACTTCACTCTGATGCAAGTCAAGTCATTCCCATATTATTTGATTAATTATTTGTTTCTTCCGATTTTAGCAACTTGCACATCTATCTAATAATAAGATTATAAATTTTACAAAATCTCCATTTTTCCTGCATAGGCACCTATTTGAATACTTCTGTTAGTTCATCATAGAAGGCAGTATCATCATTGAGATCAAATCTCTTTTTCACTGGACTTGTGTTCATATGTTTCAAGGCTTCCAGAAATAGTAATGGTGTAAAATGTTCTTAATTTTTGTGATAGGTCTAGTAGATTTCTTTTGGACTACTACAGGTTTTGATGAATCTGAGAATCTTCTTTTCAGATGAAAAGCACATAAGAATCCTAGTTGATAAAATCATTAATTAAATAATGTTTAAAATTATTCAAAGAGCCTGTTTCAGATATTCAGCTGCCAATTTCAAGGCTGAAGCTGAAATCAAATCAGTTCCAGGTATGAACAATAGAGAGTGAATTTAGGACATAAGCCTCCCTCTTTTGAAGATACCGTATAAGGAAAGTATGCAGGAGTGTTATTCGCAACAGCATCATAAAAAGAGGCACTTCATTTGGTGTTGTAGGACATGAAATACTTCAAGGAATTGGCTGACAAGAGTCCAGTGTTTGCAGGCTTTTTGGTGAATTCGGCCTACAAGAGAAATCAATAAAGAAATGTGATTCAATCTCTTACAAAAGTAACTGAGGGTCATTATGTTATAGGAAGGATTTCATGAGGTCACTTAGAATTTGTTGAATACTATGATTGATAATCAAAGAATTTCATATCTAACTAAGACAGCTGATAAATTCATTGAATATTATAGAATCTTTAATAAGGAAGAAAATATCACTATTATTTCGGCTGAAAACTTATCTGAAGAGCAAAGGTAACTATAGAGTGATTTAATATAGATCATAAGTAATTTAAGCCTTAAAAGAATCAAGTCCGAATATGCAATTCTCAGTTCAATACAAGGTAGATCCATCCATTTTGGGAGGATTACAAATGTATTCAGGAAATAAATTCTTGGATTGCTCATTGTTGTCAAGAGTTAATAAATTGAGATCAGAATTGTAAAAGTTGAGCATCTGATGAAGAATAAGTATTAATAATAAATATTATATATATATATTATAAATATTAATGGACATTCTCAAAGACCCTACCAATGATAGATAGGTGAAGACTCTAAAGCCTCCTCCTCATCGACCACTCTCAAAAAATCTGATGTTTCCAGATAAATTGAAAAGTATGCCACAAAATTAAATTTTTTAGACAAACCTGATTGGAAATTATTGAAAGATCATCTCCAAAAAGAAGGAAGAGTAGCAAAAGAGGAATTATTTAAATTGGTTGCTGATTGCAATAAATTATTGAGTAAAGTGACATTTTGATTGTTAGAAAATGAGGGAAATGTTCTGTATTTGCAAGATCCACTTACTGTTGTTGGTGATATACATGGGTATGTACCTAAATTAAAATAGATAATTTTATGACTTACTGAAATTATTGGAACCCAAAGTTGGTGGCAACCCTGAGACAACAAAGTAAAATAACCTTACATTATTAGATATCTCTTTTTGGGAGATTTCGTAGACAGAGGATCATATTCAATAGAAGTAGTCATTTTACTTTATGCGATAAAAATTAATTATCCCAATACTGTTTATTTTTTGAGAGGCAATCATGAATGCAGATAACTGACAGCATTTTTTAATTTTAAAGATGAATGTACCTATCAATTTAATGACAGGTCTATACAAATATGATTAAGAAACCTATGAGATGTTGATGGATTCTTTTGATCTATTTCCATTGGCATGTATAATAAATTCAAAATTTATTGCAATTCATGGCGGAATCTCGCCTGATTTAAAATCAGTAAAATTTTGATTAATATTTAGATTGAAGACATAAAGAAATTGGACAGATACCATGAACCACCTCGTAGTGGACTCTTTTGTGATTTGCTATGGAGTGATCCAGTAGATCATGATTAAGGAAATCTGGATGGACAATGGAAAAGCAACGAGGTTCGTGGATGCAGTTGGTTCTTTGGGATTGATGCAAGTATGAAATTCCTGTAGAGAAACAGTCTCATCAGTATCATAAGAGCTCATGAAGTACAGTTGACTCATATTAAAATAGGCACAACTTGATGGATATAAAATGCATCGATGGAATGGCGGTTAAGATTTCCCGGTAGTGATTACTATTTTCAGTGCCCCCAACTATTGTGACGTTTATAACAATAGAGGTGCAGTGATCAAATTCGAAGTAAGAATTAATTATGAAATTAATAGAACAATACTCTAAATATTTAACAATTTTAATATACTCCACATCCATATTTACTTCCCAATTTTATGGACATATTTACTTGGTCGATACCTTTTGTGGCTGAGAAAATCACTGAAATGCTCTACAATTTAATCTAAGCAGGAGATCAAGGAGATGATGAAGATGATGTTAATTAAGAAGACATTGAACAATTCAAATAATTAACCAATCAAAATAAGCAGTTTAATAAATAACAATCAGGAGGATCAACTGGAAAAAGTAATTAATACAAGTTATAAATTAAATAGGCACAGAGAAATTGAAAAATAAACTGAAATTCGTGGCTACCATGATGAAACTCCAAAAGACACTCAGAGAAGAAAGTGAGAGTGTTATGAAACTGAAAGGAGCTTGTCCAGATAAAAGATTGCCTAAAGGTATACTATCAGCTGGTAAAACAGCTATTACTGATGGTAAAAAGTATGATCATTGTAGCCCTTGCTGATTTCAATGTCGCCAAAACTGCTGATATAGTTAATGAGAAAATGCCAGCCCAAGCATAAATCCCTTAACAATCTATATCAATCAAAAAACCCAGTAATAATACACCTTAGCCCAAGAAAAAATGAGAATCCAATTCATATATTCAAATATAGATGTGTAATAATAATAATTATTATTATCATCATCATTTGTTTCATATTTATATAAGCTTTAGTCTCCTTTGATTTATTTATATTCTCTAAAAACAAGGTAGGGTATCTACTGCTTCTATATTTCCCTATTTGATTTTAGCATGATCAAAACGAAAGTATTCTAAACTTGATTCTTAATACAAAGTTTATATTATTTTTCCTAAATATTAGAATGAAAAATAGGTGATACAAAATAGACTAGCTTTAATAATTATTTCAAATATAGAGATGTATATTGAGTATGTTTAGAATAATTTCAACCCCTCTGCTTCAGAATTAGAGTTATTGAAATCCTAAGAAATAAAAGAACTCTACGAATATATTTAGCAATAAGGAGGATTTATTAAAGTATCATAGAACACTATTTGTAGTATTATTCGCAGCAGTACAATGAATTTCAATCCTAGGATAACAATGAAAGACTGCAATTGTTTCAAAAATACTTATTAAATTATGAATTGAAAACAACAGATGTGGATGGACAATATCTGCATAGATGTGCCTTTATCGAACTTAATAAAGCAATAGATTGTTTTACAGAATCCCCGTAGAAGTGGCTATAAGATTAAGTTACTTTATGGTCGCTACCTAATTATGTATCTGCAGAATTGAACAAAAATCTGTTTACTTTCTAAGATTTATCAAAAAATCACAAAAATTTTGAAATTGATATTATAGCTTAGAATCCATTTACTGACACAACATTGGCAAAGGAGGAAAATTATTATTAAGCCTTCAGAATGACAATAAACTAGTATAAAGATTACGCCGAGGATCCAAAATCATTTCTTAAAAACAATCCCCAATATAAAAGTGACAAAGTTTACTAAGCAGTCAATGTCGATATGGAGGACTGGAAGGAGGAAATCCATAGATTATTTGAATTTTTACCCTCTTGTTTCACAAGAAACAATGGATTGAATTATTTAAGGTAGAATTGTAAAGGTGCAAATGTGCCAGAAATATATATGAGAGTATAGAATAGTTGGCTAGGTGGATAATAGGATTTTTAAGGTCTGAGTTAAATTAATATAAATCATGGCCCAGGAGATTGTGTTTGGACAATTATTGATGCTAACTATATCGATAAGTTATTTTCTATAATGCCTGATTTATTCAGGAAGGAAGGAAGATGGTATGTAGATATTGCGTATTTCCTCAAAAATCAAATACCTGTTAGATAAGTAATTTAAAAACAAGGGGACATACTTATAATTGGGGCTGGATGCTTTTTTTAGGCCAAAAATATTGGAAATTCTATTCACTCATCGTTCAATTTCTTAATGCTGGATGAATTTTCTTTTTAACAAATTTATAAAAGACAGAATAGGAATGATTTCTTTCGGTTTTGTGATGTTATTGCAATCAGAAATTTGTTTTTAGATATTTATATTCATGAGAAGTTAAGTATTTTACGAAATTACTTGAAACAGTATATAGACTCAGAATTTCGACGTTAATTATCTAAAAATAAATTAAATCACTTTGAGTTATTTATATCTTCAAAAGATGTCCTAATTTGCACTAAATGCAATAAAGAAATCTTTATATTTTTTTAATTCATCAAAGATTGGGTAATTTATTGCCCAGAATGCTACGTTGATTATGAAAAAGTAATATACATGAAATACAGCATTATCCAATTGAAATATCTCATTTAAGCTGATGATATTTAATGTTCGAAATTGTTGTGCAGTAACTATGTTGGGGAATCGAAATGCACCTTAAAGTAGATAAACTAAGATCAAGTTTAATTATCGGAGGAGGAAGATAATTCATCGTTTGTTGAAAGTAGAAAATTCTTGGATGAATTCATTGTTGGGTTAAACGGGGAATCATCGAATTCTCATTTACAAAATGGAGCATCTCAACAATAAGATGTTTTAAGTAATGACACTAGGCAAATTCAAAAAATAACAAAGAAAATCAAGACTATCAAATTACAACAGGTAAAAAAGAAGAAACATAAAAACAGTACAAAATATTCAGAACTTGAGGTAATTAAGTACATATAATAAACCAAAAGAAGCATCTTAAATTGATGAATTAAATTATACATATATTATCTATAGTAATGAATCATTTCATGGAAAGTATTGAATATTTTATAAATGTACTTATTTATTCAATTATTATAATAATTTTTTAGTAGTACTTTGCCATTTTTACTAAGTTTTAAATCGAAGCAATCCCAACAGTACTGCATTAAATATCTAATTGGATAATTAAATAACATTATATTAGATGTATTGTTAAATTATCTATTAAACACAAATTATGTAATCAATTTATTCCCCATATTTTTTCAAATACCTTATAATATGTGCTTTTTAAAGATTTTGGCTAATATCAATAAGCTTTCTTACATCGTGTTGATAATAATAATGTATGATAGCGATAACAAATGAGAAAACAATAACATCTCCATGAGGAATGTCTATCATTTTCCCCCTGCTTTTTAGTAGGTTTATAACTGTTTCACAAAATCTAGGAACAATACTTAAACAAATTTCCATAGCTCTATAATTATATTCTAGAAATACCTAGTATTAGATTCAAGTAGGAGAGCAAATGAACTTATAAATCCACCAGATAATGGAACAAATGGGTCGACCTTTTTGAGGAGATTTTTTTATTTGCACCAATTATATCTGAGGATTTGAACCATAAAGGAGAGGAAACAAATGCTTTTAAAATATGAAACAAGAGCTCTGCTTATTGTGGATATAGGACTATTGATTCAATTGTATTTTTTATACCTCTTCATAACTTGTTTTCGTTTGTACAGCAGAAAAGGAATCAGATGAACTGGTAAATACACTTTTGAATTGGATCTCATGATTCTTGGAAGACTATAATAAAGGATTCTGAATTATACTTACTTTGATAAAATGTTTATTTCACAAGATTGTCCAGGATGCACGATTTCACAACTAAAGGGAGTTCCTAGTAGTTGGATGGATGATTCTACCTGATTAAATGATTAATTGATCTGCTGCACTGATCACGTAACTAGTCATGATTATTTTATTTATTTTAAAATTTTAGTTGAAATCAATGGATTATAAACATTCATTAATTGATCTTTTTAGTACTAAAGGCAGCCAAACCAATTAATAATCCTTGAAAAATGAATGTGCCATCAAATCTCAATATTGGGACTATCAATAGTATAGATAGAGAGGAAATGATGAAGCCTAACAATCCACTAAAATTGACAATCGGCAGGATATCAGCACCTGTTTTTTTACCAAAAATCTAGAGTAATCCTGGACCTAATATGACAATAATTCCTTTAGAGACTATAGATAACAAAAGATAATCTACAAGATAAATTATAATGATACCAATAATGAATAAATCCTTTGAAATATTCAAGGATATAGGAATCATTACAGCTATAACACTCATAATTATTAATAGTTTGTGCAATAAGAGAGTAAATCTAACCTAATCAGCCATCTTACCAAAGACAAAATTAGCAATGGATCCTAAAATAATTGCAAGCGTGTCAACCCATGTAATCAATTGATCATTATTAATCTCTTAAACTAATAATATTATTTACCTTTTGTAGCACATAAGTCTTATAGTTTAATCCTAATGTTACTTCAAAAAAAAACACAGTGAAGTAAGATCCAAGAAGTATTTTGAATTGAGTAGTTTTTACAACTTGCAATAGAGGGTCATTTGGAGTAACTTTGATATTTTAAATTTCACTGGTCAACACCTATAATTCCTGCTCTTCTGCAACTTCCAATTTTTTCTGGTTTATTAATATGCTACCACAAACACTTAAAGTGCCTGCTATAAATCCAGCAAACTTAATGGCTTAGTATGTATTAACTGCAACTTCCTCAGAGAAATATAGATATTCCTATGAACCAACTTTCATCTATGTTATAATTAATCGATTACTGATAACGTTGCTTCTTCGTTGTTTGGATTTACTATATATGTCACTAAAAGTAAAAAAAAAAGTGTAGCAAATCCAAATACTCCAAATAAAATGCCTGTGACCATACCTTCTTCTTCTGAGAAGTGACTCCAGAGGCATTTCAACAAAGGAAAGGCTATTAATGCATAACCTAAACCAATAAATCCCAAATAAAAAAATATGAATTCTAAATAAGAGTTTGCGTGTAGTGCTAAGAGAAATGATAAGAATTATAATGATGTTGTTATTCTTATTAATTTTTCGTAGCCTATGCTATCGGCTATCTTTAATGAATATACTGATGCAGCAGCTAAAGGAATGCCCATCAATGCTATAGGTAAGGTGTTGTAAGCAACTGATAAATTAGGATCATTCATTTTGTAATATGAATAATAATAAACATTAGATTTTCCCCAGGTCATCAGTAGTGCCTATCCTGCTTTTACCAATACTGCGCCTATAAGACATTTCTAATATATTTTATATTATTTGTACAAGGCTTTCAGGCGAATATTTATTCATCAATATATTAATATTTAATTATTAAAAGGGAATGTTTTAGTAAAAGGAATTCGATTATTCATAAACTCCAGAAGTGTAATAATTATACTAAGAATTCGTGGATGCTTTTGAGGAGAAACTAATTGTTGAGGATTTCATCCCAGTTGTGGAAGCAGCTTGTGGAGAACAATGCTCCCTATTATTAAAGAAATTACAAAGAAGAAAAAATCAAAAACTGGATTAGGATGAATTTTCACAATAATTCAACTTTGAATTGTCTGAACCAGAAAACTTTGACTGCATTTATGAAGTCCTAGAATAGGGCAAAGGCAAAATCACTTTTGAAGGCTTAAAAGCAGCGAACTAGAAATACAAGTTTGGCTTGACTGATTAAGACATGAAGATTATGATTTAATACACTAATGTTAAGGATCAGCCTATTACTAAATCAGTATTTAGACAAATGATATCCTGATTTACATTCAATATTATATTCAAATGATTAATCTCAATTAAGCAACAGCCAATCTTTAGCTTTCTATTCAACAAATTCTCCAAAATTTACAAATACTATTCCAAATATTACACTTAGAAGAACTAAACCTATTAGCTTAATTTAGGATGACTATTTGTTTTTATAATTTTTCTACTCTAATTCCTTTTGTATTTCATTTTCCATTTTATTTATTTCTTCATCTTTTATTTTATCTAAAACTAAAGAGTCGTAAACCTTTTCCTCATCTTCTAATTTTCTATAAACTGATTATCATAAGATATATCCATACTTTGATCAAAATGTTACAGGTTTTATGTGTGAAGACTATCTTTCTATAATTGCTAACTTTTCAATTAAGAATGGCCCTTTTCCATACCTGGAAATATAATTTTCCTAATTAATCTCTCTAATGCATCTACTTATGCTTTTGTGTCTGGAATTTCTTGATCATCCTCAGGTAAATCATTCTTTTACTTTCCTTCTTTCATTTCATTTTCTTTCAAATGTTTGGAGTTGGCTTCCTAAGTTTGCTAATTATCTTCTTTTACCTATTTAACAAATTAGGAATTACTTCGTTTTAATTGACTTTATGCTACTCTTTTTTTTCAAATTAAAATTATTCTACTTGTTTTGGAACAATATATTTAATGATGGGACCACAAATATCACATTCCCATTTATGACTTGCCAATGCTAAGGATTTTATTGAATTAGATGTATATTGAATTGAACCAACAGCAAAGTCTTTGACATGGAAATGCTATATAATTCCTTCGATCATAGTTCTGACTAGAGAATAATTATTAAATCACCTTACTTGTCCAACTTGGATTCCAATTTTCAGGGTGAAATTTGGTTATATTCAAGCAAATTTTTGTTTTTACTTCAAATCTTCCGTTGGGAGTAAGAAAAAATATATTAGGAGGTTTTATTGGATAATCAAAGGGAAGTTCTATTTTACCATGATAAATTCCTTCTGCATAATCTGAATTTTCTGGACCTCTTATTGTAAAATGCCATTCATATAGATTGTTATTAATGCACTAAGCCACAAATGAAGACGGAGGATCATTTCTCAGTTGCTCAATCTCTTTTATTATTCTTTTTGTCATAAGACTCATTTTTTTGTTTAATAAAATAACAAAAAATAATAAAATTAGGTAGAATATTTCTCAAAACCAAATAATTTGAGAGATATTTTAAGAGAATTGAAATGAGAATTAAGATTCTTGTTGTTAAACTTCATGCTGCCTAGTTAATGTGATTTTTGAAATATCCATAACTTCCTATATACTCACAATTAAATAAATAACATTTTCATCGTAATCGTCAATGTGAATAGAATTTTGATTTCATTACAAAATTTCGCTTTGAATTCGATTCAACTTAAATGAGTATACAAGGCTTTTTTTATTATGATTAAGATCAATATAAGATATAGATTCAAAGACATTTTACCTTAGAATCCATATTATATTAAGAGTGAATAATTAAACCTCATTTGATTGATTTTTAAGCATAGAACATCAAAATCTTAAATTAAGTTGAGTGAAATAGGTTATTTTGAATCGGAAAATATTCTTAATATGGTCTGAATATTATTCATCATTAATTATAAAGATTAATTAATAATGAAATCGATCAAGAGACTAAATAGAGATAGCATTATAGAGTCAGAAAGTAAATTAAGATCAAAGAATAATATTATAATTTAGAAATATAAAAAAAATTATATAAATAAATTGATCTTTTCAGCAGATGTGGAATTATGTTACTTCTAGTAAAATTTTAGAACTAAAACAATAAGCCTATGTAAAAATAATATTATCTTTCAGTCATACGATAGACATGTTAAATTAGTGAACAAGGCTAAGGCTACAGTTGATAATGGAAGCCCATACAAACATCATTTTACATCAAGATTAACGAACAAATATTAGTATTGATATTTAGTTATTATTATGTAATAACACTACGCTGAGATAAATCGAAGTAATTCAGCTTTACTCAGAAAGATGATATATATCAACTCTCATACTACTAATCTCAATAAATAAAAGCTTGTAAAATCATACAAGGAAATATCTCACGTTTTCAAAAACAACAAATAGTTGCACACTGAAAGAGACCGAGTGCAGGACGAAAATGAAGTAAGGATATCATACATAAATAAATTAGAAAATAGTGGCCAGACTCTAAGCAACAAAATCTTATTATGAAAGAGATGGTTAGCTAATTAAAGCTTAAAAGTATATAGCATGTCGAAACAATATATCATAAAATGCAAGTAATAAAAATTATAAGATCAGGACGAACGGCGTATCAGGACTTTTGTGATGAATCGTATGGGCTAACAAAGATATCGTTTTCCAAGCAATACTGATATGTATTTTATTTTAATTGGTATGTCCCTTGTGTTAATTGTAATATAAATCTCAAAAAAAAATTAAATATTAATCAAGGTATTTAAATCTTTTAATATATTTATTCAATGGCTTCATAAAATAGACCACCTTAAACTCGTCAATTGACTAAACCTAAATGTATTTTTCTAATTTTAACCTACTAGTTGACAAACTCAGCGATGTCAAGCCAGGAATTCATGGATATAATACCTACGTCAAAGTAAGACTCAAATATCTAAATCCTAGATTGAAGATATCAAGAAAGAATAAATCAAAAGATATGACGGATCAACTTTGATTGTTGCTGAAGGTTTGGCCGGAGATGAGACAGGAGTCATTAGATTCAGAGTTGTTGGAGAATATGCCAACTAACTTGAGAAGGGTAAAAGTTATGCATGGAGAAACGGATTGTCTGAAGTCGTTCAAGAAAGACACAGACTTTCACTTGATTAATTTGGACGCATAACTCCTGAAAAAGTAAATTAAGCAATTTATATCTCAGGATGATTTAGTTGTCGTCAACTAAAATGGCAAGAAATACTCTGACATTGAATATGTGAGAAAGGAACCAAGACCAAATACAAACAGAAGAGATAACAGAGACAGAGATAACAGAGACAATAGAGACAATAGAGATAACAGAGACAACAGAGATAACAGAGATAACAGAGATAACAGAGACAATAGGGACAGCAGAGATAACAGAGAAAACAGAGGATAAGGATAAAGAAGACCTTAAGGCAACAGAGGAAATAGAGGAGGAAATTAAAAGAGAGATTGAGTTAGTCAATATATGGAACATAATAATATTTTAACATCATTATTCCCTCTGTTGTAACTACTGAAATCATTTATTTATTCATTCAAAAATCAATTGGATCACTCCCACTCCATGATTATTTCATAATTTAAAAATAAATAAACTAGATAATTTAAGTATAACTAAATATTCTCAATTAGCAAAGGATCTCCTTCTAGAAAACTCAGATCTTTGGGGCTAATGCTGATTTTTCTGAGTTTCAAATTTCTTCATTAGATAATAACAATTCAATTTCTCGAAGTTATTTTCTTTATCCCCAATAAAGAAGGCGTCCTACTAGTTCATACTAAAATTCTGCACTCCTTTATTAAATTATTTTTGAGGGGTGTATTTCCTTAACTATGCTTTTGTTTCATGATTTCTATTTTCAATTACCTATTGCAAATAATCTAATTTGTTCATCATAGAATTAATGTTAAGCAAAATATCTTCACATTGTTAACTTGCTTTCAATTTTTTTGATTGATTTCGACTGGATGACAGGCTGTTTCGTACAGATTTTCTGTAGCCACTGCTTTCCTAAACATATAGCATATTTATTTTTAACGAAAATTAATAATCATAAAAGTCATAAATATTTTACTTTCAATGTATATTTCTATTTCCCACTTTATTGTTTTCTAGTAAAATTAATTATTCTACTCTTCATTCCTTAGACTCTCGAATAGATAATCTGGGCGGTTTTAATTATAAATTTATTATTATAATAATGGGAAGTGTTTCATCAAATCCAAATGCAGACGAAACTGGCACCATCAGTAATCTTCCTATGCATCTTAGGAGGATGGAATTGAAATTTGATATTACCAAGGATGTTAATCCAAACCTCAAATAACTATTGCACTGTAATAGTTGGCTATTAATATAGGGTCATTATTGGAGATCAGATAGGTTTATGAACAATTTTAGAGAAGGTCAGCTTCTCCTTTTATTGATAAAAATATTTTCTGTAAAATTGTCCCTTTTAGCAGATCAAATGCAAGCTTCATCTTTGATTAGTTTTGCGTAGGAAACAAAGTTCTTTCCATTTATGAATTCATATGTATTCTTACAATTACTGCCTATACCTAATATATCCATAAAGTTCATTGTATTTATTCACATCAACTCATTTGTTAGTCTTATATGTAGTGTTCGATCTCGATTGCAGCGGAAACATAAGTCTAAACGAATTACTGATTATTTTTAAATCAATTATTTTAGGATACTGCAAGTTGACAGAAGCTGAATTGCCATCTTATATCTAGTTAGAGAAGTTTGCAAAGTTGATGTTTCTCAAGAGTGATATTTAAGTAGACAATTCATTAGAACTCAGCGAGTAATATTACAAATAATTTTAGGATAATAGAGTGGTTAGACAACAACCCTACTGGTTTACAATTATTTCAGATGTATGAACCAAAGCAAAAAGTTTAAGAACCCTTTGAAGCCTTTCGTTCTTTTCGAGCTTATACAGAATAAGAGGCAGAAAATATGCTAGAAATGATTACTAAATCAAATAAGAATGAATATTACATGAAAAGCCTAAACGATTAAGTTGGCAAAAGGAATAAGTTCAGTTACATGGCCAATACTAAAAGTTAATAATAGCAATAGATATCTTCTATCTAATAATAAAGAAATTAATCTTTGCCGAAAATTCAAGCATAAAAATAAGTTAATTTGGAAGAAGAATTAGAAGAGCTAAATATCTTGGAAAAAGCCTTAGATTAGCACTAAAAGAAATATGATTTGTCAACAGAGAAACCTTCATAAAGTTTACATCACCCTGCTTAAAATCCTATTTCATTAGGTAAGAGGGTAAAAAGCTAAGGGAGGATTATGAAAAACATTATTATCACTAAAGGGTGTACTTTAACTAGAAATGAAATATTTAGAGTAAAAAATTATTTTGATTCCCTATCTGATAATAATAAGGTTATTGGAGTTAAAGATTTTACGAAAGCATTCTAAAATAAACCTCATATGAAAAGAGTGACAGCCAGCTTATATAATTACTTAGATTCAAAATAAAAAGGATTTGTCACTTTCGATCAATTGATGTTAAAGCTATATCCTTCATTAACGAAAGTTTAATTGGATATTATCAACAATTGGATTAAGTAATATAACGAAGTATTCTCTAAGAGCTCGAAAGAGAGCATTGAATTAGAGGTTCTAAAAAATAATGATACAAAGCAGATGAGAAGAAAGCGAATATTACCGAAAAGCAGTATGATTAGAATTCAATAGATTTATGATTTAATAGATCAAGAAAATAAAGGATGTAAATAGATATAATAAATAATTAGATATCTCTTTGGAGGATCTCAAAAAGACTTTTACTTATGGTTTTACATCCAAGGAAGTTGAAGATTTATTTAGATTGCATGATTTAGACAAAGATGGAAAATTAGGAATGGAAGACTTTATCAGAATTATACTTCCCCCAGACTATGTAATTGAAGATGAAGCAGAGGAATAATGAAAATATTAACATTTCTTATTATATCATCATTCCTTTTGTTGTGACCTTTTAAATTATTATTACGAATAACTAGTAGCACATTACAAAATAATCAGCAATATTATATAATACACTAGCGATTATCCGTCAAGAAAGATAGCAACAAGATTTATAAACATCACTCCAAAGTTTTGACAGAATAAATATAATCCAAAAATTGCCATATCTTCATTCCAAATATCTGAGATAATTACTGCTGAATTAAATTGTCCTGAGTTGTCTGTAAATCCTCTAGAAATGAAAATCTATATTATACATTAATAAGCCTAAAATGATATTGATATCGTAATTTTGTTAAAATGCACTAAGAATAGCAATTATATTCATGCATTAAAAGGCATTTCCATAAAAAATTGAATTTTAAATAATTCCAACGAAAGATCTTGACAAACCATTAAAAACCCCACTCACAATTTAAGCCACTCCAACATACAGGAAGATTCTGGCTGTTCTCACATTGACTGTTATTTCGTCTTCACCAGGAAGTGAGGCTGAAATGAATTTATGGAAAATTCCAAACTCAAAACCTATCACAACTCCAGTAGAAATAAATAAAGAAAATAAAAATTTCATTTCCTTTAATTAAAATTTTTACATAATCTATTTCAGTTATGCTTAAAATCCAATTTTTGCAAACTCTTCATTGATATTTGCCACCTACTCTTCAGATTTTCCAATTGAATCATTCTATATCATATTTTAATTTGCCTCTGAGACTTTATGTTAATTACTCTTATCAGGTTATTATACAAAAATAAATAAAATAGATAATCCGCATTCGAATAATCCGCTGTATAAAAAGAAACTCTCTCTTCCAATATATTTTAATAATTAATCAGAAGTGAGTCCATTCAACAAATATGCACATCCAAGTAGCATATAAGTTATCCCAAAATACAACTCTTTGTTTTTCTCGCTTGTACAGTCACTTACATATGTATTTTACAAAACAAAATATCCACCTAATCCAGCCCCTAAGAAGACACACCCTATTAGAGTCAGAGGAATCAACATATATGGATTGCATATTAAATCTTAAATGTTGTCTCCATTGCATCTTGATACATAAAATGCAGGAATAAAGCAAGGCAACACTAAAATTGCTTGAAAGACAAACCCATATCTATATTTCATTTTAGTTAAATAAAGAGGAGCTAATATTGAGATATTATGTTATAATCATACCAATCAGATTGAAAATTAGATTCACTGTGTATATGCAAATTAATCCTAATTCACCTAAGGAGGGGTAGTTATTTTATTCAGCAATTTGGGGCAATAGACTGGCTAAGGCTAAACATTAAGATAAATGAAATGTCAGAACGAGATTCATATACAAAACTTTCCATAAGTTTGCATACTTTTTCATAGTAAAATTTAATGACGAACTTTAATTATAAAAATTATATTTTACAACTCATTATACATGATACAGAATCTAATTATTGTTTTCAATCGTTATTTTTCTTTAATATTAGTTTATATTGATCTTAAATCTATCCTTTTGCTTTTCTTATTTAGAATAAATAAATTCGTATTCTAATTAAACCTGGTCTAAAATTGAAAAAATATTGCTTTCTAAACAAGAAGAAAAATATTTTAATAATGTAACAATTCTTTTGATGTAATTTTCTTCAGCTTAAACCATTCTATATTTAAGAAACTTTTAATTAATAGCAATGATCCTTTTAAAATTCATTTTCAAAATTTAATTACAATTCGAATTTGAATAAATATGCTCAGCAGGACATATTGCAATATTTTTTAGTTTACGTTTAGTTTCTACATCCATAAGAATCAATAATCTATATCCATAACAAGAAGGAAAATATTTTATTCATCTAATATCATTAATAATATGAGAATTGCAATAATAATTAGTTTCGTACTAAAATGAAATTTAACACTCTGAAAACATTATGTAAGGAATAGAAAATATTGAAGAAAACTAATTGTATATAAAGAAATAAGTATATAAATATTTCTTATAATAGAATGAATTATTAGTTGCCTAATGCAGTTTTAAGATTGGAAGAAAACAATTAAAAACTAATTGAAATGTGGTGGATTTTGGAAAGTTATTTGAGTAATTAAAAGAACAGGCATTATAATTCATAGATCAAACCTAATTGTTTCTTCATTAATTAAATCCCACTATGATTTGAATATTATTTATATCTAATTATTATAAAATCCTGCAAAGATGAAATCGTAAAATATTTTAAATCAAGTTGATTTAAGTTAGACTTATAAAGAAAAAACTAATGATATCCTTGATATACAATATGATCAATCATTTAAACCTCATTATGGAAAAAACTTCATGTTTAGATTTTATAATGGTCAGCCGTAAATAACAATCGGTCCGCATTGTAATTTTGTTATTTCAATGAAGGGCCTCTGAGTGTTTGCACTATTATTTCGATAATTGTGGGAACTTATTTCATTAGTGCTATCATTTACATTAAATCAGGTATATGGCATAGTTCAGGATCGGTACTGAGCGGTTTAATATTGGAAATCTGCTATTTAAGAGTTTTTCTAAAAAATCCAGGAATTAATTTTACTTCAACCTATGTGGCAAAAACTTAGAGTAATAATTTTACTAATTGAAAATTTTTAGAATCTTGTTAACAATGTAATCTCGAAAAAGAATATGGAACCTATCATTGTTATTAATGTAATATTTGTGTAAAAGGTTATGATCATCATTGTCCTTGGGTTGGAAAATGTATAGGAGAAGGCAATATCAAAGAATTCTAAATGTTCTTGATATCAATTTTAATTTTTTTTTCTTGCAATTTATTTTTAATCATGATTTGAAATTAATAATATTTCAATTATTGTTATGGCATTAACAAATTAAAAATATGTAACAAAAATTTCAAAATGAGAAAATAAATTCTTTATCCAATCTTTGGAAATTTATATCATTATTTAAGCCATTTCAATAGATTTATTTTTTTTTTGCATATAAAGTCATATGGAATTAAATCGTATTTTGATTCCATATTTAAATTCTAGCAAGTTCAACTCCATTCATTCGAAATCATTAGAGTATTTATCTAGTTAAGTTAGATTTAAAATACTAATTTATAAGTTTGATAAATTTTAATCTGTCTTTCTAGCAGATTGACTGTTTTGGCAACACTAATCTTATCTCTACTAGAATTCTAACATTAATCCAAATTTTATTCCTAATCAGGGCTAAAAAAAGCTAACTAGTCAAGCCAACTATCCACAATTTTTATATAAAATGATCATGCTGTATACCTATATTCACTGATCCAGACATCTTATCACCCGTTAGAAAGGAATTCTAAGGCTGATACAAATCAATAAATTAAGGAATGTACAATATTAACTTATTGGTCTTGCGCCACAGCGTGCAGCCTAGATAATGGAGAGTACAAAATTTCAGTTCAGCCTAAACCTTTGAGAGTGTTTCTAGACAATCAAGATCAATTTTTAGCATGTCTTAGTGATTTAAATCTTGATAATAGTAATGTAAGCTAAGAAGTATTTGCAACTCTCACTTTCATAAAAAGTATTCCTTTACACTTGGATGGTTATCTAATTCTGCCTATATGCAGATGGGTACTAACAAATAGTACTGCAATTTCCAATATCGAACTAAACTGAGGATTAAATGAGGCTCTTGTTAAGCACCTGTAATCTTGAAACACATTTTATAAGGAGGTATGATCGTATAGGTGATGCACTGATACTGGATATGATAAATCCCTCCCTGTTTCCCTGGATTTGATTTATCTGGGATCTAACTTGCTAATTTCATTAGATACTCCTCATATATAATGAAATGTAGTTTAAAAATGCCTATGTGTAGATTCTGTTGCTAATTCTCCAAGGTTAGGTTGCTGATTTTTACTTAGTAAATCACAAATCTTATATGTAAGGTTTTGTCAATTGGTGACGCTTCTTAAAAGCCGTCTCGAAGAACCGAATTAATGACTGATTTGTTAATAACAAGGGACAATCTATCGTCATAATTGCATAGAGTTGTAATATCTAACACTTCAGTTTAATAGCCATCTAAACTTATTAATCTGGTTTGCTTAGAGTATTGCTGTGCAATAATATTATTAAGTAACTCTTTAATTTTATAATATGGATGTTTCTCAAAATGCATAATAACTGAATGTAAAACTTGATAATTTTTGTAGCTGTATAAACTATTTACTTTTGATAATTCAGAAGATATTATTTAACATGTAGTTTCAGTTGTTTTATGAAAAATACCGTAGCAACCAAATATGTTGAGAAAAATTGTAGTTAAATAATATTCAATACCATATCTAGATGCACAAATATTCTGATGCTACTGCTAGCTTAGAATAGTGTGCAAAACTGAGAAATGTTACGTATACAGCATCCTAATGTACTGATTTAAAATGGTAACAATAATGCTAATCATATTTTTACTCCAATTTATAGAGGGTTTCAGAGAGAAATGTATAATGCTTGCTCAACTTAATTGATTTTAATTATTAGCAGCTCTTTGAAAATAAAATTAAAAAAATTCGCTAATGATGCCATATTTGACATGTTCTGGGGAACTGCCCCTGAGCCTGTCATGTTACCTGAGGGACTGAGATAGACTTAGAATGAGCATGATGGCATTGAAGGTATCAGCAAAAAAAGGAAAAGTGTTATTTCGGTTGCCTTCATTGAATATTTTCACAGATTAGAAAAGATAATATACTAAGTACTTTAAGTAACCCCAGGACATCTGCATGTTCAATATCTGAAATTACAAAAAGAACTCACTGTGAAATGTGTAAAATTAGATGCTTTCAATCAAAAAATATAATAACCGATTTTATATAGAACTTTCAATAATGTGGATATGTGTTGTTTCTACAAAATTATAAAGGAAACTTTACATAGAATGCAAACATGAATGAAAACAGGATGTAAAAACTACAATTTTGATTGATCAATATCGAATATCATGAACACTTGAATATAAAATGAATTTGAAATGCCTATCAGTTTTTAACTTTTGAGTTAGTGGATCATCTCTATCAAGTTATTGTACACATTCAACAAGAAGTCTAGAATTTCTTAAATCATAATTTTGCTCTAATGGATGACATTTTTCTTTCACCCTTTTCTTTGACTTAAGACATTAGTATCACATTACTAACTTGTTTTACATGTTTCTAGGCGAATCCCACCTTGTATGGATTCACAAAATTATTGTTGAGTTCCTTACAAGTTTGTAAATAGCTCTATTCCATGAATTTTTCCAAATGACTTTGTACCATCTTAAGTCTCATGTCGTCAATTTGGGCTATTTACGATGCAACTTTATCCAAGGGCATCAATCTTTATGCTAGGCAATATCCATTTTGCTTCCATTTGTCAATACTAAATAGAGTGATGGTCCCCAAGCATGTTGCGGAGCAGAATATATTTCAAACCGTGCAGTCTCACAGGTCCATAGAATAATGATACTTGCCTAGCTTGTGATCCTTCATATACACTCAAAGATATGACACTGAATGTATGCTTATACATATGTGCAAATGCAGAAAAAATAATGTGTGATCAAAAGTCTTGATGCAGAAATGCTACAAACATCTGAATAAATTGGCATTAAAAGGATTACTCCTACCAGTTGTAAGGAATTGATGTTGTTGGTAATACATGTTCAGCTCATTCAGAATTAGAGCTTGTTTTTAGAATAAAATATATATAGAAGTTATGCAAGTACACCTTGGGAGAGGCATTTTTGAAACTCATGTATTTTAAATACCATTAATTTTATCTAAAATTTTCTGTCATTGCTCTAATATAAGTAAAAATCAATATCTTAACAAAACATCCTCATAACATCTTCTTATTTTGTTGAATGATTATTAAAATAAAAGGTTTTAAACATGTCTAATGAGTTTGCAATTAAGCTATTTAATTAATTATTAAAAGAAATAGTATAAATAAAGAAAGCATTTAAAATATTGATAAATTAACTTCAGATTATTCACATTTTTTCACTATTTTGATAGTTAAGAAACAGATTAGATCTTAGATTTCATAATTGAATTAAATGTTGTATTTGACATTATTTCCAAATAAAATGTTTTTGTAAATAGTTAATAATTTAATAGAACTAAAAAATGTAATTCAATCATAAATTTTAGATGGCTAATTGAAAGGGAATTTAGATTGGCAAAATAATCTTAAAGCTATTTTTGAATTTTTATAATATTTCTATATTTTAATTTGAATAGAATTTAAGTTCCTCTATAAAAACTCATGAGACAGGCCAATGTTTTTAGAAAATAAATTGGAGATAACACTTTTAAGATTATGAATTATATATGGCTAAGAAATGCTCAACCACTTCATCATATTTAATCACTCTTATTGATGGTACCGGGTCAAAGAGTTCTGAGTATGAATTAATTGTAGAAGCTCATAACACCATTTTTGGACATCTTGGTTAGAACTAAATCAAGTAATAAAGGGAACAACAATTATGTGATCTTCTTCTATTTAGGAGTGTTGGTAGTGGAGATATAATTGTACAGATCTCATATTTCAGTATATACCTAAAACGCTTTAGAAACCCTTTGATAGACTATTGGGAGGAAACTATCCAAAAAACATTACATTTTTTTTTGTAATTGATTGCTAAGAAAATTATAACTTTGAACAATTAAAAGACTCAATTGAAAAAATGAAACGCAAATACGATATTTAATTTATAGCTTTAGCAGTTGTTGATGCCTACCCAACTACCTTGAATTCTTAGTTACGAGATAAATTACATAATTAAAATGCTAGTTGTATTGCTGCTGTAAAAATACCTAGACCAATTTATTAATAATCCTCTCAAAGAAAAGCTAAGTCATATATTCAAGGAAATTAAAGAGAAACTTCGTGTTTATTCATAACGTTTTCAGGTGGATTAGCCTGTTTAATAAATTATAAGCTAAGAGTAAACCAACACTGCATTTTCAGATGAACCACTTCTCAGAGTTAGTGATGGTTCCAAACTAAAATTAGACTGTAACGAAATAATACCAATTGAAAATCCTATGCATATATCTCTTCGTATACTTTACTCTTTGTAATATTAGATCAACCAGGCAATAGCCTGGAAATCAGATTAAATTCAAGTTTTCTAAAATATATATAGGATCATTTCATCTATCCTATCCAAAATGAAAATTCCAGAGAGAGAAAAAATAAAGAGGCAAGATATCTAACAAAGTAAAACCTCTTGAAGAGATAGAAGAGGATATAAAATAAATGAAAGAATTTTAAAATGAGGAGCCATATCAATCCTCATTTATGTCTAAAGGCAAAAGCTGGATTAATTATTCATCTTTAAAATCGTTGATTGGTAATTCAAGTGAAATAGCACTTGAGTTGATGGGTAATACAAAAATAATTTACTTAACTGCTGCTTTAGCCAAAGAATATTGTTTTATAAATTGTAAAGGAATTCATGAATTGCTAAAAGTATTTACGAATTAAAATAAAGTATAAAATTAGCATTATAAACAACGAAAGCTTTTTGATTGTATTTATCATTAAATTATTATTTTCTCATCCCACCTTTTTCTCTCAAATAATAATGAGAAACAGCATCTACTATTATTTCAGGATATATTCTTGGTCTATGGAATGATTTTATCGCTAAGAAAAGTGAGTAATGCATATTCCTAAAGCTTATTGAAATTCGTTTGGGTACGGATTGGAGTAAAAGTTTTTGGCCAAAAACTAGATTTTTGTTACTCAGTACACATAAAAAATTGGAGAGTGTTGCAGAAAAGACACATTCGTGAGATATTTTGAAATCCTTGTCTGTCAGTTTTTTTTTCAAGGGATGGTTAACTTTATTTGAATAATTTTTCAAATAAAAAATAATTGTAAACTCTCCACCCATATCCTTTTTAATCCTTTTGCTCAATATATCTGTCCAACTATTCTAACACATGTTAATCTAACTGAAGTTTACTAATTTGACATGTAATTTTCAATGGTTTAAAATCAAATAACAATTTAGATGAACTATAGACATTAGAAGGCAACAAAAATTATCAACAATATTGAAAATATTGAAAAAAGTCCTCAACAAGAAGCTTACCAAATTCAAAGTTAATTAACTTGATAAGCAAGGTCTTTTGGGGTATAATCAAAGTATTTTTAATAAATATAGTAAAATAAGATTATTATGAAATATCAGAAAATTCTGAACCTAGAAGTTAATAAAAGAGAAGTTGAAATACAATAATGAGAGCCTAAATTCAATCATATGTTAAAACCCTATTCAAAATCAAATGCAATCTAAAAATTATAGAATTACAAAAATTACAAGAAGACATAACTAGAATAGTAGTATTTTAATCCATACCAAAAATCCTAGCTTTGATTAAGTTTAAGAAATTTCATAAATTGAAAAGGTATCATTACCTTAAATTCTGGTTTGTCGGGATAAATATCCAATAATAATAGATGTACATGAAAAGACATTTAACAAAATCTGTAATTTGAACCAGGTTGTTCCCATATCAAATGGGATAAAGAATTAAGTAAAGGAATAAATTCAAAATGAAAAATCTGGGAGGAGTTACACTTGGCTTGAAAATCTTAATCGATCATATTATGATATAGATTCTATAATAATTGAAATATTATAGAATAATTTTTTAAGTTAGTTATTATGTAGAAATTAACTTCAAAAAATTTGAATTCCCCTCTAATAATTCAAAACTTCCTTTCCTATCATTTTTAAGTAATTTCAGAAATATATTAAATTGTAAGAAATATGTAGACAATTTTAAGTTATTCCACACTAATATTTCAGAGCCTAATTGAATTAGGCAAATCGAAATTCAAAAGCAAGTGCACCTCCTGAAGTGATTTAATCTTATAAAGATGCTACTATAATTTCTAGAATTTTTTTTTTTGAAGGCATAGATGATAAACTATAAGATAGTATTTGTGATGATCTTAAATTCAAATATTGTTTCTTAATGAATAGGGCGATAGCGTTCTGATATATATATATTTTTTAGACTATATAAATTTGAAATTAATAAATACCAATTATTGAGAAAGGATAGAATTAAACAAATTATATTGTTAATGTAACTATGCTTATTGTGAAATTTATGGATTTTGTGATAATTTATTTGAGAGGTATTTAACAGATAGTTGATATTGATTTGATAGAGGAGATTAAAAAAAAACATTTTGGGAAATTTATAGAATTTTATTTCAATAATCAATACGTGGAGGAGATTAGGTAAAGTTAAGAACCTACAATTTTGAAGAAATTAGTTAATCAATGAATATGTATGTTAGGTTTAAAAGAAGAGGAAGAGAAAATCTACATCTAGCCTTGAGAAACGAAGACTGTACTCTCAAATTATGATAATGTGAACTAGAAGTATGATTCCCAATTTTTTTTTCATTTGTGAGACCCTGTTAGTGAGAACATATAAATAAAGTAATCCCGATCGATTTCAAAAGATGAAGAAACCAGGTTAATCGAACTGTTTAGGGGTGATTCAACTTATAATAATGATTTTTAGAATATAAAATTGAGGCTGGTGATAATATGGGTTTAGCCTCAAATCTATCTAGTAAAATTTATTTTATAAAGTGGTGGTGTAATGTGAAGTCATTTAAATTAATCTCAAGTTGAATTAACTTTTTTCTTCAAATTTCTTTTGGATAAGATTTGATTATACAATTAAAAACTGGTCTACAAAGAAGGGTTATCATACAAAAAAAAAATAGTAGCTATTTAATGGTTGGTTTTAAAGTATATAGCTGAAAGGTTCTTAGTCGATTATATTGTTTTTACAAATATATTTAATATAGTATTGTACTTGACCTAGTCCTAAATAAATTTGGGTTATTAAATGTCTTGAACTCTCTTTTTTTTGAACATTAACAACCATGATAAAAATATGGTTACACTTAGAAAATAATTCAAGGAGAGTATAATAATAAGAAATTTATTTATAGTTCAATAAGAATTACAAATTTGTTGGAAATAATAATTTATAAAAGAAAATTTCATTGATATAAGTATTAATTTAATATTAAGTTTTTAAACACTTTGTAACTTCTTGAAATTATTATTTTAATTGATAAAATGTTAACTCAAATGTCTTAAACAGAATCCATTTTACGAGGAGGTGGTTGCGGTTCTTCGAATGCAATCTACCCAAATTCAGGAATCTCAAAGTCAGATAACCAAGACCTTCAGAATTTCTTTAAGAAATTCAATTTTTATGTTGAGTAAATTTGTACTAAGGCTGTTATTGCTGCTGATGAATCAGAATCCTAAGAAATAATGAAAGCTCAATAATGGTTTATTTTTTAGGAAGAAAATATTTACAATCTAAATAAGAATGCCTAAAGTGTAGTGAAAACATACGATTTAATTTTAGGAGGAATCCAAAAGTTGTTGAATAGCTGTTTGATTTACATTCGAACAGATTAGTTTAAGTGTTTATCTATTTTATAGACAACAGCATCTCTCTCTAAAATCATCTTTAGCTTCCATGGAATAAATGAGGGAGGATTCATGAAATGTGATAAATAAAAGAAATTTTAGGAACTCTCTGATGAAATAAGACAACATATGGAAATAGAAAAAAATGATTTGATTCAAAATTAAATGGAGCTATACCTTTTTTTAACAAAAACTTCTTTCGAGATTGCACCTAATAACAGCAAAGAAAGGGAAGAAATCTGGAAAGGATGCTTCGGTGGTATTATTAGTTCAATAGTTTAAATGAGACCAAATGAAGAATTGCTTTAATCATTGTTTCGGGGAGCTTGTTACCTTTCCAAATTGTATGTTAGAAACAATAATAGAAAATAATATGAAGTTTATTTTTAAATAGATATGTTGTAATGGGAGATTATAAGTTATTTGAAGAATGAAAAAATGTAAACCCTAGAAGAAATAATTTTACAAATTGCGGAAGTATATGATAATATTGTGAAAAATTCAGATGTGTGGAAATATCATTATCTTTGGGTCTAAATGATTGGGGAAACTTATAATATAATCCTCTATTAACAAAGCTCAAATTAAGTCAGTTGATAAACACATAAAATTTAGGAGTAAAGTTAGATTAAATTTGGAAGGAATATTAGAGAAAAGGATTACTAATTCAGATGAATCATAGTAATGACTAAGCTGTCATCCTATTAAGTTAATTTAAAAATAAATAATTAAGTTAATTTCATAGAACAATATTCGAAGCCAATGGGATATGTTTTTATTACTTAAAGATTTTCTTATGAATGAAAAACATCAAAATATCTCTTTTACAATTGGGTATTATTTAAAAAGCAAATTAGGAATTCAAGGATAAAAACTTTAAGAAAATGGAAATATATTGGCAATGAAAAATATAAAAAGGTTTTTGGGTTTTTTGATTTCTAATATGATGCTAACTTTAATTCAAATAAATGCTGAGAAATTGAGAGAAGCAATAAAACTTTGTAGAAACTTAACATAAGATAAGTAATATGATGAAGACTTAAAATTAAAAATTTTTTCACAATAAATACAAAATATTATTCACAATTTGGACATCTATCTTACAAACACATAGATTATTCTTAAAATAATGACACTTAATTTAAGCAAAAAAAAGAAAAAGTGGAAGGTGAAAATTTTGTAAAAATTAATAACTTGTTGGAACTATTGCAGATATTATAATTATATATCATATGGGATTAAGACTAAGAAAATTAAACACAAAATCGAAAAGCAATTGACGAGAAAGGTATTGAAGATGAAGATAGGAGAAAATTAATTTAGGAAGAATTAATAAATTTTGATTTTAAGGAAGATAAATTCTCATTCCTTCAGTTACCAGCAACTCTGCAAAATAGAAACAAGATTAGGGGAAAAGTTGAAAAATTGATAGAAAATTATCAGAAAGAAATTTCAAAATTAGAAATATTTTATCTTAAATTTGAATTATTGAAATATTTTTAAAACTTAGTCAATAATCTAAAGTAAAATTATGAAAACATGTGTAATGAATTTAAAACCATTATCCAAAGCTTAATAAACACCTTCAGGAATTAATGATCATAAGGTCTAAAATTGAGACAGCCCCTTCAAGGGTTGATATGAATAAAATTAAATAAGTTCTTTTTGATTTGCAGTTGTTGAAATTTCTAGAAAGGTTAAGGTAGAAAAATTTGAAGCTAAAATTAAAATGGTTGCTTCAAAGATATCTTTTTCATTTTTATTAGAAAAAGCCAATTCAATGGAATTAAGTCAGTTGTCTATAAATTTTAATGAGTTTCTGTTAAAAGTAATTGAAGAGTTTCCAGAAAGAATTATGAGTACAAAAGCTACCTTTTGCATATTACCTTTGACTGAATTAAAAAATATTAATATCGCTGAAGAAGACTTTAAATTTATGTTATCAAAGTAAAAAGGAATAATACAATTCCTCATATTTCAATAAAGTTTAAATGAAAAACAAATAAAATAAGTAGGAAAAGATTTAGAGTTGTTTGAAGAATTATTCATTAAAGAATCTCTTTCCTAATTTTCTAAATAGAAAATTGAGGAAATTTGTTGAATACTTAAAAAAGGTGGACCGTGATTAATTATTCATTAGTAATTAAATAGGAAAAAGAAAAATATGAAATTTTTTTGTCTCAAATTGATGATTTTGGAGAAGATTTCAAGATCTAAATTTGGAATAGAATAATACAATAAACAAAAATTGTAATTCAAACTTTAGAAAAATTTGGATGCCCAAACAAGAAAATTTTTAGAATGTTAATTAATATTCGAATACAATATAAAAAGTTATTAAAATGGCTAAACTTAATTTATTCATTAAAAAGCAGGAAAAAGTGAAAATGTAGGTTTTGCCAATTAAAATGGCAAGAAATTTAATTTTTCAAGCAATGAAAGTTATAGAGATTACCTATCATTCATAATGAAGGTAGTAAATTTAAAAAAACTAATAATAAAGGAGGAGAAGGCCTATTGAGCAATTTATTAGAAGAAGTTGCTTTTTTTTCTAGTGCATTTTATTAAATTGAAATGTATTAAAAAAATATTTAAACTAAATTCTAAGAACAATTTTAATTTCGTATTTAAGAATTTATTTAGAAGTTAGAGCAATTACAATTTTCATAAATTAATTTATATTAGGAGACAGATGAAAATTTTCATTCATACTTGGAAAGGTTGGAAACCAATTTATTTAAAAGGGTAAATGATATTGAGATTACTCAATTTAAAATACCTATCTTTGATTTTCTTGATTACTTAGAAGATTATTTACAAGAAAAATTAGCCTAAAAAAGATGTTTTTCTAACCTCAATATTGAATAAGATTTTCTAATTCAATAAATAAAAAAAATATACTGGGAGGAGGGCAGTGATGGATTCAAAAAAGAAAAAGAAGAAGAATCAAATTTATTAGATAATTTGGTCCAAAGGTTCAAAGACTTTACAAATAATGAATAATGGAAAATTAAATAGGGTCTTGTGTTTCCTGTAATTTAGATTTCTACTAATTGTTTTTCAGATTCTATAACTTCTTTTTGTTAGGAAGTCCTAATCTAATTATGGGTTGAAGAAAAAGATCAAAGAGTTAGAAATGTTTTAAAAAATTAACACTTGATACGCATGTAAATGTAGATTTTGTCGAAAGATTGGTCTACCTAACATGATAGAATTGAAAAGAAAATGCAGGAGATGTCGAGAAGAATTGATGAATTGTAAGAATAAATATCTCATGAAGCTAAACTTAATTAACGAGATCTATATAAAAAAAGAACTCGACGAAACATCAAAACAATTGGATGAATAAATTGAAAATATTAATGAAATGGGTTAATAACTTAGACTGATACTGATTTTGTTAATCATATTCGAAAAAAGTCTAATCAGGGTAGAGGCTAAAATTAATGAAATGAAGGGATAACTCAAAAACATAGGTCTTGATTTAAAATTTTTGAGAGGAAAATCTGTTGAATAACTATTTGAGATAAGAAAATGGAAAGTGTTGAAAGAAGCACCATACAAAAATGTTAAGACCATTTATGTACCATTACAAACGTTAGAAATATTTCACGAATAAGAAAAAGTGGAAGTTTCGCCAAGTGTTTTAATGAATTTAGAAGATTTAAATGATCAGGGAGGAGAGGTGAACGAGTTTTTATTACAAGAATTATTTGAGGAAAAAAAAACAGTCTTATTAATACATGGTTAAGCTGGATCTGGTAAAAGCACTTCAGCAAAAAAACAGAAGAATTTGTATGGAAATTACATAACAAAAGTTAAAAAATCAGAAATCAAGTGCTCATACCTGTTTATATCTCATTACCTTCTTTAAAAAACCCAGTTTTTCAAGCAGTTGAAGAGGCACTTCGTCAAGATGAGTATGGATCAGACCCACTTGTAATTTTTACAACAAGAAGTGAAATTTACAAGCCGTAATTATACTGTATGGTTTTTACCAGATAAAGAGAAAGAATTAAAAGAAATCTAACTACGAAAATTTAACGAAACATAAATGAAGGAATATCTAAAAAAATATACAATCTAAACAATGAAGATGTTAATGTTCGAAATATATGAATGGTAAACATAGATTTCAAATCGAGGAGTCGGTGATATTAATAGGTTTGATATTTGTTGGGAAAAATTCTTCTCATAATTTTAGAGATAAGAAGCAACAAATGGTGAAAATCTTTTGAATGAAGAATAAATTTTGGGCATTTAATCATTTTTGAAAGATGATGAGTTAATTGCGTTAAAAAGCACTGAAGCTTTGAGAAGTTTAAGTGTGAATTTAGAACAACTTAGGAATGTTGAAAAATATGAAAAAATGATCAAGAGTATAAACTTGAATAAGCTGATTGAAACCCCTTATATGATGGAAATTGTGGTTTAAGTGTTGCCGGATATGGTGACTAAAGCAGCAGAGATCAACAATGTGAAAAAAAATTTTCTTAAGAATTTTCCAAATATGCGTAAAGTACTTTTGAAAAGTCAATTTTTTATTCAAATTTATACACATTAAAAACAATTTCTAAATCAGTTAATTAATGAAAATGAAAAGAGAATTACAATAAAACTTAAGAAGTTAATTTAGCAGATTTGGAAATCATTAAGTATCTTGAAATCGCTCAAGCAATTTGGAATTTACTTGAAGAAAAATTAACAGCCATTTAATTTCAAAAAAGAAGTAAATGATCTAAAAACAATTCCACAAATAGATTTACCATACATTCATATGTTAAAATATAATGCATTTAAAAAAATAGCAGTACAAAAGGAAGCAATTAACAGTAGTTTGTGATGCACTACAAGAATACAATCTAACAAGTTATGACTTTTATGAAGAGTTTATTAATTTGTATCATTTGAAATAAATAGAAAAATTGAAAAACTTAGGAAAATCCATAAACACTGATAGTTTTCTTCACGATTTAAAAAAATATTTAATTGAGCTTGCAAAAAATATGAGTTTTAGGCAAGTCACTTAAGTCTAATATTACTAAAAAGGATTATTATTTTATGAGGAAAACTTTGAGGAAGAATGGTTGAATTAATTCTTTAATGATGATTGTAAGAATGGGAACTATAAAAAGGACGTAAGGAGTTCTTTGATTAAATAAAAAGGTCCATCTAAGAGTTCTTGATTGCAGAAGATTTATACGAAGTGTTGGTGTTATCTGAATATTCTCTAAATTTTAAAGAATCATGAGTTCTGTAGAATTGATTATTCATGAGACATTTAAAAAGAAACAAGAAAATTTGTTATATAAAAAATACAAAAAATGAATAGATTATAGAATTGCTGAAATTTCTTGTATATCTAACTGCTATTGATGAAGGTTATGTTGTTGGTGGATCAAATTCACTTAATTTGTTGGTTGAGATGTAAGTTGATCTAACTAATCAGAAAATGAGGATAAAAAATACTTCCTTAGCTGAAGGAAATTTACAAAATGTAATTTAAGCTTATCTGAATTTAATAATGTGAATATAAATGGAATTAATATTAATGGAGCAATAATGTTTGATTGCAACTGGAAGGATCTGAAGATTAATGAGTTGAATACATTAGATGGTCATTCTGATTAGGTTTATTCAATTTGTTACTCTCCTGATGGAACTACATTGGTATCTGGTAGTGATAACTCTATCCTTATATGGGATGTTAAGACAGGATAATAAAAAGCCAAATTAGATGGTCATTCATCAACAGTTAATTCAATTTGTCACTCTCCTGATGGTACTACATTAACATCTGGTTGTGGAGATAAGTCTATCCGTTTATGGAATGTTAAGACAGAATAATAAATTAATTCTTCACTCAATGCAGATGACTAAAATTTAGGTTGAAAAAGAGAGATATCATTTTAAATAACAAGCTTTAACTAGAAGTGATTTCTAATAAATTTAATTGGCTCTATATCTCGTTCTGTTTGTGCCATAACATTATAGCTTTTAAGAGAAAATATGACATTTATGGAATATAAATAAATTTATGTAATTTTAAAAATTTATTGTTTAATAGACTTAAATTCATTGTTAAAGAGTAGAATAATTTTGTTATTTTTTAATATTCTCAATTAGGTTTATGAAATCCAATCTTGGGTAATTTTATAGTTCCTACCTGAGTGGTTAATAACTGTTCATTATATATATGCAAAATTATAGTGGAAAGTAGCTTTTCGATGTAATTCACATAATGCTTATTTAAGATGATTAGATGTTTGTTAGGAATGGATAAATAATGATCTAAATCCTTTTAGGGTTAGAATACTTATTGATGATTAATATATCTTTTCAATACTTTATTCTATCTAATACTATTAATATCAATTGAAAATAATAAACAATATGTTAAGAAAATAGTAATTTTAAAAATCATTCAATCCCAATGTTTTAACTTTGTTATCAATATTTTTGTAATTTTTGAAATTTATCTTTTTTCTTATCTTTGTTCTTAAATGTATCATTATCTTTATTAAAAACTGAAAATCTAAAATATACTAAACTATTAGTAATCATTATTTGGACTAAACCTGTTTACTCTGTTTATATTATAAATTTAATAATATATACGTCTATAAATATTAATTTATAAACGTTGTTTCTAACATCTCAATATTATCCAAAATATTTAAAGAGTAACAAAAAATACATGTTATGCAAAAAAGTTATAAGAAAATGATTAAAATTATAATTGCAATGTTTTTAATGAATATTCAAATTCACTTCTTTTGCTTTAAGTCTTCTAAAAAGCAACTTCCTTTGGATTTAAACAATGGTTTTAAATCTTTCCCTTAATGATTAATGAATTGTCCTTATAAGATAAGTGTTCCTGATGCTTCTAAACAAGGATTCTAACAGATTACAAGTATAGTACAATAAGGATTAACTAAAAATAAT